AATACCGCATCCACAGGCCTCAGCATGAATAGTGAGGAAAATAAAAATGCAATAATGTACCACCAAACAACGGCATGCGTATAGCATTACATCATGAGCCGCGCATGTCTGTTTGCCTTGTTGGCCACACACCCAGCAAACATGCAACGTAAGGTCAACGTTGGCCCAACATTCCATGTTGACTGCGGATACCGCACCGTGTCTTCAATAAGCAGCACCCCAAACTTGTGCCCAGTGTCCATAAAGCTATACAAAAAAATCTGGCCACACACGCAACAACCGCCATTCGCCACTAAAAGGCGATAACGTCACCGCGTCGCTCGTGCCAGGCTATGTGCAATTTAGGGCCACGTGGAGTGTCGAACGCCCGCTCGCAGGAGGTCACGGGACAGACCCAGGTGCCATGGGTTGACTGACTGAGATGACTGGCCGATGCACACACACACACAGACACACGGATACCAGATTATGAGGCACACCTGCCCACAACTTTTAGTAAAAAAGTACGGGGGGCAAAAGTGTAACTTATAATCCGGAGAATACGGTAATAACAAAGGAATGATAGCAGATGGTCAAGAACAATAATGGAGTGGCAGCCAAGGGATTGATCGCGTCTTTAGAGGAAGAAATCAAGCGATGAAATGATCTCGAGGGAAAGTGCTATCTAGGTAAATAATTATTACATCACAATATCGTGAGAGGTGGCGGCAACTTTGGGAGACCTTCGTCCGGCAGTGGTTGAATCGTGATTGCTGATGATGAGGAATGAAGACGGATCTTTGGCTTTCAGCAACGCGTCTTTAGGCTAAAACGTGTGTTTCTTTCCATGTACATAGGCTTCCTTTTTCCAATACGCTGCTGGATGAGGGCATCCACGCGCCTGTGCGTGCAACCGTGGAAGTTATTTAATCATACTTCACCAAGCTGGCCAATAGGTGTTGGTGAAGATGGACAGCCTAAATGTGGAAACTCGAGTAACAGCAGGACAATAGATGGAATGTTTATGTAACCTTTTCGCCAGTATCCGAAATGATGAAAAATAATCGGGGTTACCATTTCTGGCAATAAAGCAGGTGTTACGATGTTCAAACACCAAATATAGACATTTTGCAAGGGTAAGGGTAAAACCTATTGTTATCTTTCATCATTTTGGATACTGCAAAAAAGGTCCTATATAGATATAACCGCTCGACCCGAGCTATAAGTGTTGTCATACTTTTATTGTCTTTGCACTATTCGCCTTTTGACGTTCTCTGGTCTAGCACTGGTAAGACGAGGTCATAACGAAGGCTGTCTCTGATGTAGGCCAATCATTATCAAAGACAATGCCAAATATTACCAGAGCATGTTTGTTTTCATGTTCACCGCGAGTACCGTGTGTGGTGAATGCAGGAACTTGATGCCTTGCAAAAGGTTTATATTTGGTGTTTGAACATCTGAACACAACTGTTGTATTTTTGATTTAAAGCTTTCGTGACTGCAGGGATTCATATTCTTGGTTCTTTCGGTAAAGGCACGTATTTTATTGTTTCCCTTATACGTGACTTTACCGAAAGAACCAAGAATACATCTGTTGTATTGCCAGAAAGGGTAAAACCCATTCTTATTTTTCATCAGATGGAATGTTCTCCACTGCTCCCCCCTCAACTACCGACCACGTTAGTAGACAACATGTGAGTGTGATTGGTGGTTACCCATCCCAGCACTATCCAGGCTCAGACTTACTTAGCTTCCGAAAACTGAAGCATTTAGTGTGATAGCGACAAGAGGGAAACGTGTCTTTATCACGACCCAAAAACGGCACTCGTCTACCAACGTCCGTGGTGAGCAGGGCAGAGTACAGCCGGGAGCCACGTGGACTTATTGGTTTATGTCGAGGTCGGGTAAAGAGGGTTGTGGTAGTATCAATATAGTGTGAGGTTATAGCTTTCTCCTTTGCACTCCATAGCTCTCTCATAAGCACAGCTATTTGTACTCAGCACAGCGTGTAAGGTGAAGTGGCAGGGTGTAACGTAAGATTGTGGCTAGCCGGCCTAATACGAGGCGGCCCTTTGCTTCTGGTAGCTAAGATGTCAGGCTCAGCTGTGAATACGTTTCAAAATCAATGTAGAGTTAAATATTCCGGCTTATGTCGGGGATACGCTCATGAAAGGCGGGGCGACGAATATCGAAAGGGCGTGAATCAAAGATGTTCACAGGGTAGGTGGAGGCAAAGACTGAGGCGACGGATAAAGAAAGGACGGATGACGCTGTCAGCCACGTGAGTGTGGGTTGAGGCGACACAAATCAGGTCGTGGTATTAATATAGTCATGACATATTTGCGAAACAACGTAAAAGGGGGAGAAGTGAATCGAGGTATTGCTGTAACATAAAACCCGTGTGTGTGTGTACAGTGATACATCAATGTAAAACTTAAGAATAGTATTCCTTGATTTAACCCGGTGAGCTCCCCCCCCCCGCCCGAGACAATTATCTTGTTACTAAGTAGTCAATATTACCCAGAAGCATTTCCTTAATCAAGCAGTCTCTGGATCAGAACCAACATTTTGGGTTTCATCAGCAGAGCCTGGTGTGTTGAACAAATATCGAGTGTATCCTGAGCACTCCGTCGAGTTTCTTGTGTATACATGTCCTCTTTGTCTTCTCTTTGTCCCCCCCCCAATCTTATCCGATTGTATTGTTGGTGTCACGTCACTAAGACAAATCCACCGAAACTCTTGCAGCACAATGGATTACCTCGTGTAAGAGAACATTCCGCGGAAGCAGACATCACGGAACTACCGCTCACATTCAACATTACCTAAGCTACACGAGGAGCAGAACCTTTGCTTCAGAAAATAATGTTCGTCGTATTAGGGGCCGTCCATAAATGACGTCACGCGATTTTGGACTATTTTTGACCCCCCCCCCCCCTCGTCAGACGGCGTCACAAAAAGTCAGACCCCCCCCTCAAATATGACGTCACAAAGCTCTGCCCCTCCCCCCCAAAACCATATTTCTATTTTGAAAATAAAACATGCTTAAAATCGCTTTAAACTATTGTCATTGTAGTGCGTATTTAATGTGGCGCTGCACTCTGATGTTGTAGGAGAAAACATTTATTAAAAAGGTCTATTTAATCAAGTAGAACGTGTTGTCTATATTTATTTAAAGTTGCGCATTTTGATGTGACGTCACATTTCTCAAACCCCCCCCCTCGTCACACATCGTCACAAATGTCTGACCGCCTCCCCCCCCCCAGGTGCGTGACGTCATTTATGGACGGTCCCCTTACAGTCAACTCCATAGCTTTAATTCTCGTAGCTAGAATGCAGATAAAGTGCTCCATCAAATCAGCACACTGAAGAACCAAGCAAGCTGTTTTGGATTCGAACCCAGCTTTTGTGGTTTGAAACTGAGCTTTCCGATCTTTCAGCCATGCACCCGGCCGCTTTCCAGAGCACAATCTTATTGGTAAGAGCAACCCTCCCCCACACCCCCCCTTACATTCAAGACCGGGGCCCTGCTAATTTGGTACAGTTGGTCTTTAGATCCTTCCACCGTGGGAGAGAGCTCGGTGGACCGTGAGAGATTGAGACAGAAACGTGCGTTTTGAGATTATTTTGCTGCTGTGGATTTCCACGTGATGGGCCACTTCGTTGAGCTATCATTTGTGGCCAGGTCGCTTCTGAAAAAGAGGCTAGTGGCTCATTGGGCCTTAACTGGTAATATGGAAATAGTTAAAGTTTTATATATGTTTTGATGTGTTTACCTTTCTTGTACTTTGCACTGATGTGTTTTTGTACTGTTTGTTGTTATGACGGTTCTGACCTGCCCCTACTGGACAATCTGTGAAGAAGAGATTTATAGCTCATAGGATTCCTCCAGGATAAATATTCAGATTGTGATATTGGGGATACCTCCATCAAGCAGTGGATAATGACTGCTGCTGAAGCTACTGTACACACGACGAGTGACACCATGGTTCACGCATTGTAGGATAAACCCGGATTCCTCGGCAGGAATCCTGGGCGCGGCTAACAGCAGTGGCACGTGATACCCGAACAGGTATTGCCCAACCTACCAGCCCGCAACGACGAGCGTGGTGATGAATAAACAACCCGCCCCATGCGCCGCCGATACGGCGTGGGGAGAGGTTTTCATCGAGCTGGCAAAAGGCGTGACAGAATGGAGGGGCTGTGAAATACAATGACATACAAAGTACTGCACTGTTAAATAAAAAAATTAGGTGCGCACTGTATTAAAAGTTGAGTGGAAATGCAAAACCACGAGTCACGTACAGAATTACTGACACTGTTGTGGCACTCTTGTGGCATGTTTAATAGATTGCGGTGAAAGTTAAAGGCGCGGCCCTGAAATTGCTTGATCAATACCACGCTCCCTCCACTGGAGGGTGCTTCAAAGAGCCCCTCTCGAGAGGAATTCGGCCTACGAATGTCAGTATCTATAACAAAAAGACCATTCGACTCTTGATATCGCTTTCGTCGATTATTAGCGGCGGTGGTCGTTGTTTCTCGTAAGGCGTCTCAGAGTGAGCGAGGTTCCTCGGTCAGTCAACAACGGCGTCGGTCAGGGCGTGGGTGCCAGCCACGTGCTCGTGAGAAGCGCGGTTACGTCACCCAGCCTACATTGTTTTTCGCACGCCGGATAAGCATGGCAAACCACCCCCCCCCTCGCTCCCTGCTGCCGTCCCTCGCGAGCCCATTGACCGATAGCAAACCGATTGGGGAGGGGGTGTGGGTGGTGGGGGGGGAAACTCGCGTTTTTTTTTTATCGCGCGCGCATTCGGGCTACCAAATGCAATCTGCATAATTTGCGGGGCGGGGCCATTGCAATGAGAGGGGTTTTAGGGGGTTAAGGATAAGGGCGCGCGCCTCGCGAAGGGGGGCGGGGTTATTCGGAATGAGGGCGGGGCTATAGGGGAAAGAGGGCGGGGCTATTGGCGAATGGGCGGGGCTATTGATGGAGTGGGTGTGGCTGTTGGTAGAGTGGGCGGGGCTCCGTTTGATTGGAATCCGCGTCGTTCAGCTGGAGCCGCAGACAATAGTGGAGCCGCCTCGGAGCTGGAGACACGCGCACAGTGTACACAGCATAGCAGCAACATAGCGGGCGGCTTGCCCAGCTGTCCCACCTCCTCCTCCTCCTCACTCACCCCTCCTCCCACCTCTACTCTTAACCCCCGCCACCCACACACCGCGCTGGTGGGGTGGAGCAGCCTTCAGGGCTGCTGCTGCTGCTTGTTTTGCCTCTGCTGCTTTGCTGCTGCTGCTCTTCTTCTTGAGCGTACGCCTTTTGTCTTTCGTGGTGGCCGGCGGCTGCTTGTGCTTGGGTCGGCCTCTCTGCCCGACAAGATTAGTGGCGTTTGAAAGAAGAGAGAGAGAGGGGGGAAAGGGGGGGGGGTAGGCAGGACATTTAGGTCCAGTTTGGGTGGTGGTGCTTTAGACGAGGAGTCACGGGCGGAGGTGATGATGGCGAGCGCCCTGGCGTGGTTCTGGAACGAGCGCTTCTGGCTGCCTCACAATGTGACATGGGCCGACATGAGGAATCCCGACGGTGTGACTTTCCCTCAAGCCGAGGACCTCTACATGGCCTTCCCGCTAGCGCTGGGCATCTTCGTGGTGCGCATCATCTTTGAGAGGTGAAAGAGAGGGTCGAGCACACCCTGCCTATCAGCATCACTCACCGTCATCACTACTAACACCATCATCATCGTAGTCGTCGTTCAGTTACGATACCTTTGCCAGCAGCACATGACTGACCGGCGCAGTTCACCGCCACATCCGCTAGCGAAAGCCACCACCTACAGATCATCACCCACTCGGCCATCATCATCATTATCGCTTACCAATCGTGACCTACCAAAGCAGAATCATCACTTATCGCGTACCAGCACCTACTTCCAACCATTATCACCGACTGGTCCACGACCCACTGTCACCTACCCAGGATCACCACCGACATTCACGATCGACCATCACCACTCCAGCAACAATTTTCCAACAGCGACTCGGCATCACATCGCACCGGCAGAAACATCCCTCACTTGCACAACTTCGCCCGCATTACCTACCCAGAGTCGACGGATTTAATCATCACCAGCCAACGTCACCCACCACCCATCAACCGCCATCGTCATTTACCAAACCAAACACCATCACAACATCGTCAACTCAACTCGTATCACTACCACCCAGGGCTTACCAGCCATCATCGGCATCAACCGTCAGTGACCCGTCAGTCGGCGCCCCCATCAACCACGACAATCCAGCAACGTTCACCACCAACCACTGCCACACTACAAAAAACAACACCCACCATCAAACCCCCCCCACCAACATCAACAACCCACTAACCCAACTGGGCTGCCATCATCACGCGCCAGACCAAGCCACCCTCTCGGGGTTGCGGACTGCGAAAGGATGATGATGTACAAGACCAGCGATGGAAAAGCTGACATAGACCAACAGTCGTCAAATAAAAAACGCGGCCTGTGTTTATTATACATTCGACAACAACGTATTTACGCCAAGCAAAACCTGCACGTGTAATGTACTCCTGTGTTCGGGGTGCTTTAAATTTGCATCGGATGCACATCTTTGAATAAGCCTGCACATGTATGCAGCAAATCACACGGCGATATGTAAGGATACGCTGTCATATACAGTACATGCTACGGGTGTATCCTCTGCAGTATTATTACAAGATGATTGCAGCTTTACTTGTATTTATGCCGAAGATGGTCTTGGCAAAATGTCAAAAATATATATAAAGACGAGCGTGTTAACATTTCACAGTGAGACCCACCACTGTGCGCTGCCGTGTTGTTTGTCCAAAACACTCGATGACATTTCAGGTAACACCACCAATAAGCAGCTATTCCCAGAATACTAAATAGGTAACTGAAAATAGCACTTGGAAAAAAAAGAATACAGCCCTCCATTGTTGTTATACTGAAAAAACACGACCTCCGCATTTAAAGAATTTAGATTGTCTATTTTGGAATGCAAGATTATTATTGCCTTTAATTGAATGGTGGCTTGATCCCTTCTGCCAATAAAATACAATCAAGGGCTATTCATAGCAAGTTGTGCCAGATACAGTATGTCACGGGCCAGTTTGAAATTACTATTATCAATATCGTTCTTCAGCCGTTATGACAGCCAAGCATAGTTGATTGAAGTGGAAGTCTTGATATTTACACCAGGGATTTCTTTAGGGGGGCGGTGGGGATTTTAAAGGGAATCTGCTGAGGTCAATTTTATTATGCTCTTGTAATATGTAGTTGTTTTCTTTATATCAGCAATGCACGACATTTGACAATGTAAAGCATTTGTTTTTTATAATCTTGGGAGTTTCGTCGTGAAATAATTGGTGACAAGATATATTTTTTTGTACGTGTGTGGGGTGTAATTCCATCATTTGTGTTAAAGCGTTTCAATTGCCCCATACTGAGTACACATTGTAAATGCATTCAAGTTAATGCCATGTTTTGCTGGATGTTTTTTAAAATTCCCATATAGATATTTCACATTCGGAATTCAGACACGTGCTGTCCATGTGTGATCCACGGTGACTCACTCCGACCAATCCTTGCCCATGTGGTTCCGACGGAGAGAGCTTGCCCATTTTATTTTTCAGGATGTTAATCCTCACGTGTGTAGAGCCCTGGTGTTAGCACTAGGGGGATGTTTGTTGTAGGCCCACGGGGGTTTGTTTATGCGTCATATGGGAGTTGTGGCTCGGCACAGCCTTACTCTCTTGTTTCTGTCAAGTGGTGGCGTAATTGGTGCAGCTGCACTTGCTGTTCACTTGGTTACATCTAATTGAGCCCTTGCTGATGCAACGCTGGGGCCATGAGGAAGCCTTTGAAAGCCCAGGCTTTTGTCCCAGTCCACCTTCCTGTGCCGAGCCGTGCCAAATTAATATCGCAGACAACCGTTGACAGCTTTTTTTTACGTCTTTGGCGACATTTTCTGCCACTGGGATGTCTTTTTACTGCAAGCAAGAACGTGTTATTTTAGCAAAGGGCTTAAGGATATAAAGTAATAGTGAACCACAATTGAGTTATATATTTTTTATGATGTTCACATCATAAGTACCACTGGCACAACCAGAACAAACCGTACAGTGGAATAAATTATAAATAATAATTGCAGCAGTTATTGTAGTACTTTAGGACGCCTAATTTATTTTGGGATTGTAGTAACGCCCTAATGGTTGAGCAGTGTGTGACCTTTCAACGATATGAATGTTTTATTCGAGTTGTGTTGTTGAAAATGTTGAAATTGTTTCTTTTTCACTGTAGGTGCATTGCAAGGCCCTGTGCAAACGCTCTAAAGATCCAGGCGGCTGGGCCCCGGAAGGCTCAGAGCAATGCAATTCTGGAGAAAGTCTTCACGTCCATTACGAAGGTGAATTGTGCATCCCAGGAGTTCGTTTCATTTGGATAATTTTCTTTACGCATTTTAATTAACCGCACAAATAGCAACGGTAGCCATAAGGTAAAAAAAAATGCTTACATGCGAATGCAAAAACGTCTGCACTGTCTTCGGCATTAACACTGCCCTTACATTGATCTCTCCAATGCTGCATGCATACCTCCCCAAGCTGTGACCATGTGTCGTGGGCCTTACAAATGCAGCAGTTCATTAAGCACCTGCACACGCGGTGATTTAGTCACACCATCGCGAACTTACTGTCAGGCACGTTTCCTTCCTTGGGCTGCCACTGCATTATTAGGCACGATCACCAGCCATCATCTCTTTTGCCACGTGTGCTGGCCAAGCCCACTCACCTTACCCAGCAGTCAATATGATGTCTTTAACTCACATATGTACTGTAATGCCTGCGTTGTTCCACTTTCTCTCGACGTATTTGGCTGATGAAAGGCCGTGTTAATAGTGTGGGTGGTATGAAGTTTTTTTTTATTTGCACTTCTATTCCACCAACAACAACGGCCGACATTCGCCACTAAATGGCGGTGATGTCACGATGGCGCTTGTGCCAGGCCAGGTACACTTTGAGGCCACGTGACGTGTCGAAGGCTCGCTGACAGGAGGCCATGGAACAGACTCAGGTGCCATGAATTGACTGAATGAGGTGTCTGGCAGATGCACCAGCTGTGCCCCCTCCTGTATCCAACTTTTTCTGCATTTCAGCTGCCCGGCGCTCCGCTTGTTGTTGTGAGCGTCGCTCCTCTGCCCTCGGTTGTTGTCCACATACCTATTCTCTGACTGCGTCATTTGTTTCATGCATGCTTTTGCTTGCTCATCAACAGAACCCAGGGGACAAGCACTTGGACGGCCTGGCCAAACAGTTGGACTGGGACGTGCGGACCATCCAGCGCTGGTTCCGCCGTCGGCGCAACCAGGAGAAGCCTAGTCCTCTCGCCAAGTTCTGTGAGAGCATGTACGGTTAATGCACGTGCGGCAATAACATCGCCGAGCAAACCTCGGCACAACCAGAAGTGCCACTCGCTAAACTTTGTGACCGCATTCATCTGCCAACATCTCGCAGGATAGTTTTCTGTATGAGGCTGGCTTACTGTGGGGTAAGATACACGTAGGTTATAATTTCTGCTTTGTGTGTGGTGTATAGGCAAAACTGTTTAGGTATTAGCCATATTAATAGTAAAGCAGTCAGGTTTGATGAATGCCCAAATTAATCTTTATTTGAATCTCTTACCCCTGCTACGCAATTTAACTTTAAACTAGTCCTAATTTGAGCTTTAATGAAGTGCCAAAGTCATACCCGCCTGCCAGCTCTAGTTTTTAATCACGCATCCTGATTAGTCGGGCCCGCCGTGGCTAAAGGGCACATTCATAGAATCCACTATTTAACATGCCTTGTTTAAATGCACGAGACATGCCCGCGCTATTCCTTATGCCAATTTATGTATTAAAAAATATCTAGTAACATGCTGGAATGCGGCGAGCATTCATCATCATCATTTCAGCCGTGCCGCGCACTCGGACGTTTTTATCTGCAATGAAAAGTGAATATGTTATGCACGTTGGATTTATTCATGTTTTTGTTATTTAGGTGGCGTTTCATGTTCTACCTCTACGTATTTGTGTACGGACTGAGGTTATTATCACAGGTGAGCATAGCTTTGATGTATTTTGTCAGTAACCCTCACGATGTGTTGAAGTACATTATAATTCTGTTTGTCCACCCAATTTACCGGTGCAAAGTACATTTTATTCTTGGTAAATATAATTAATTGTAACTAAATTATATTCACGTATAGCCTTCTCTACAAAAGTTGTGTGGAGGAAGGTGTGGAGTGCTTGTACAACCGTATGTGATCTTGTGTACGTGTGATGCCTGTTGCAGAGCAATTGGGTGTGGGACAGTCGACAGTGTTGGTACAACCACCCCTATCAGGTAAACACTGCTTCGTGTCACCTTTCCGCTCGGAGTAATTGATCTCAAACGTGTAAGATACCCATTGTGCAATGTTATGAATGACTGAAAATGTTTCTACTTTTGATGAGTTTTTTTGTTGTTGAAGGGGAGCATTAAAATATTTTTGTTCTGGGTTTATTTGGTGAAATAAACATGGTAAAATGTGTTTTTTGGCAGCCACTACCTTCAGATATACAGTACTACTACATTGTGGAGTTGGCTTTCTACTGGTCGCTCATGTTCTCGCAGTTTACAGACATCAAGAGGAAGGTAAGGAGACTTTGATTTTCCACATCCTTGGTTGATTCCACTTCTACATACGGAGCTTTCCGTCTGCATGCCAAATACAACCCTAATCTCTTTAAGGCTTTGACTACAGACATATTTCTATGTGGAAGGGCCCAACTCTAAACAAAAACTGCACATACTGGATTGCTTTCTAGTCATTGTTAACACCTGGATGCAATGAGGTCTTTTGAAGATATTTTTGTCCAAATAAATCTCATCTTTGTGTAAGCTTTCCCAGATGTACAGTAAAACCAGGTGAAATATATCACATTTAATGGAAACAAACTCAACATATTCATTATTAACACTGCCTTAAAAGGTCAATTATATAAGAGACAACGTTTTGGGAAATGGGCCCCTCTTAGTACATACTACCTATTATATATATTTTAAGCAGTGTTATTGAGGAACATGTTGATTTATTTTATTTGTGTTGTTCCACGACTGCCACTATCTCGGTGTCGCAATATATTTATTACAGAATTGCGAGCGGGTACATATGGACGATGGTTTCTTAGAATTGTTTTGTTTATCTAGCTCTTGAGAGTAACGCTGAGTGAAATTTGAAAGGCCCTGGGTAGCCAGGTTTTCATCTCTGATTTGCTTGTGGCACACTGTGACCGGACTCCACACACAATCCAGAAATGCCAAATAGGGCAGCATATGCAAGCGTTCAGCATCAGCTCGTAGTCTGCTGTGATACATTGGTAATACCCTTTTTCTCTCTCCCCCCTTGCCTCCTCCCCCCTCTCTTACCTATATAACCTCTTGCCACGGCAGCTCTCCGGCCGACTTCAGCGTTTTCTTGCTGTGGTTGTCCCACCTGATGAAGATCGCTTGTGTTGCGATCGAAACGTCGTGATTTGTTTTGTTTTATTTTATTTCTACCTACGTGACTTTACCGAAAGAACCAAAGAGTATGGATTCCTGCAGTCCACGAAAGCTTCAAATCAAGATTAATACCCTGCAGCTTTAATGTTTGTGGCAAGTCCTGCCCTGTAGTGTTCTGCGCAGTACACGGGAAAATAAATACGCTTTGTGGGAAACAATTAGCTGTTTCTTTCGTGGAATTTGTTTTCCAGTAAAAAAAAGAGAGGCAATACAACTTTAACAAGGCATTGTATAACATCATAATTAATGGAATCCCACAAATGTCAAAGTCCGTGCTTGCCATTCGCAAATGCAAAAGGAATTTAGCAAAAGGTGCCAAGGCAGCAGTTTTTTTATTTTAAGGGATTGCATCACAAGTAGCTGTAAACTGAGCAGCTTGCTTATTTCATTTGATGGGAACCCATATACTGTGCTAGAGTTTTAAACCGTTGAAGGTTTCACAGACTTGGTAATCACACTGTGTTTACACAGCTTGTTGCAAGAACAGTACTCAGTGCAAAGTGCAAGCATGTAAAATACTTCATTGCTTGAGAATATCTGCCCGCATGTTAACCTCACCCACCAATGCTCGCTCATAAACCCACTGTTGGATTTTCACCCATACAACAAAATGAAAAGTCTGTCATGTGAGTGTTGCAAGCCTTGCCAGTTGAGCAATAAGATACTTAGTGTAGTTGGCAGAAAAGGTGGCATGTGAATGTAATTAAATCGTGGTGTTTTTTTAAACAAGCCTTTCTTGCAGCTTGTCAATCCTTGTATTTGCCACACTTTTATTAATTATTTTAACTTACCGTAAAAAAATGTAGAGTTGCCACAATTATAGGGTGAATGTACTTCAGAATAGGCTTGTTTGAAAATAAATGTAAACTGTACTCTTTGGTTCTTTCGGTAAAGTCACGTAGTTAGAAAAATAACTAATACATCATGACGTCTTGATAGCAACACAAGCCATCGTCTTCAGGTGAAACAATCTTTGGAAGGACATTGATCAACTAGGTATAGTGCAACTCTCCGAGTTGCATTACATTCCTAAGTTTGCTAAGTTTGATATCTTACTCGTTGGTTATTTCGGTAAAGTCACGTAGAAAATGAAATCAAATAATAATAGAATATGACGTTTCGGTTGCAACACAAGCAACCATCATCAGGTAAAAATGAATGATGAAACACAGACACGGGAACAGCATCGGCAGACACACATACAGAGACACACACAAAGACACACCGAGCGAGACACACACCAAGACAAACAGAAGAAGAACAACGAATCTGTGCCGAGGCCTTAAATATAGAGACGGGGGAGGGGCCGGGGCAGAGAGAGGACGGGGAGGCAGGACAAGCTGACAAACGAGGGGACAAGGAGGGAGCAGTGTGGAATTCCAGACCACAGTGGCCGGAGGAGAGAATGGTTTACATCAAGAAAATCGAAAGTTTGAGAAAGCAAATTTAGTAAAATTAGGAAGTGTAATGCAATGCAACACAGAGGGTCGGTTGATATCTTTTATTTTTTTTCTGTCTATCACCTTGATCCCTCTGTAAATTTTACCCCCACCCTCTTGCCTGTTACGGCAGCCCCTCCCCTCCCTTTCCACCTTGGATTAGCCGAGGTATGCCAGCTCTGCTATCCTACATTTCCTTGCAAATTCCATCCCTTAGCCCCGCCTACTTACCCTTGGGTTGTACCCACCGCTACATTTCCTCCTGCCTCAGCAGTCCGCCTGCTGTATTGTTTCACCTGAAGACGATGGCTTTTGTTGCTATCGAAACGTCGTGATCTATTAGTTATTTTTCTATCTACGTGACTTTACCGAAAGAACCAAAGAGTATGAATTCCTGCAGTCACGAAAGCTTCAAATTAATATTAAATATAAACTAAACTTTTTATTTTATTTTACCAGGTAAAGCACACCGAGCTATATCGCTATTTTTCCAGAAGAGACCTGGCTACAAATGATAGCTTAACAAAGTGGCTTATGTGGAAATTTATAGCAGGCAAATATTCTAAACGCATAATTCTAAATGTGGAGGAAAAAACCGGAGGACCCGGAGAAAAATCCACACGACCGTGGGGAGAACTTGCAAACTCCAATATACAGGCGTCAGGGTCAGGATCGAACTCGCAACCTTCCTGTATACCAGGCGAGGGAGTTAACATCTCGCCACTGGCGCCCTATTATCTACAGTTGCCATCTAATATTGGACAGCGTTTCATTATTAAGCAAATAATTTTGTGATGCTGCTGCGTTGCAGTGGTGCACAAGCACAATTAAACACAAAACTCGACACATTCACCATTCATTTCATTAAGTGGATCGGGTGTGTTTACATAATATCATATTATTTTACATGGTTACGTAAATATGAACTTGATAGTGTTTGAGTGCTATTTTATTTCATTGTCAGGAAGTGTTTACGATGTGATCTTTCTGAATAAACGCATCGTTTTGTTGGTACTGAGCACTGCTTGCTTGACAATAGATTAAATGGATCAATCTGTCTGCTCTTAAGTCAATATTCGTCACTCGGGTAAAACTTAACTCGGGTAAGATAACAGGGGTTGAGTGTAGCTCGCACTCTGTTTGTGTAGCTTTTTATTTGGGGACAGTTATATTATAGTAGGCATTGGAACATTTTTGTAAGCTATACATCAACCTGTGTTCAAAAACTGGCCATATAGCATAGACTTACTTTAAACACTCATAAATAATATTTGTATGTTTGTTCACTGGTTCAGACGAGACAACAACATCTTAGGGCCAAATGTAAGCACGTAACTTTTCTGTGTCAATAAAAATAGTAGGGTGGAGCAGGGGTATACTGGTCAGTACACTGCACGATGAACCCAGTGATCCGTGTTCGATTCCTGACCATAGCTAACATCAGTGACAAGTGATATCAGAACTGGTCCTTCAATTCCCACCACTTCCCTTCAGTGTAGTAAAAAAAAAACCCATGGCTGGCATGACTCAGAGAAGCCTTCAGCCATTCAGTGATGTAGAAGGAGCATTTTATATATTCTTACCGCATGCATATTGCAATTGATAAATAATGGTGTGTAAGATGAGAAGCCTATGTCAGAACATTCAGTCACTGCATCGGTGACTGCATCGCGCGCTTTCATATTCGCCTATCCGGCCGTCTGCAATGCTCTTCCTTCCAATATTAGGAAGCCACTTGGAGCCATGCACTTTTCAATCTAGATTGAAAACTAAATTCTTTAGTTTGTTGTCCTTTCCCCGCAACTCTCCGATTAGCGTGGTCGGAAACGTACGGTCCAAAATAAGTTCTACATACATGCTTTCTTTCATTCCATTCCATGTCGTCTTGTTTTTAAATTATCGTGGCATGACCTACATGTATATAGTTTGAACGTTTCAAGTGTGTAACCTGTATCGAACAATTAATTCCACAGTACTTATCTAGCCCCTCCGTTTGAAATTTACATTTATGCATAATGTGAGGTACGTGTGTAGCTTATCCTTCTTCAGTAAGTGCACGGAGTTTTCGCAAAAAGGGTGCTGTGCAATATTTTGGGTTTCGAATTTCCAGAGGGATTTAATGAATCCATGTTTGTTCGCGCGGAAAAAAAAAAACTTCCGCGCGTTTTAGCCGGGACTTTAAGCTGTTGTCATTCACATCCTTCACTCTCGCACTGTACTGTACTTTCTGTGTTCATCTGTTATTTTTATTTCTTATCACAGATCTTATATCTGTTTTTGCCAACGTTTTTAATTTCACCGCGTCGGAGGTCGCGTGAGCTGAAAGGTACACGCGATTCAGTGTTGTGTGGCGTGTTCAACCCTTTTCAGCCACTAGCGGACTTCAAACTTTGTGCACTGTAGTTTTAGATGTGTTACCCTGAGATGGTTAACCACGTGGCTTTTGTATTGGGCCGGTTGCCATCCTGTCCCAAGCAAGCACTTAATCTTGCCCATGCGTCCCACACTCCTTGCTCCGCTGACAACATTTCCTTCTTGGCATTGCCCGCTGGTATATGTGTGACACGGCCAGGATTGACGTAATGCTCACTTTAAAAAAAAAACGCCCACGGTTGGCTATGTACGGCGCGAAAGAAGTTCAACATACATATAAAATGTGTATGAATTTTTAATCAGCAAAGTTTGTATTTTTTCACTTTGTAAAAATAGTTGTCTTAATCGGTGAACTATTGGCTACTTATAAATGAGCTTCAACTGTATATGCGGCATTGCAAACTATTCCAGTTACAGCGATATAATTTGAATGTAATGGATGCTATTAAATTTTCACATTCAAATTTTTGCCTCCTTATTAAGTGATTTGCTGTAATGTTGCTAAATTTCGTTAAACTTTTACCCATTCACCGCGATAAGCCCTTGAAGGCTTTACTAACTGGCGTTGAGTAATGTGGATATGTGACATTCGGGTGTGAATGAAATCACACATAACATTTCAACAGAGATGCCAGGAGGTGTCTGGGCCAAGGTTGTTTAAGTGAAGGACATCACCCTATTTATTTTTTTACTCAAAGTCGAGTGGTTAACCATGTTCCTGTATTAGATAAATGCTTTGCTAAGTTTCTGCTGTAACTTGCAATTGTATTTGCGCTGCCTTTTTACGATGTCAAGCAACTTGGCTCATTAATTTATTTGTTGTTTTTAAATGCAAGGAAAATATTAAAACTAAATTTTCACGATTTGCATTCCATTGCATTACAGTTGATCGTAGTCTAGGATCTTTTAGTTGAGGATATTTTTGTTCTATCCTGACCCCTGCTCTTCGTCCCCGCGATTGGCGAGCATCGTGAAGGACAGTCGGTGGGTATGTCTTTTGTGTTTTTGTCAAGGACTTCTTCATGATGTTCATGCATCACCTCATCACCGTGAGTCTCATCTCCTTCTCGTACATTGTCAACATGGTGCGCATGGGCTCGGTGATCCTGTGCATGCACGACGCTGCCGACTTCCTCCTCGAGGTGAGTTGTTCTCTCAGGCCGGTCGTCCTTCGACAACGGCGGCCCTAGCCTTTTCCTTTCGGAGGGCCGAATGGGACTTTAGCGGGTGGCCACACATTGACACAAAAAATGGCAAAGGTGCAGCCCTGCAATTGCTTGCCACTGCTGGCAAAAGGCCCTTATCGAGAGGTAACTCTACGGAGCCCCTTTAGAGGATATTTTGACGTAGCCTCACATCGACCAGGTGTCTTGGAAGAGGTGGCAATACCCACACTTTAACCCACCAACCGCAAACTGCTGATTGACTGCCAGCAGTATGGATACCTGTGTACTCATTTACCTGTGTACCCATTTATACTGCCGGGTGGATTTAAGAAACTTGGCCATCGTTTCAAATACGGCGCCGGAAGATCGCATTGAACCGGCAACCTCTTTACTCTTTGGTTCTTGCGGTAAAGTCACGTAGTAGGTATAAAATAAAATAAATTGCGACGTTTCGATCGCAACACAAGCGGTCGTCTTCAGGCGGAAAAAATTATAATCCAGCAGTGGAACTGTTAAACTGGTGAGAGTGCAGCTACAACAAGCAGGTTATATACGTGGCGATGGACAAGCAAGCGGGGTCTGAGCTGGAAAGGAATTCCACCCCCCGGGCGCAAGCACCTCAGTTGCGTTAATGGAGGATTAGGGAGAGCAACCTCTTGATTGCAAGTGCAGTGCACTAACCGTCACACCACAGTGGCATCCGTTATTCAGTATTGAGGCAAAACATAAAACGCCGACCGAATGCAATGTTGCCTTTGCACTCGCACAAGTTACTCAGCGTGCAACAATTTTAAACGGTGTTTTGTTGCGAGGTCGATAACAGTCTCCTCTAGTACCCGGTCAGCGCAGCAAAGGTACTCTCAGTGAGGGATTAATGTTTGTTTGGTGGCCGTTTCGTAGTGGCACATCTTGTGTGATCGCAGGGTGTACAATATGAATTTGTGGTGCCGTAGGTTCCCGACCCCCCCCCCTGTCCTACGGCATTCTCGTAGGCAGAGCCAACGTAGTCTTTTCACCGTGTACCAGCTGACTTTTGTGCAATAACCTTTGACCGTAAGTGTGTGAAGAATTTTAACCCACGTTTAGTATTATTTGACACTGTGTAACTTCAATGCTTTTCCTCTTTTATGAATTGCAGGCAGCCAAGATGGCAAACTACGCACGATACCAAAAGCTCTGCGACCTTCTTTTCATTTTATTTGCCCTGGTCTTCTTTGTGACAAGGCTGGGCTTGTTCCCATTTTGGTGAGTGCACCAAGCACCATCTTATTCCCTCAACACAAGTGACAGCCACGGTCTTTGTTTTACTTGTATGTGTTTTTGTGTCTTTGCTGGCCCTAGTATTTTTTTGCTACTTAAAAAAAAAAATGCAGTTTACATCATGTATTCGTCTTCAACGCAACAAGTGCACAATAGAGCGCTTCTTGCTGCGCGGGTTGTTATGTTACTGATTGAGACGGGTGAATTATCGTCTTGCCACGGCTGCCGCCCACACCATTGCGACATCCCGAGGTTTCTTTCCATGAATATTTGCTGTGTGGGTGGGAAGAGTTTGGTAGAAGGGTCAGAGCAATTTCGTGACCCAACTCTAAAAAGGACGAATGCATTGAATAACATTTAAACAGGTGTGGGGTTTGGCAAGAGTGAATGCTTGGAATGATGCAAGTTTCGTTTGTGTCTTTGTTTCTACCCGCTAATTCAAATTATTCTTGTTTTATTTTCTTGCTCTGTCCAGGCCTGTGCGGAGCACGATGTTTGAAAGCTGGGAAATTGTGGGGCCGTATCCATCCTGGTGGGTGTTTGTGGGGCTATTGGTTTTACTGCAGTGTTTACACGTAATCTGGTCGTACCTCATACTTCGCATCGCCTGCAAGCTCCTGCGTAAGGGCAAGGTACGTACTTGTGCAAGGGTACGCGTCCATTTAGTGTCTGCACGCGCACACGCATACTATTACACATTTCGTACGTGAGCCCTTTTTCACACAAGTACTGACCAGACTCCTTTACTTGGCTGTCTGGTCAAGTAAGACGGATATCATCATGCGCAACATTACCCAGTGGCAATGGGAGTACAAACGAGTTGTGCGTTTGGCCTCAAAACATCTTTACATTTGAAACTTGCTCGGGCAGAGCCCCATGTACACAAATCAGTATTTTGTTGCTGTCGCGAGCGTTAAATCCTTTTCTCCACACTGCCGCTTGTGTCTTTCACGTTGTGTCAAAACCTCAGTCTACGTTCATGTTCATCTTGTGGGTTTTTTTCTGCCTGCTGACGCGGTGTTTCAGAGCTCTTGTTTCTCTATCTTTTTTTTCGCTACGGCTTACCTCGGACCTGTTTAATACCTGTGCTGCCCCTCCTCCTCCTCCTCTTACCCCTCCTCTCTTCTGGAAGTCTGGGAGATGGGACTCGCTGCATGTAAGTTATGCCAGGTGCCAACTGTGCTCAGAGGGCAGTGGGCCAGGTCGCTCTTATTGTGGCATTCTCTCACCTCTGTGCATGTATTTGTGACTGCATTCCTTACAGAGCCATTACCATAAAAAGCTCGCCCTTATCTCAAAGGCTTTAACTCCAGCATTCCGATTGTGTGAGCCCTCTGCTGCTGTTGTTTGTTGCAGTGCAGTTGGTGCAAGCTACCTCATTGTTGCATGTGAATATGTATCTCATCCTTGCTCATCCCATTTACCATTGTGGGTTAAAAAGCACCTCATCATCACCCCTGATCATAATCACACCTTAACATCACACCCTGTTGTCAAAATCGAACGTTTCATACTTATACAAGGTGTACAGGCCGCCAGGGACTTTTGCTTTTTACGAAGTAATTCGCCCTGAAAGTCCTTATTTTATTGCCAGTCATCACCCGTCACTTCCGCGTTTACAGCACGCTTGTTAACGTTAGCAAATTAACGTTGAAGCCTGTGAAATATATCATTTTTTACGTGACAGACATTTGTGTGTTTGCACAATGAGCAATAATATTGTATTACCGTCAAAAGGCAGAAGTTTTTTTACAGCTCAAACAAGCTCATTTCCCCTTTACAGCCCGGAGCCAGTGGTTGGTGGAAATTATACATTCCTATGGGAGCAGAGATTCGATCCATAGGCCAACTCCCATTTGTTTACTTTGTCCACACGGTGCTTGATGGGCTGAATCAACCCCCAACCTGAACGTGAACCTGCAACCTTCCGATTACGAACCGCTCACTCGTCCTACGAAGCCACTTGGCTCAGTTAAAGTATCACTCTAATTTCAAAAATAGAGCAAGATCTCTCTTGAAATACTCAAAAAATGCTGACGTGGTGAGATTCTATAAATTCTTTCACACTGTTAAAACGCAGTACTTTTTGGGGTTAAGTTTTTATATTGTGTGCATGTTACCAGCTCTATAGCACGCTTTCACTAGGTGTACGCTTACATCACTTACAAAAAAAACAGGGCACTTGATTTTGACACTAAACCTCTGATTTAATCTTTGCACGCAATGTTTTTATTCACGACTCTCATTCCCACTGTTCACCCATTTTTCACGTGTATATATACCCCCTTATGTATTCCACGTACGGTATACCCACAGACGTCACGTGTAGTCCCTTACACTCCACACGTTTACCCCCTCCCTTATACTCTGACCACCCCCCCCCCCACACCATTCGCCGGGACTACCGGGGCCCTCATTGCCAACACCCCCTCGTTGTCGTGTCGACTGCGGCTCTCGCAGGTGTCCAAGGACGACCGCAGCGACATCGAGAGCAGCTCGGATGACGACGAGCGCACGGGCGACCGGGCCAAAGGCACGGCGCGCGGGACGGGCAACGGCGCGGGCAACGGCGCGGGGAGCGCCAACGGCACCAACGGCCACCTGCTCGCGGGAGCGACCGCGCGAGCCTGCGAGCACTGAGACGCCGCCGGCGCGGGCAGCGGCCTCGCATGGTCCCGGACTGGGGCTCCACACAACCGCCTGACAACCAAACCAGCTGTCCCTCCTCCACTCCATTACGGTCCTGCACCCCCCCCACCTCCCCTCTCTTCGGTCCTGCTCTCAATGCCCTCTGCTCAGGCCCACGGTGCAAGTGGTTCACGTCCTCTTCCTCCTCCTCCCTCCTCATCCTTATCCTCTTTGTGCCACGCTTTATTAAAGGTGGCACCCAGTGTTTATTTTTAAATGAAGAAAAATTAGCAGTGTACCAGTGTTTGTGTGTATGCCTGAGACTTCCCCCCACATCCCCCCCTCCCTCATTTGCATTTGCCCTGCTCTCTCTTCTCGCCCTACTGTTGCCGGCTATTCATATGTTGCTTGCATAGCACTGCTGTGGTATGTCGTGGGAGTTTCCGTCAGGTGTAGGTTATTTGTGTTTTTTTTTTTGCAGTAGATGCATTCCGCCCGAGCTGGTTTACTCTTGTAATTATCCGAGTGCTCGTTGCAAAATGCATGAAGTGGCTATATCACAGGTGTGTAGTTGGGCAATGAAATATTGAGTTTAAAGGTGGCAGGAAGTGTGATTCATGTGATGGATTTTTTTTTTTAAATGCAACGTAAAAACAAGCAGGTTTTGCCTTGACTATTGTTTTTTAAGGCATCAATTCCGGACACATAAATTAATTGTCAACATATGAATGCCTAATTCAATCACCTACGTAGTGTGTACGAAATGAACATAAATAGTGTGATTATTTATTAGCAATAAATCAAACTTTATACACACTGGGTTTCAGAGAGGTATTTTGCTGTACACTGGCCATATTTTGTCAGAAGGAGAAGCATTCCATCTTGCAAGATAGTATGTTAAGAATGTTTTTAAAAGTATTTATTGCTGATAAGACTTAAGAGAAGGCATTGTATTCTAGATCTGGATGTCTGAAAATGACAAATCTAATCGTGAATAAGCTATACAATGGAATGTAACATGAGTTAAATAGAGATACAAAGTTGTATTTGCTGATCTTTGACGTTTACAAATGTTACATTGGACATCATGTAAAGCAGGGATGCACAACTTAAAGTATTGCACGCAGGGCTTTAATTTTAGCAGGGTCTGGGCTGGCAACCTGAAAAGTATATCCACACGTGGCACACCACATTTAAGTATACCTCTCACTAGGGATGTGGCGACCAGCCACGTGCCACCTTAAGTCTACCAGCGACCCGGAAATTATTCCGTCGGAAATTGAAGCCCTGGCCTCGTGGGGGAGACCGCATGTTGTGCGCCCCTGGTGTGATAGCGTAAGCAGTTTCGAGAACCCGTTGCAAATTTCTGCTTAGCGACAAAGCAACGCCCAGTCATGCCGTGGTTATCCGGCTTCTGCCACGGTTGTAATTTCTTGACTTGCACAATGTTGGCATTACGCCGAAAATCGCAAAAACGGTGCATAATTTCATAGCCGCTCAAGCGCTGTGCATTGGTTTCCAGTGAATTTATTACAGTGGCTTTAAAAGCCTTAATTGCTGCGGTTTTAGGCTCGGCCTGTCAACTAAACGCTGAACAACGCTCAAAGTGAGTGAGCGAGATTAAACTATTTTAATAAAAATTCCACAAACAGCTGTGGATATGTTTCTCCCCCGTCAATTATTATGCACAGCAGTTGACCTTTTTGCTCGTACGGTAGATGGAATTTTCATCCTTTGGGCTGTTGAAAACAGTCGTGTATTGAAAAAAAGTTGGCTGTAAAACGATACGTTTGTATTAACATAAGTGTATGGAGCATAACGTTTTACACAACATATGCTTAATTTGAATAACATTTGATGGAACCCAGCCTGCACAACGTGATAACATTGATAACAAACGTTTCCTGTGGGCATGGTGTTGCCTGTGTTGCCATTTCCATTAAGCAGAAAGTCACCAAAACAACCCCCTAAAATCCCGAGATCGATTTCTCAAGTCAAAAACAAAAAAACACACTTTACCAAGTATTAAGCATCGTAAACTGATACAGGATCTTTAATACAGACCTGGAATCACTGCTAAACCCGCTTAGTATCCTCATTCCAAAAAGTCCCCAGTTTTGTCGCTATCGTTGCCTTGACAATTGTCTTGCTAGGGAAACCAAAAAAAATCAGCTGAATCTAGCCACAATCGCGAAGTTGGTAACAATGGGTATTGCGACACGTCCACCTGCTAACATCTAAATCCCTGCGCCGAGGTGACAGGTAACAGAAGGCAGGTGAGTGATGAAACACTTTCGAAATGCCTCTTGAGTATGGAAGCCGTTGTTTTGTGCAGCTGCAGTTGCCCTCGTGCTGCTTTAGCGTCGCCTGTTGCACGCAGAGTTTGAGACGTAGAGCGAAACCACTCAAGAGAAGCCCATTCTGTTGGGTGTGCGTTTTTTCATGGTGCACATGTATCATTTGCTCATTTGCTCATTCTAGGAACCCGACATCCCATTTGTGTCTACCCCATTGCCCAGCCCCCCCCTCCCCCCCCCCCTTGTGCTTTACGATGCATCTGCAGAACGATAATGCAATTCCACGGGGGAAGCGTTCGTACCTCGCGACGATTGCTGTTCTAGTGTGTCGGGAGTTATTACTGTAATAAAAAAGGGTACGGCTGTAAAGAGCGATTGTGCGACGCGGACAGACTTATCTCGCCCAGTGGCGAGGGACACGGTTGGAGCGGGAAGTTCGGCTTTATTTTGCGCACAATCAAATGGATCAATTTAATCGGTGTATGTTGTTGATATTATTAAAGAACTTTTGTTTCAGGCTGTTTTGCTCGCCGTGCTTTTGTCATCGGCACGCGCGTGAGTGCATACACCTAGACGCAGGTGAATGCGACTTGCATCGCCGCGATCTCCAGAGACGATGCAGTTTACAAGTGATGCGTACAATGTGATCAAATTCGCAGGTCCCTGTGGAAGACCTGATAGGCCTGTGACCTCCATGGTGGGCAGTATTTGAATTTTATTGGAACACTAAATCCAGAAATATGTAATAACGCTTGGCAGTCGCGTTAACGTCGGGACTAGAATTTGTTTTGGCCTTTCCCCAGTTGCATGGTATGAGACGAAGACCTTTACCGTTTGGAACTCTCACAGAAAGTGGTGTAAACATCACCCCATGGCGAGAGAACAGGCTCCGGAAGATGACCACACCATTCATATCGATCCATTTGTTTCTTATTCACATGTGGTGGTGCACCTCCTCGCGTACCCCGCTATAGTAATGTTTATCTTTAAAAACTTGTACGATGTCAACCATGTTTGTAAGTCATTGGTGACCAGACTGAGACCCATCAATTCACTATACTTCAGAACCTGGTGTGGTCGTGGGTGGCTGAATCCCAGATTTGAACCAATGACCACATTAGTGCCAGCTCAGTGCGCTGGCATGGTATCCCCCCCCCCCCCGCCTGAGCCACTGACTACCTCGGTGCTATATGTATTAGATCTTAAGAAAAACATCCCATTAACTGCTGCCGTTTGCTCGACCAACCCAAATTTACTGCAGAGTATGAGCCAGTTTTATCATCGGCCATCAAAAGAAGCATTAAACCCTTGATTGTGATTCGGCTGAGTATGCTAAATATATTAATAACCCGATTTATGTCTCCCCCCTTTAACGGCGTTTCGCAAATCCGTCGTCACTTTATTAAATCCACTAATTGATTTGCGTCACCTCAACCCACACGAAGCTGGCGGCATCATCCGCCCTTTCTTGTATCCGGCGTCTCAGCCATCACCTTCCCTGTAATATCATCACTTTGCGTCGCTCATAGAAATGTACTGTGCTGTTGAGCACAATATATTATTTACGTACAGTAATTTGGTGATTTTATCGTGTACGATAGCGTGACCTGTATAATTTTTGTTAAAGTTTAGTGCTGTACACTAGTTTTGAGTGCAGTATGTTTAGTTTGCCTTTTGAGTGTTACATTATCACACAGAACGACATGGCCAAAAATATACGCAGGATAGGGCCATCCATTTAGTAGGTACGCAAAAATCTGTCAAAACCTGACCCCCCTCTCCCTGTACGCACGCGTACTTTTTATACCCCCCCCCCCCCCGAATCTTATAGAACGGCTGATATTTAATCCACGCAAGAAATGATCAAGGATTAATAATATTAACGTGTTTAAGCAAACCGTCCACCGCCGACTGCATTAAAGAATTAAGTTGCGTACCTTGGCCACTTATTTTGCTGAACTGCGTGATAGCTAATGGGCACGGTGGCACACGAGTGACACCTCTCCCACAGCCCCACTTCTCCCAGTAGTACTTGTTGTCTGACAGCTGAAGAAACTGAACTGTGGCTCATTTGAAGGCTAATGTAGACAAATTATTATCGAGGCTTCACCCCCCCCCCCCGTTTCCTATGCGTACGTACATTGTCAGTAGACCCCCCCCCCCCATACGCTAGCGTACGCATTTGGGTTAACCCCCCTCCCTGCGTAACGTACTAAATGGATGGCCCCTAAATACACTCTTCCCACAGTCGATTCATTCACACCTTCCAACGGATGCAGCAGTCTCACGGCTCGACTTTTTGACACGGAGATGAGAGTATGAAGAGCGGCAAACCGCCAAAAGCCGAAACATCAACCCCGTGGTTCCAAAAAAACAGACCTCGGGTAAAACCATGTAGAGCAGTGTTCTGCACTCAATTTTTCAAAGGAGGGCTACTTTTTCCGCTTAGACATCGGTATGATAGCCGCCACACATGTGAAATCATTGGGTTTGACAGCGTTAAGGGGTGTATTCACATGTGTATGATCAGGGGCCCACACTTCAGGGGCTGCAAGTGGCTCGCGGGCCTTGCAATGAAGAACACTGGGATAGCCAATACACGCCGTTTCGATATTCGTCGCACATTTCAGGAAACGCATCCCCGACGTAAACCGGGGCATTAACTTTACTGTCAGTCGAATTTTTGACAATTCTTTCAAGGAATGATCAAGTGCCAAACTTTTGGTCCTTTTTGGGCAAAATTGGGGAAAAATTGATTAACTGAATTTCTTGGAAAAAATGCGCTCCTCTATTGTTCTGTTTACCGTGCTATATTTTAAACGAAAATTAAAAATGTAAAGAGGAAAATACCTGTCCAACAGACGCCAAAGTTACTAGATGCGTGACGATCCTTGCTACGGTATTCCATGCACATTGGCACGTGCAAAACAGGCCTTTAAATTGTTAACGTGTGTACATCCTTTATTTATTTATCACACACATCAAAGAGTACTGTACATGACTTATGGTACGTGTAATAGCAATACATATGGAACACATTTTGTTCACATTGGTACAACTCTTAACGATCCGAGTAGGAACTGGTGATCACACAGCCCAGCGAAAAGCCAAATCAATGTAATGGCTTTCAAGTTTGCATTAGCGTCCCTTTTTTATGGTTCGCTCCGTACGGTGCGAACGAAGTTAAACATACAAGCCGGCGTGCAGCCACGTGCATTGTTATTGAGGATGTTCTCGCTGATTGCTGTTGGTAGTAGGGGGTGATCCAATTTTAGATATCCCATTGACTTCTATAACCCTGGTCTGGTGCAGAACATGGTTGGTTACAAGAGACGTGTGTGTTGGCGGGGCCTAGTTTTTACATGGGATATTTTCTGAGCCTGCCCCTCCCCCTCAACTCCCAGATCCACAGACCCACCACCCCCTCCCACAATCCTTCCCATCTTGCCACCGTGGGGTGCCACGGGATGTTAACCACCTTGCCCGGTATGCAGGAGGTCATGGGTTCGATCCCGACCCAGACGCCTGTTGTATATTTGGAATTTGCATGGTCTCTCTCTCCCCGTGGTCGCGTGGATTTTTTTTTCCAGGTCCTCTGGGTTTTCCCTCCAAATTTAGAATCAACATGCGTTTAGAGTATTTGAACTATCATTTACCATGTGGACCTCACATGGTAAAATAAAAAAAATGGTGAAGTTTCAGTTTAGAAATAATTCCCGCAATTGATGGATTGGCTAAGGCGGAACAATTAGCGTGGTTGCCCCTTATGCGCCTGCCTTAATGTGATAAAACCACGATATATCAACGTTGTAAGATGATCACACCGTCTATGATGGACAGAGTGTATTGGGGGAATGTTAAAGGCCTTTTTAAGTGTGTTCCGATTGGTGGGAGACGTGTGGACGCTTTTAAATCAAATGTTTTCTCCAATAATTGTATTGAGTTCTCTAGAAGAGGCTCACACCACACTGTTGTCGTACACTAACGCAATATGAGCGTTATTTTTTGGGAGGTTTCTGTTGGCTCAAGATGTTTACTCAGTCCTTAGGCCTTATAATATCAAAATACAAAAAAGCAATGGACCAAAAACCCGAAACAGTTCACGTACAGCAGCCTTATTTGTAAATCCCCTGCTTGATGGGGGCCTGTACCAATTTGGTTAGTGCAGGTTGAAGGCAGGGGGCATAGATGTTGAGGACCATAGAGGTATGGTACAACAATGGATGTTGCCGCACTGCCCTCTGCTGGCCACAGCGTAGCCTCGCAGTCTACAGAGGGCGACGTTGCACAATTGTAGCCCTCCTTAACAATCGCGTACAGCTTGTATCATCACTCCTCGTTATGCAATTATTGCTTTAACGCAGCCTTTGTAATGATATTAATAGTACATGCGATTAATTCCGGGCAATGTATCAATGGCTTATCTGAAACCGTTTTGGCACACACCCTCACACTACACTGAACATCCGCCCCCCCACCCCCCCTCTTCATCATCATCATAAAAAAAATAGAGTTATATTTGTTGGACACGTCTTAGATCACGAGTAACCCCTGCCAAAAATCATCCCAGAATGCAACAACAATAAAAAAAACAACAACCAAGAGCATTTCATACATTTTCCAATGGCCTGCTGCATTGTACAGTTTTCCCAAACACTGTAAAGGCATCGAATTTTTGCACGTTAAGACAATAGCCAAAATACCGGTCGCATCCTGAGAAATGTGCAGAGCGTACAGAGGAGATTACAGGAAGGGAGCCTTAGAAAGCTTCCGCAAGATTACACAAGACCTCAAACTGAAATCACAGCATTGAGCACCCATTGCAGAATTCTGCGCGACATAGCTGTAATATTCTTGGTTCTTTCGGTAAAGTCACGTAGAAGGAAAACAATAAAATAATAAAAATATAAACAATTCTCATGACGTTTCGACTGCAACACAAGCAATCATCATCAGGTGTGAAAACCACAGCAAGAATATTTGAAAAAATTGGCGTTTTTTTAACGTTAGCGCCACGGAGAGCGATTTGGCAGTTATTCAAATGGACGAGTCCATCTATGTTCGGAAAAGAGGAGGGGGGAGACGAAAATAATGGATGCGGTCTGAAAGCCACCGTAAGCGTGAACAATCAATTAAGACCCGAAATGGTTTATCAAATCCTTCCAATGATTGCTAAACCAGAATCCATCTTCTCGGTTGAAATTGTCTCTGTGTTTGTATATGTGGATAGCCTCATGAATGAATCTTTCATGGTAGCCAGATGGCTTGCAAAGAACCTCTGTCTTGGAGAAGTCAATGTCATGTGAGCCTACTAAATTATAACAGTGATCTGCCACGGCCGAGGTGTTGGTCCTACCGTGTTTTAGGTCTGCTTTGAGACAAATTCAACCGAGAAGATGGATTCTGGCTTAGAAATCATTGGAAGGATTTGATAAACCATTTCGGGTCTTGATTGATTGTTCACGCTTACGGTGGCTTTCAGATCGCATCCATTATTTTCGTCTCCCCCCTCCTCTTTTCCAAACATAGATGGACTCGTCCATTTGAATAACTGCCATATCGCTCTCCGTGGTGCTAACGTAAAAAATAACGCCACTTTTTTCAAATTTTCTTGCCGTGGTTTTCACAACTGATGATGATTGCTTGTGTTGCAGTCGAAACGTCGTGAGAATTTTATTGTTTTATATTTTTATTATTTTATTGCTTCCCTTCTACGTGACTTTACCGAAAGAACCAAGAATATGAATCCCTGCAGTCACGAAAGCTGTAAATCAAAATATAGCTGTAATAATTCTGTTTCGAGGTCGGGAGCTATTATGATGTGGTTAAATACTGCTTTAGTGCCTTTACGCAATTAATATTTGCATCGACTGAGCAAGGACAATAATGCCCATTTTACGATCCAATATATATACTATATAGTCCTCTGGTGGATAGTAAAACACAGGATTGTTATTTTAGTTTTCATGTAAACCCCCCTCCCCCCCCACTCCGTAAAAACCTGCACACGCGCAAAAAACATGTGCGGCGTTTCGAAAAGTGACACGAACGGCTGTGGTCGTTGAGACTAAACCTGAGTGCTCTGTCGTGCTTCGCAAATCTTTTCGTCGACATCCAGGAATTACGAGCTCAGTTTAACGCGAGGGCCGGTTGTGGGAGACGTTGACACGGCTGGCGCCTCACTGCCTCGCTTCCCTCCCCTGTGGGGGGCGGGCGGGCGGGGGGGGGGGGGAGGGCACGGGCTGCTTGATTGCTGCTTGACATTCACCGTCCATCTGGCCCCAACCCTGGAATTACACGAACACAGAGGCGCGATCAATCAAGGGATGCTCTCCCCCACGCCCGTGCGCGATAGATTCTGTCACGTCTAATGTTTACCGCCTTTTACGCAGACATCAAAAATACACACGTGAACGCGCGCACACACGCGCACATGTTCACACATGGACGCACAACAACAACCGACACCATTCGCCACCCACTGATGGTGATGTCGCCACGATGCTTGTGCCAGGCTATGTACATGGATGCATGCGCACGTATAGTCTTCATCAGACTGTTGGGGGCATATACTTTTAGTGAGCACCTATTAAGGCTGCCTCGGCACAGGAGGGAGTGGGTTTTCCAACACCATGCCTGGCCACCTTTGTCTTCCCAGTTCTGATGCCTATTCACCACACCAGGGAGGCCCAGGACTGGTTCCAATATTTTCCATTGTTATCAGTCCTGAGCGGGAATTGACTCAGATTGCCGGGTTTGTAGCACAGTGCACGCACACACACTCTCACACAAAGATTATCCACATGGTCTAAAATAGACTGTTGCGACAAGTGCAGATAGCAGTCACCTATGAAGGCCAGCACAGAACGTGAGGGGATGGTGTGGCCAGCACGATGGCTAGCCGAAGGCCCGTTTCTGCGAGGATGACCGGGGTTTGCGTGATAGTTTATGCTCCTTGACGAGATGAGCACGGTATTGGGGCAAGCTCCGTTAGCGTCATTCCGGGTGTGCGCGGCGTTGGTCTAGGATCCCCACCTTTGGCATGAGACCCGACGCACGTCCTTTGGCACTCTTCGGAGGTCAAGAAGTTGTTGTCGTTTCCTTCGCAGCCTCCGTACCAGAACTTCCCGCAGGCGTTGGCGTCGCCGTTGTAGTACCAGCGGGAGATGAAATTACGGCAGGGCCCCTGGTCCAACTGAACCTGGCACCTGAGTGCGTGGTCTGGCGTGGCGGGGGCCATACCGAGGGAAACCACCAGAAAGGGGGAAAAAAAAAAACATCGTTTTATCTGCAGCCGAGTTCAACATTTTGTAACCGCGACCAACGCCCTTCGTCGGCACGGAGAGCCGCCGCGTTGGGGCCGCACGCTAGGCTGGACAGTGAGACGATGCTTCGCGGCAGGGATCGTGAAATGGCGCTTTCATAACGGGGATTTCCGCTCAAGAGCACCGATCGATTCACACGGGGGCCCTGCTCGGGAACAGAGCGTGCGTGGGAGTGTCAACGTGAGGAAAATGGCACGCGGCTCTTCATCCCTCGATTTTATTGCATATACAGCTCTCTCGTCTCCTTAGACACTTCATCAAGACTATTCACCAAATTAGATGTATCGTCACGCGCGAGAGACAGGACCTAACGAGGAATTGCAGATTTATATTTCTTTTCAAACATAAACATGATGAAAATATAAAATTAATCATCATCATGAGTAATGACCTATCCACTGCTGGATGACGTCATCTCTAAGCCGTCGTCATCTCCCGCAGGAGCTCGATGTATCGACGATGACGGGTCGGAGAAGCCTTCATCTGGCGTGCGGATAGATGATTTCCCGTGGTGCCGATGACGACGAGGGTGATGACGAGTGAAATGCGTCGCTCCGCCGGCGGTGCGCGTGCCGCCCCCTGTGTCTCGGCACGAGCGGCAGGAGCTCTTCACGTTACCCGGGGTCGGGGGTCGCCGGGTCAGCAGGAAGGACTCCGGGGTCACGGAGGTCACGAGCAACGAGGTGGCCGTGACCGCCTCGACGGTGTTGCCAAAGTGTCCCGGCTCCCCGTTTCGATCCTGTGAACAAAGACAAAGATCCCCGTATAGCCTTTAACAGACTGTTGGGGAAAGTGCTGTTAGCAAGCACCTGTGAAGGCCGGCATGGCACACGAGGGCGTGGGGTAGTCAACACCACGCCCGGCCGCCTTTGTCTCCCCAGTGACGATGTTTACGCACCGCACCAGGTACTCATTTAAGGCTGAGTCGACCTCGGGAAGGCCCAGGACCAGTTCAGATAATCGTCACTGGTGTTGGTCATGAGCGGGAATCGAACTTGGGCCACCGGGTTTTGTAGCACAGTGTGCTAACCACTGCACATTCTTGCGTGCACTCGGGCTTTTGCTGCAAATACTGGACTGTGGGCGGGGAAAGGTAAAGCAACTCGCCGAGACTCACTCCAATTACACTCGTGCATTGTTGTTCACTTCGATCAAATACCAGAAATAATAATCATCTACTGCCCTTTGCCAATCCGCTGTGGGATGAAAACCTCGCCATGCTGTGGGGGGTTCTGTGACCATACTTCACCAAGTTGGTCAGCGTAGGCGGTCGGTCAAATTGGTGTGTCCAGAAACAGTTTAGGCATCGCTCGCCACTGATGTTGGCCGTGGTCAACATCGGCGGTGTTCACAGTGCATGACACCAACCACTGTGTCACTGCTCCACCACCCACTTGCTGAAATTACAAATTAAAATATCAGCCTAACGATGGAACAACTGGGGTGTTATTTGTCACATCTTATGGATATCAATCCCCCGTTAGAAGAATGACAACCAGCTCGATTACTCTATCGCTCTTCTTTTTGTTCCAACAAACTTGACTCATTCATTCCTCCGCCCACAAGTCAGTGAACCAGACTGACTCGTATCTTCTCATCCACAGTGTTCAACCACCACACTGCAGGGCACAACAACACACTCACCCACTCACTGCACTGCAGGTCACACGCACAGCTCGACATAGGAATACCCTCTCATTCTCGCCTCCCCAAAGCTCGTATACCCTTGCTCAATTAAAAAAAAAACATTAACTATTTGACTATTTTTAATTCACCAGGCAAGGCCCATTGAACTACACAGCTCTTTTTAGAAGCAACCTGGCCACAAATCGCTCAATGTAGTGGTTTATCATGTGGAAATGTACAGCAGCCAAATTCTCGAAACGCACGTTTCTAAATGTAGAGGGAAAACCCGGAGGACCTGGAGAAAAATCCATACAACCACGGAGACAGCATGCAAACTTCACGGCCTTCCGCATACCAGGCGAGGTAGTTAACATCTCGCCACCGCAGTGCCACCTTTATCTACAGCACCTTCGACAGCGCCGTTTTCTGCTGGCCGGCATTTGGGGCCTGTGTTCAACAACCGTGGCAAAAAGAGCAAAAGTGGATAGAAGCCAGCGCAGAGGTTCACAAGTCCCGTGTTGGGAAGATGGTGGCTTCCTCTTCCTCCTGCTCCCCACGCGCACCTGCATGCGTTTCCCGCGCTCCTCCGGGCTCCTGCCATTGTGCGCCGTCGCCGGGAGGGCTGGAGTCCGCACGGGAGGTTTTGGTGCCGGCGAGAAAGGCGTGCCGTCCTCATCCTCGCACAGCTGGCTCACGAGCTTCATCTCCAGTGCTGGGGCACGCACAGTCGCGCGCACGCACACACGCGCACACACGCGACCTTGAGAAGCAGGCGGCGCGTGCGCGTTAGCGTGAAGAAAATTCCCTTGCTTAACCATAGGGGACCTCATTGAGATTCAGTGAGATTCGCTGTGCCTGCCAGCAGCAGCAGCAACAGCAGCCGGAGTAATCATTGTCAAGGAGAGATTGCTAATAATTTGTGAATGCAATTTTGAGATCTTGAATTTGAGCTGTGAGAGAGAGAGAGACGTCTAGAGGATGATGGACACTAAACGATTTGCAATGGGAATTTCTGAGGTGAACGTGCATTTTCAATCCTTTTCCACCCAAATCTATCTTGGGTCTGCTATCGGTGACATGTCATGATATGGAGACTCTATTCGGTGTTAGAGAACAGCCCACTGAAGGGGATACCACACAGATACCCACGAGATCCAATCAAGTGACCCATGATCCACCCCGTAGGGAGGCCGTACTTTCCCACCTGACGGTTTCCCCAATATTTGTAGTTATCACAGCGGGAACTTAGCCAAACTTAATGTGGCACCAGATTTAACTGCAATGACTTCGGTGACCTGGCTGAGAGACCTTGTGGATGAAACTTGGATTCAAACCAGGGAATCGGTATGGACGCATGTATGTTGAACTTTTTTGGCACTGTACGTAGCCAACCGCGCTAATCGTGCGATTGGCTACGCACAGTGTACAGCCCCAGTGGCTTCCTAATATCGGAAGGAAGAGCATTCCAGACGGCCGCAGAAGCGCATCGTGAAGCGCGCGATGCGGTGACCGTGTAGTGGACGGGGGGAGGGTAAGTCCTAGTCCCTGATGTTAGCCACGGCCGGGATTCAAACTCCGTTCACCACCAGGTTAATTTTGTAGTGCGCTCACCACTGCACCCCTTATCCAACCATGCTGCCCACTATCTACGTACGCCCTTTCTCAGAGCCAGACTCGCTTCTCAAGCATCAGAACGCATGAGCCGTGGCCTGCGTCCGTCAACGCTGTGGTTGGTGTTCCACCCAGCCGAGCGCTCTGAACATCCGAGCCGACCGTCCTCCACCCCCCCCTCCGCCCCCCCCCGCAACCCAAAACCCGCTCCTCGCCCGAAAAGCGAAAACCGTTCGGCCTCCACGCCGCTCGCTCCCGAGCGGCGCGGCAACCTGGCAGCGTGTTGAAGTCGTCGATGAGGTAGACGTGCTCCTCGTCCGGGTCGGACGCGATGAGGTTGAGCTCCCCGACGAAGGCGGCGTGGCCCGGGTCGCTGCGGTTCACGATGCCGATGGCGTACACCTCGACGGCCGCCACCTGCGCCCCGCGCACCGCCTGTCCCAGCGGGTAGGGCTCGCGCGGGTCCGTCTCGCCGTCCGTCAGCACCAGGGCCACCTTGGGCACGCCGTGCCGGGCGCCCGCGAAGCCCTCGGCGACGGCGCGCTGCAGCGCCGTGCCCGTGTAGGTGCCCTCGCCCAGGTAGGCCATGGCGGTGACGGCGCGGCGCACCTCCGCGGCGCTCGCGTGCCGGCCCAGCCCGAACTCCAACTGCACCTCCCGGCTGTACAGCACCAGGCCCACCTGGCGGTGGCCGCACGGGCAGCGGGGGTCGGGTGGGGGGTGGATGTCGATTTAGAGGCTCTCAACCCATGGGGCGCACCACCACCCCCCCCCCCCCCCCCCCACCACCAGAACCACGGGAGAGAGTCGTGGATGCAAGCGAGTCTCTGCGGATTGCTACTGACCCGGGTGGCGTTGCGTCCAATGGGCAGCTTCTCAGTGAGCGCGCTCACAAACTCCTTGATGATCTGGAAGTTGTGGGGGCCCACGCTCTCGGAGCTGTCGATCACAAACATGAGCTCGAGCGGACGCTGCCGGCACTTCACTCCACAGCCTGCCACGCACACACGGGCCCACGAAACACACCCGTTCGCTCATCTAGTCACACACACACTGTTGGGGGGCAAGTGCTTATAGTTGGGTGAGCAAATATTAAGTTTATGTCTATACGTATGTTGAACTTCTTTCGCACCGTATGTAGCCAACCGTGCTAATCGGAGCCTTCACCAACCCGCACTGACCAGCGTGGTGAAGTATGGTCAGAACACCCCCACCGTGACCAACGGAGTGTGTGGTGGAGACCCTAATCCAGCAGTGGGTTGACAGAAGGGCCATATTGTGTTATTAAAGGTTGGCAAGGCAACACGGGGCGAGGGTGTGGTGTGGTCGTAACCACGCACGTTAGCATTCGGTTCTCCCCACAGCTTATCATGTTTACTGACCACACCAGAGTCAGTTAAGGCTGAGTAGCAAACTGGGAAAGACACAGGAGGACTCAGCTTGCCACTGATGTTAGCCGTAGCTGGGATTGAACTCAAGCCCTCCGCCCCCAAACCCCCGCATTGAAACGCCGAGTGTAATCGACTCTCTCGCTCTCTCGCAACAAACGCAGATGCAAACAGCACAAGAGAAAAAACTAACAGTGCATTTGTTTTCCATTGATGGTTGACAAGTGAAACTTTCGTATTTATTGTGCAGGCAACAGGTGCTCCGACGCTTTTTTTTTCCATACCCATGGGCTTACTCACCACATATCTCTTTGATCAACTTAATGATTTCTTGCCTCTGGAATGAATAAGAAAAGAGAAAGGGCAAACGCAAGTAATTGCATTACCTTCTCAAAAAGTTACCGTCCGGGCAACAATACTGTGCAATAAACGCGCCAATCTCACGTGGCCTTTTGATGTCTTTTAACGATATTTCAAATTGAGAGCTCTCCCCGCAAACAAACCACCATGTGCAGATGGCACCGTTCCCTGACGGCACACAGTCAACGGGCACTGAGCCAGCTGGGGAGGAATGCGGGGCCTAACACGCGCCTTGCGATAATGTCTGGGCTCTCCTGACCCATATGTACGTATGTTGATGTACGTATATTGTTGGCCGTGAGCGGGAATCGAACTCTGGTCGCCAGGTTTGTAGCGCAGGTTCGTAGCGCAACGCGCAATGAACCTGGTGACCCGAGTTCGATTCGCGCTCACGGCCAACATAAGTGACGGTCGGGCGTGGTGCTGGCCACCCACCCCATTCGTGTGCCGTTCCGGCCTTCATAGGTGCTCGCTAACAGCACTTGCCCCAACAGTCTGTTAAGGCTATGCGGGGGATTTTTGTCTTTGCTGTTTTTGTGTGTACGTTGAATTTCTTTCGCGCCGTATGTAGCCAACCGTACTCATTAGAGATGCGGGGGGGGGGGGGGGGACACGAAACAACGTAAAAAGGCAGTTTCATAAAAAAATAGATTTCCTAATGTCGGAAGGTAGAGCGTTACAGACGGCCGCAGAAACGCATCTGAAAGCGCACGATGCGGTGACCGTCAAGCCTGCATTGCCACTGTAAGACTGAAAGCAGGAAGACCTCTTCACAATTCTGGCAAATCGCCTGATGAAGCTCGTTGTAATCACCAGCGAAACGTCATTAACTCAATTTGATGATGTTGTGGGTTTACTCTCCAACACACCGGTGTGCTGAAGTAGTAACTAATTAGCACGTCTTGTTCACGCAACAAACCTCTCAAATGTGGCTGTGTCGGGTGGTGGTGATGGTTTAATGCCACATTTCAATTTACGCGATTTAACCCGAAAACCTTTATTGTGAATAGTATTGTTCGTAAAAGCCTGCTTACGTGCTAAACTGACTGTGGCTATCAGAGCCTTACCCATGGAACACACTGTCAAACAGTGCTCACTTTCGCTCGGCCTCCGACAGCGTCTCAGACATTCATTCACAACATCACCCAACGGGATCAGAAAAACTTTGATATCAACAATGTAACGTTGCTAATTGCCCAGCCATACGAAAGAACAAAATAAGCATGGCCCGGCATGGATCATTCAATAAACGAGTGGCCCTGACACTCGGGAATCACGGGGATTCTACAACAACCCAGCAGGGGACAGATTTAGCAGATTAACTTGGATAGAATTCAAAATGTGAGGGGGGAACAGCCTCCAGCCAGCCGACGATCCATCGTCAGTTCACCGATTCGTCTGTCGAAATCGATCGTTAAGCTCACGATGCTCGTGCGGGATAGTGGACCACTTTCTGGCGTCAACAAAAGAAACCCGGGCGCACCACACTGCAGTAAATAGTCCGGTGTTGGGCGGTGACAATCGTATCTGGAACAGTTCCACTGGCGACGTCGCGCCACGGCCTTGCGGACAGAGGCGGTGTGCGGACCGCATGTTGGGAACCACTGGAACAAGACGGGTGTAAACGGGACGAAGCAATTGATCGCCGCTTCGAATCGTGTCCCCGAATCGTGATAACCGTTTGAATAGCGTGAGGGTTGAATGATTTTATACCTAAGCACAACCCTGCAGCGTGACCTTATCAGTGTCACGACTCGGTGAAAAATGCTGAACAGAATGAGTAACGATCCGATCTGCTTTCGTCGATGATGCTCTCTGTTGCAGTGCTTACCCCCCCTCCCTCCCTCCCCCCCCCACTGTATATTTGAGAAGGGGACTGTGGCACCCATTGCTTAGTTGTGCTCAAATTATATATTTAAATGTTTTACCAGGTAAGGCCCACTCAGGTATACAACTGTTTTTCAGAAGCGACCTGGCCACAAATGATAGCTCAACGAAGTGGCTTATCATGTGTAAATGTATAGCAGCTAAGCACTGTAAACGCGTAATTTAAAATGTTGAGGGAAAACCGGAGGATCTGGAGAAAAATGCACATGACCACGGGGAGAGAGAGAGACATGGAAACTCCAAATATACAGGCATCAGGGTCGGGATCGAACCAACGCCTTCCTGCATACCAGGTGAGGGAGATAATATCTCGCCCAGCCCCCAATTTGCTTATCAAATGAAGATGGAACATTATAAGAAGCGGGGCTGAGTCTTCAGCAGGGGCAGAGCTGTCCTTCGGCAGGATACGGCGAATTGGGATGACTGTCCCGGGCCCCGTGTTTTTGGGGGCCACGCGCTTCCCTGTCACGGTATCAGATGCAATGGACCACCCTGAGAAGGGGAGTTAACTACCATGTACCACCAGCCCCCCCCCCCCCCCCCCTAGGAAGCTATTGAGGCACCTACGCAAGTATAATCTTTTTTAGCATGAAGTAAAGATTTCAACCTGCTCTGATATTACAACAACAACTCGCAACTCAACACATTCATCAACGAGATTGCAGTTTGGTTTCGCTAGGGCAGGGCTGCACAGATGGGCAAAGGGCTTGTGTACTCACAGTCAGCGCCGGATCGCCTTTCTGGCCGACCCTGCCCTGGAGGTGAAGGAGAGACAACAACGGGAAGCATTGTTAAATGGTCCGCGTCTTACCGATATGAAAAACCACTCAAGCTCTTTTGCTTGCAGCGAGTAAACAACACACGGCGCCTTATTGCGCTACTGTAGGCGGGGCAGTCGGGTCACACTAACACAAAAGGTATATTTGCTGCACCGTAGAAATCGCACGTGGCCATCGAGTGTGTCGGCGGTGCAACTTCACTGGGCGGCCCACGGCCTGGATGGGTCCAAACGCTGGGCTACGAACCACACCACGCCCGACTGATTATAACCACAGCACGAGCTGAGCCAGGTAGACTTGGTCGTTCGAGGTTTTGTGGGTACCCAGTTCCATCGTGACACCGCAATGCGCGCACGGGCATAACAACGAAGCCGGTAGTAGGGTGGTGGCTTGTGTCACGGTGACTTTGTGAGAAATCTGATTGATCAACCGTTTCGAGTACAGCACGGGTACTCTGCTTCTCAATTTACCAACAAATCGTACCTTTGTCCTGCCAATATGCATACGGGGTTCAAGCAGAGACCTGATTGAGGGATAGCTCACCTGGAACAAAGCCCAGGTTTGTGTGTGAGAGGTGGGGCCGTGCAGTCCAGTTCACTTTTTTTTAGTACGATCATGTAATTTGGATGTTGTCGAAAATTACACTCCGAACAAAGCCGATTCGATCCACATTCCCATCGAGTGGAATAGGATCGGTCAGTCGATCCCGTCGAGAAGGGGAGACCGAGTCCACGAAGCTTCGCGGCTCACGGGATGCGGGCATGCTGACCCAGGACATGTCGCTGAGACACGGAAGCGTGCCAGGGGTCATTCCTCGTGCTTCAGTGTTTGCGAAAGAGTCGCGTTATTTGCGGGCTCATCATGCACGCGGATCGAGCACATTTGTTTTCTTACAATCACCTGGTAATATCGCGACGCACGTAAAAAAAATAAAACAACCAATGCAGGTAAAATACAAATACACGCCGCTCACCGCCGCCACGGCCAAACAAACTTTACGTCGCTGCAATCCGATCAAACGAACGACAAACACACGAGACCGAAGGCGCAAAGCTCTTGTAAGCGTGACGATTGGTGCGGGATGCGGACACTGACCATAGCACCGAGGGACCCCTTCTCACCGGAGCTGCCCGCATCTCCCTTGCGACCCTTCTCTCCGTGCAGACCTCGGTCGCCCTGCACACGGCCATCACGAAACTCTTGAGTCATGGTCGTCACCATTGAGATTTGCGCTCAGAGTACGAGATGAGTGAGAGCGCATCCCTAGGTTGCCTTTGTCTGCGTGCATGTGTGTGTGTGTGGTGTCTAATTCTGTTTCGACAACGTGCCCATAGTTTAGTATTTTGAATCCTATGGCAATTTAATGCACAAAGCTCAGCTTACAGCTCAGTAAGAAAGTTAATGCTATCAATCTAGTCATGAACACTCATTAATAAAGAATGTACAGCTAACTCTCAAATAACCATGGGAAGATTATCCGTGTTGTGGATTAACCGTACTGCCAAAGCATAAATTGCATTATCTTTACACGCTGGTCTGGTCCAATTATTCGCTGCTCCTCACTCGTCAAGGATCACAGCCTCAGTGCCCATGTGGCCACAAGTGACGTTGTTGGCGCCAAGCAAACCGATTACTTTAAGAAGCAAAAAATAACATGGAGACGCATCCTACGCCTTCACTCCCCACCCCACCACCGTTCTGCAGAAGTAAACGATAAACACGGTTTGTAGTCTCATCTCCATGCGTTTCCCATTGTCCGTGTTTTCAGTTATATCTGTGCCAAGGCTCCCCTACTTTCCCCTGGTTAATTGACAGTTGACTGCACTGCACTGCGAAACAGGTCGTGGTTATTTATTTGTCACAGCGTAGGTCAATATCGGACCCAGGTCTACGCCGTGGGCCAGACCCACAGGACGCTGCTCACCTTTGGTCCGGGGATACCCTCCCCGAGAGGCCCGCGTGGTCCGGGGAGGCCCTGGAATCCCTGCTCCCCCTGGGACGAGACAGAGAGAGAAGACCCCAGCGAATGAGCCTCAAGAGAGCAGCCGGCAGGACAAGCACAAATTAAAACAAAGATCCCCCGTGTAGCCTTAACAGACTGTCGGGGCAAGTGCTGTTAGCGAGCAACGATAAAGGCCGGACGGCACACGAGGGGGTGGGGTGGCCAGCACCACGCCCGACTGCCTTTGTCTCCCCAGTGGCGATGTTTATACACTGCACTAGGTACTCATTTGAGGCTGAGTCAACCTAGGGGAGGGCCAGGACCGGTTCAGACAATCGTCATACATACGCACATTTATCAGTAACCCTGCCTTCGAACAAACATATAACCCACTCCGAAATACCCAAATATATGTGCACATGTCAATATCAGATGCTGCCATGGTGTGATGGTTAGCACACTGGACTTGCAACATAGAGGTCGCCGGTTCCATTTTATCTCCTGGCGCGGCAGCCAGAAACAACGGGGTGGGGTTTCTTAAAGCCCTCTCCCCACCTCTGCCCACCCCAGCAGTGTACATGGGTCCGCCCTTTCCCAAGATGCCTAGCCAGAGTGGAAGAGGAGGCCGAACTACCATCTAGAGGGATGTCTATAGAGCTCCCTCTAGTGGCACCACTTAGCAGTGGCGTGCGCAAGCTCTTTCTGACCTGCACCGTTAGATTTTAAATAGCAGGCCCACGCTTTGAGCAAATATTGGCCATCAAGGCAGTTCTCATTCAATTTTTTATGTTGCGTACATTTAAACATGATAATGCAATAATGAACAGCGTTCATTGTAAAATAAAATAAATGGCAATTCATCTTATGGTTATGTCGAAAGAAGGTGCAGCATAATTATTTCCTGTGGAGTAAATAATATATGAGCACTTGGCAGTGGTGGTATTGGTGTCAGTGGTGGCAGTTTTTGTGGCAGTAGTGGTAATGATGGTGGTGATTATTAATGTGATGGTTGTGATGGTGGCGGCGACGGTTGTAGTTATTGTGTGGTGATTATTAATACGATTGTGGTAGCGGTGCCTGTGATGGTGGTGATGGTGGTGGTGCTGATGGTTGTAGTGGTGGTGGAGCTTGTGGACGCTGTGTACCTTGGCTCCCTGGATGCCCTCCCCAGACGGTCCATGGGGCCCAGGTGGGCCCTGCCGGCCGACGTTTCCCTGCGCCAGTTTCACGGTGAACAATCGCACGCGGAGATGTGTCAAACGAACGCGCTCACATCCCAAACTCAGCGACGCAGCTATCGAGCGTGCGGGGCCATGCAGCTGCACCAGGGCCTGGGGCCAGAGGGGCCCAGGAAAAGGGCTACGTAGAGTGGGGAAGGTGGGAGGGGGGGGGGGGAGGCGCTGGCTCTTGGCTTGCGGCCCTGGCAGTGCCAGCTTCAGACGACGTCGGCATTTGCCCAGAGCGGTGGGAGATTGTTGAGACCCGGGAGGAGTGGCAATGTCAAGTTGTGCAGTCGGGTGGCAGTGATTGGTGGGTGTGTGTGGCAAGTGACCTGCTCGGGTGACACCAAGACGCCTCAGCCTACGTTGTTTGAGACGCACGCATTGAAACTCATCATAGGCACGCGGAGACGTGGCAAGAGGGGCCAGTGGTAGAACAGAGGGAGAGGATGCATTTTATTCCCTTACATCAGTGCCCATTAAGTTTAAAACGAAGGCTTTAGCGACCAATATTATGCATAATAAGAGTTTTTTTGGGTTAGATCGCATAAATATAAATGTGTCGTTAAATCCGCCACCACCCGACACAGCCAATCAGTAAGGTTTGTCACGTAAACAAAGCATGTCAAATAGTTACTAGTTCAGCACACCGGTTGTGTGTTGGAGAGGGCCCATGCAAACCATGCTACGGCACTTCCCAAAAACAGACAATGCTGGAGAATCTAACCAAACCCACCTTCAGCGTTCATTCAAAACCCAGACAATGCGAGAACGCTGTTATTCTCGAGTGTTACCTTTGGACCAGGCTGCCCCTCTCCTGGGGGGCCCCGACCTCCCGGTAATCCCCGGATCCCGGTGTCCCCCTGAAAAGGAAGGAGTACGAGGAGATGACTTGCGTCTGTGACATACCAAGGCATTGATCGGTTCACCTCCGTTGAGCTGTCAGAATTCAGCGTCGCCATTCAATTCAAGGGGTCGATAATTTTTCGTCCCGTTTTTGCCGTCACGTTTGTATTGTTTATCGTTTCGTCCTAGAGTACCTCGTTTGTATGATGAAAAAAAAACTAAGTTAACGCATTCTTAAATAAGATATTGGCTTAAATGAACAAAACAAATATCATATGATTTTTCTGCTATGAAGAAGGGCCATTACTGAAATGTCGTCTTTTATATATATGTTTTTATTTTAAGGCCACAGTATTGTTAACGACTGTGCTATTTTTTTTGTTCATTGTGCACCACTGCCGAAGGCGCAGCAGCAGCATCACCCAATAATTTCATTAAAAGATGAAGGGTGGAGATCAAAGGATCGTGCCAACTGAATGGCGTGTCACGCCTGTTTTGAAGCTATTTCGCCACTGTGCATGGATCTCAGGTGTTGCCATGTACATTTACGTGTTATTTAGCACCATTACAAAAAAAAGAGCAATACAGAGCACAGATGCACATCCTGTACATGTGTGCAAGGGGTGGGAGTGCTACAGTGCAGTAGTGAGCGCACTGCTATATCAACCTGGCAAATTTGAGTTCAATTCCCGGTCACGACTCAACATCAGTGGCGTGCGATGTCTAAACCAGGTCCTGGCCACTCCCCTACTGACCAGCTCGTGGAGGTATGGATGGAGGCCTTCATCCAACAGTGGATTGACATGGCGGGGCGTGGGCCCCGTATTTGTTTATCTGATAAGTGCATCGCGTGTTATACAGGGCACAGACGAGCAGACAAACACTGTGGGTTGCAACAACAACAAAAAGACAGCACGGCTCGGGGCACCTTTGAACCGGGCAGCCCGACGCCTTCGAGTCCCGGCTCGCCCCTGAGTCCCGGCAGGCCCTGCAGGCCCTGGGAGTCGAAGAGGGCCGGCAACACAGCTCGGGTTCAGCGGCGACGACGCGAGACACAGTCAGTCATCGCGCCGCCTTAAGCGCATTCAAATATGAGCCGCCGTGCAAACGTATACACGTCGCGTGCAAATGTATATTTTATGGGGAGAGGGGGATTTAATAGCCAAGACAATAAAAGGCCCGGCAAGGCACACGGCCAGAATCTAAGGGCCAGGAACGATCGTATGGCAGATTTGGAGGGAAACCGCGCTCCGTTTGTTGAGCAAGAAACCTGGGATAGGGGAATGCCTGGAGGGAGATTCAAATAAGAGCTTTACAAGGGATGGAGATGGAAGAGAAATGTTTTGACCTGCAGTACGTACAGTGGTTGAACAATGTGTGGATGACATGAAGTGATCAATCTGGTAGAACGAGTCCCCGAGATGGGCGTGAAGTCCATGAGATCAATTTGAGTATTGGGGTTGTGGTAGCAGCGATAATAGAGCAACAAGGAAGTGACTGAACGATGGTTACAGAGGGACTGGTGTGCGTAAGAGCCATCAGTCCATTAAGCCGCTTAATGTTGGAATCTATCCATCACTGTCACGTTGGAACTCGGAGCTCCAGCCCTAAAGTAACCGCGGTTTCCAACTTTGGCCAAACTCACACTTAGTACAGCAGCAGCAAATGATCACCGGTGAGAAAAAAAAGGGTAGATCCTCGATGCCTCCTAAGCCAGATTTGTGACGAGTCAGGTGAAATGGTTTTGCCGAGCAGATTTATGGATTCACTGTTGGTAACATCAGCACCGTTAAACGTGACTGCGATCACGTTGCTCTCCCAAGCATTGTTTCCATGTAGCGACAGAGAGCTGAGGCATTGCTATCGAGTGAGTGGTACAGCAGGCACTGCAACTGCACGAGTGCGCCCGAGGCGCTGAGCACAATTGCACAATGGGCACCGACTTCATCCTTTGCAACAAGGCCCATGCCAACCACTATTACATTTTTTGTTTTAGCAGGTAAGGCCCAATGAGCTATCTAACTCTTCTTCATGAACGGACCAGGCCACAAATGATAGCTCGACTAAGTGGTTTATCATGTAGAAATGTATAGCAGCCAAATACTCTAAGCGCATTTTGATTGTAAATGTGAAGAGAACAAAAAATCCACGTGACCACGGGGAGAACATGCAAACTCCAAATATATAGGCGTCAAGGTCAGGATCGAACCCACAACCTCCTGTATACCGGGCAAGGCAGTTAACATCTCGCCACACCCCACCTCTGATTCAGGGTGAAATTTCACGAGGTCTACGTTAGGCAGGCGAGAATCTGTAACGCTCGGCTCGTGATTTCAATGGATGTGAAATGTCTGCACTCACCTGGGGGCCTGGGTAGCCCTCTCCCTTGCCACCTTGGGGTCCGATCGGACCTGGGAATCCTCTCTCCCCCTGGAAACACCAGTTCGCATGCAGGGTGCATCACAGTGGTCAACTTTCGACAATGCAATAACTCACTGTAAGGATGAGCGATCATGCGACTGGCTCAGAATGCCTCAGGCTCAAAGTCACGCTGTGGCACTTGCCCTGGAAAATAATTCTGATCAATGATCGAACGGTGGCACGCCACCCACAGCGTTCACGGACGCAGGCCACGGGTCATGCGTTCTGATGCCGTGAGAAGCGAGTCTTGGCTCTGAGAAAGGGCTTACGCGGATAGTGGGCAGCATGGGGGATCAGGGGTGCAGTGGTAAGTACACTCCACAATGAACCTGGCGGTGAATGGAGTTTAAATCCCAGCCGTGGCTAAGATGAGTGACGAGGACTCCCCGCCCCCTCGCCCACTACACGGTCACCGCATCGCGCGATTTCAGATGCGCTTCTGCGTTCCGACTGGAATGCTCTCCCTTTTGTATCTAATTTGAAAACTCATTTCTTCAGAACTGCTTTCTGTGTTTAGTTTGTTGTCCTTCCCCCGCACCCTCCGATTAACACGGTTGGCTACGTACGGTGCGAAAGAAGTTCAACACACGTACATACACACTCCCACCAAGATAGTGAAGCAGTGGCGTAGCTATAGAGCACGCAGGTGGTGCAATTGCACCAGGAGGGAGGGGGGGACACGGGCAGGAAGGGGCCCAGGTTCCAGGATCCAAAAGCTCTACAGGTAGCCCCCCATTTAATTCCTTGCACCAGGGACCATGCCAAACCACGCTATACCACTGTGGTGAAGTATGGTCACAACAAAGCCCCGTGACCGAAATGTTGTGTGGGAGGGCCTTCATCCAGCAGTGTATTGACAAAAGGGCCTGAACAATAAACACTTGTCTGCCTGACTTATCTGCAGAAGTCCATCACCCCACCCAGGGGTGGAGCCGGGGGGGTGACAGGGGTGACATTCTGCGTGTAAGTGTACGACACTCGGTCTGGCGGACTCCGTGCAACTGCATCGTCAGAGTGTGTCGCCAACCGATGGCGTCTGGTTCAACAGCTTGACTCTCTAATCATTCTTGAAATTAAAATTTGTTGAATGTCACCCCGGCCTGAAATCCTAGCTCCGCCCCTGACCCCACCCCTTGGGCTCTCCCAGGGTGCATTGAGAAAGACAGTCAACACACCTTTGGTCCCTGCAGGCCAATCCCGATCTCACCTATGAGCCCCTGAGGCCCAGCATGGCCGGGCTCGCCCTGAAAGGATACAACACATCACAAACAAGGCGCACGCCTCTCGCTCACACCCAGATCCCCAGACAGACGGAGACTTGATGGGATCTCAAAATTAGTTCTGTGATATCCAGTTCTGCGGGACCGTTGTCGAACGTAGACGATTGCGCTGCTCTGGGGGGGGGGTCGAATGGATTCGTCGTTGATTGACACGACGGCGATATCACAATTGGGATAAAATCGTGGAAAAAAATACAGAAAACGTAATGATTCAAATGAAGGTTACCGACCCACTTACGGAAGACATAAATACATCATGAGGTCGCAATCATTACATACAAAATGCTTTCTACAAATGAACCCACGATACCTTGCTGATTGCGTGAAGAAGCATAAACAATCACGCAAAGTCTGATCATCCTCGCAGCGGCTTTTGGCTAGCCATGGAACCGAGATCCCCAGACACACTTACACGACATTTGTAACTGTTACAGCTGGAGAAATTGTTTGTGAACCTGCTGTGTTCACCATGTATTTTCTGCTTGATTGCAGTATGATGTTCATGTGTGTGTGTGACTTTGGTATGATATTCAAATGTGTGTGTGATTGCGGTGATACGTTCAAATGTGGCTGTGACGCAATGTTCATGTATGTTACTGCGGTGTAATGTTCATGTGCGTGTGACTGCTGTGTGATGTTCATGTGTGTGACCGCAGTGTGTTTATGTGTGTGTGACCGCAGTGTGATGTTCACGTGTGCGTGACCGCAGTGTGATGTTCACGTGTGCGTGACCGCAGTGTGACGTTCATGTGTGCGTGAATGCGGTGTGATGTTCATGTTTGACCGCAGTGTGATGTTCATGTGTGTGTGACTGCAGTGTGACATTCATGTGTGCGTGAATGCGGTGTGATGTTCACGTGTGACCGCAGTGTGACGTTCACGTGTGCGTGACCGCAGTGTGACGTTCACGTGTGTAACTGCGGGGTGATGTTTATGTAACTGCGTTGTGATGTTTATGTAACTGCGTTGTGATGTTTATGTGTGCTGTCGTGTGCCTGTTATTCAGGCTGTATAAATAGATGTACGACTTTGCATAATTGTATATAATGGATATATTTGGGTTTAAACGTGTCTGTACAAGTGCTATTACGTGTTTGCTGACCCCCTGGTGGACACCAGGCGCGGTTCGTCCACTCGGGGCATTGAAACACCGCCCCACCAAGCACATGGAGATGAGAAATTATTTTTCCAATAAAATATACTTTTCGATAAAAAAAAGATTTGTGTTTAAAAAAAGTAAAATATGATTCTTTCAACGTGAATTGCCTAACGACGATAACATTTGAAGTCGTTCATATTAGAAACCGCTGCAGCGCCACAGTCTGATTTGAGCCTTGGGGAGGTCTCGGCTCGGGGCGGCTGTGTAGACGTCCGAGTGAGAGATTTCCCTTCATTCGTTGCGATGAGCTTCTAGCATTGTAAGCCACGCCGTTTGAGACCCATTCAGGGCAGTGAAAAAAGTCGCCCATGGCCGTAATGAGAAAACGACGGTGTCACGACGCGAGGTTGCACCGTGCAAACAGAGCAGGTCACGGCTTTTGGCAGCATCAAAGGTGTTGCGTGGTGTGGACTTGAAGGTCATTGGGACATCATTTGAGTGCTTTGGTGTTTTATTGTCGTATTGTTTATAAATGCCTACCGTCGGTAGACAAGACAGTTATAGCACTTTCACGGGAAGGGCAATAACACGACGAGGTTTTTTCTTAATTAGCACAACATGTTTTCAGAGGTCACTCACAACAGCCCCACCTAGTGGACATGTCACGAGCTGCTACTGATGAACACCCTTGCGAAGGGAGATATCCAGGTAACACATAAACAAATATCAACCTGTCACTAGTGTCGTGCATCTGTAGTGCCCTATATTATTGCATTGCACCAGCCTGCCACAAAGTAGTAATGAAGCATGATCCGGTGAATGTGATCTCGTGGTTTTTAATTGTCCTTGCTATTTAATTATTGCAATTTGTTGATGACCAGGTCACTCTGTGCACATGAGACTCATCCCGATCTCTTGATTTCTCTCACCTGATTAAACAATATCAACTGACTAAGCACAATTCATGATCATTGGGCGTGAAATATTGACATTGTGCTGGAGTGCATTTAGTCAAAAGTATAAAACTATGACCGAGATTTGCGTGCAACTCTAGAACTGGGGATATGAAATATACAAATAGAGGCACTGTAACTTGCAAAAGTGAAGAGCAAACAAAATACAAAAACGGTGCTTGGCAAAGTGCCAGGGGTGGGGTTAACGTTGAGTGTCAGTGACAGGAACTGTGGTCACGTCACCAAAATCTATGGACCATATAGTAAACCACTGTAGTCTGCGCCCCTTGAACGGAGGAGGAACAGCAAAACTACACGAACTCTCTCCTGAAGCCCTCTCGTGGTTAGCAGACCTCGACATTGGCATTCAGCTCCTGAGCATATTGCCATAATTATGCAAAAATAGAATTGCATGCAGCAAAAGTACTCATGACTTCTTGGCTATGGTTAGGGTGAGTGCAGCCTAGTACTTTTGAATGGTTGTCTAGTTTTTTTATGGTTAGGGGTAGGCCTAGTATTTGGTTGCGATTGTATCTGCCTCCACACTATATGCTCCACCCCATAGCTACGTATGGCCTTCTCAGTTTTTTTTCCCACTCATTGATTTTCATTGCTCGGGGCCGAATCTCATGTTGACGGTGTTCGTTGAGGAAAACTGGGCAGATGCCTCCATTGCCGCCGACAGGGAAATTAGCCAAAATTATGGGTGGCTAAAGGTGGTGGCATATAAGTAAAAAAAAAACTGCCCTTAGAAACCCTCAAACTAAATTTGATATCCGGCCATGGCTAACATCGGTGGCGAATGATATTAACACCAGTTCTGGACCTCCCCTTGGTCGAATCAGCCATTAATATGTGGTGCGGTGTGTAAACGTCGCCACTGGGAAGACGAAGGTTTTCCGGGCATGTTGCTGGCCACACGGTCCCCTCGTGCACCATGGCGGCCCAAATAGGTGCCCGCTAGCAGCACTTGCCTCAACAGTCTCTCTCAGGCTATCTGGGGCCTTCGTCGGCGTGTTTGTGTGTTCAGCGAAGGGGGCCAGCGACACAGTGTGCGGGTCACGCAGAGCATCCCAGCGGTGCCGTGAAGGCACAGGATCAACCCGCCGGCACTCACGAACTTGCGCCTTACCTTTGGGCCCACGATGCCGTGGCCCGCGGGCCCTGGCATGCCGACGACCCCCGGCAGCCCTGGCTGGCCCTGTGCCACCACCACACACAGCAACTCGGTGAACATAATATGTAAAATCGTGCACCACATATATGGTGGGATTGACACCCGTCCTGGTCTTGCAGGAGCAACCTCTTTTTTTTGGGGAGGTAGCTGTGCCATACAAATCTCTAAATCTTCCCATGACGCTAAATATTAAAAGTCCCAGTTTTTTTTTTAAATACTTATTTACATGTAGTTGTCCCCTATTCTGGGATTGTGAGAACTTCTTGCCATGAAATGTCCCGGTTTTTTGTGCCTGCAGAAGAAGTGGCAACCCGAATGATCAGCAGCCCTTTACAGAGGGCCCAGTAATCAGCAAAATCTTGACAACCTGTGATGTGGCTCAAAACCGACGCCGACAGGCCCCAAACGTAAGAGTTCACAATTTTAACAATCATTTAAGCGTGGACCCATCAGTTCCGCGGAATTAAATTGGATAAGGGCACATTCATCTTCAACTGATAAATGAAGTAGATTTACTATGCCCACCGCTGTGTCTGTAAAGCGTGTTGAGATGCAGTTGCATGTCGATTTGATGTAAAGCCATGAGGTACTGAGTCTAGCATAAACTGTTGCACTGTTCTAATTTGCTGTAGCGCTTGCTTTCCTGTGCCCTATTCATCCTCGTAATACCCCTAGGCTTTTCTTGTAAAAGGCACCCGTTATCTCAGTGGGCTTTGACCTCTTAAAGTCCTCAAGTGCAGTGATTTAATGGTCTCAGCACAGTCACCAATGACTACACTTAATTTGTATAACTACCAGCTCTGAGAATTAAAAATGTTCAGTGTGACTGTGGTTCGAGGGACAATAGTCTTTGTGGCAAGCGTTTGTGAAAGTGCCGCTGGCCTCTCATGTGAGGGCCAGCGGGCCACTTATTGTGATCTTAGAATTAGTTCTGTGATATACACTTCTGTGGGACCATTCTCTATCGTAGACGATTGCACCTCTGGGGGAGTCGAATGGATTCGTCGTTGCATGGCATGACGGCGATATCACAATCGGGATAAAATCTTGGAATAAAATACAGTGACGTAATGATAAATAAAATGAAGGTTGCGAACCACTTACAGAAAGCATAAATACATTATAAGGTCGCACTCATTACACACAAAGTGCTTGCCACAAATGAACGCATTTCTTTAGAACTGCTCTTTGTGTTTGTTGTCCTTCCCCCCGCACCTCCGATTAGCAAGGTTGGCTACGTACGGTGCGAAAGAAGTTCAACGTACATACATACATGCATACATCACGTGTCAACCAGACAGGTACACGGCTCACCTTGGGCCCCGTGACTCCCACCGGGCCTGGGCTGCCCGGAAACCCCTTTAGTCCCCTTGGGCCATGGTCTCCCTGCGGGTGAAGAACGATTCACGATCACGACGTCTCCCAAACACACTGTGAGCCAGCGAGCGGCGTGAACGCTGTCGTCACTGTGGATATCTCCGCAATAGAGCACGGCTTTGGCGAAGGTGACAAACTACCGAAACTAATGGGAGCAGTGTTTCAAAATCAAGGGGCCAACGTGCAGGCGTACGCTTCAATGCTGCACTGAATGAAACGATTGTTGGATCGAGAGAAACTACGGTTATGTGGAGGATGCTGCTGTATATGTGTGAGTCTGTGGTTCTTTATGTGAGTCTATGTTAGTCAATGGGTCCCTTTGTGAGTCTATGTGATTAAATGGGTCTCTGCGTGGGTCTATGGGTCTCTGTGTGAGTCTATGTTAGTCTATGGGTCTCTGTGTGAGTCTATATTAGTCTATGGGTCTCTGTGTGAGTCTATGTTAGTCTATGAGCCTCTGTGTGAGTCTATATTAGTCTATGGGTCTCTGTGTGAGTCTATGTTAGTCTATGGGTCTGTGTGAGTCTATATTAGTCTATGGGTCTCTGTCTGAGTCTATGTTAGTCTATGGGTCTCTGTGTGAGTCTATGTTAGTCTATGGGTCTCTGTGTGAGTCTATGTTAGTCTGTGGGTCTCTGTGTGAGTCTATGTTAGTCTATGGGTCTCTGTGTGAGTCTATATTAGTCTATGGGTTTCTGTGTGAGTCTATGTTAATCTATGGGCTTCTGTGTGAGTCTATGTTAGTCTATGGGTCTCTGTGTGAGTCTATGTTAGTCTGGGGGTCTCTGTGAGTCTCGCGCGATGAAATGAGATGGTCTCAGCCCCATCACCAATGACTGCACAAAATTAGCCGTGACATCACCGCGTGCCGTTTGGCACGATGTCTGACGTTTCTACTGGAACGTGGAACGAAACGCCGGACATCATCCCGAACATCGTGTGGTACGACCCAGGAACATGTATGGAGAGAAGGCCAAAGGGAGTCACCACGTGCCTTTTCCCCTTGCAGGCCAATCCCTGGTGGCCCATCTGGCCCGCGGGGCCCAGGCAAACCAGTCTCTCCCTGCACGGGCACAGAAGTGAAAACAGACACGGAATTTCCAACAGGGCACCGGAGACCACGATAAAGGACCGTTGGTTTGACTTAAGCTGTGCAGATAAAATAAGGAAGAAACAACTTCCTCTGTAAGCTAAACTTTGTGGTGAATGTGCTTTCCATTTATATACTGTATCGACAAAGATCCACCCCTATAGCCTGAAGAGACTTTTGGGGCAAGTGCTGTTAGCGAACACCTATGAAAGGTGGCACGGCACACGAGGGTGTGCGTGGCCAGCACCACGCCCTGCCGCCCTTGACTCCCGAGTGGCGATGTTTACACACCGCACCAGGTACTCATTTGAGGCCGAGTCGACGTAGGGAAGGCCCACCCCCGCTTCAGATAATCGTCACCGGTGTTGACCATGAGCGAGAATCGAACTCCCCACAACAAAGACACACGCAACGTCTCATCATGAAAGTTGATGCGCACTCTCTTCTTCTTCTTCCACATGGCTGCCGATGTCGATGCAGAGCAACAACTGTCAATTATACATTAAGGTGGTCAAGCTAGACAGCCGCGTCAGGAGCGGCGGAGTAGTGTAGCGCTATGATGTGCGTTGAACTTCTTTCGCACCACACGTAGCAAACCACGCTAATCGGGCATTGCGACGTGGTATATTGTAGGCTCTGTTCTCGGTGACCGCAGTCGCACACTAGGGAGTTTTTAAGTTCTCCATTCGTGCATCAGGTATCCGCATCTACGGCCATGGTTTGTGCGGATGTGGCTTAGGGTGGACCGTGGGGGTTCGTGGAAAATCAAATCTTCAAAACAAGGGAGATTGTTTTTTTTGGGGGGGGGAGGGGGGGGGGGCTATTCTTGTGAACTCAACGTTCCAGATATAAGAATAGGTTTTTACACTTTCTGGCAATAAAACGGTTGTGTTAAGATGTTAAAACACAAAAACTGAAACCTCTTGCAAGGAATAATGTCTGCATCAACCACATATACTTGTGGTGAACATGCAAACAAAAACGCATGCTCTGGTAGTATATGATCATGCATTGTCTTTGAAACTGGTCCACACCAGAGACAGCTTTCTTTACAGACTAGTCTCAAACAGCGTTAGACCAGAGCATGTTTTTTTTGTCTGCATGTTCACCACAAGTACACGAGGTTAATGCAGCGACACGATTCCATGCAAAATATTTCAGTTGGGTGTTTTAACATCTTAACACAACTGTTGCATTGCCAGAGAGGGTATAAAACCTATTCTTATATTTTGACACCGACCAGGGAAGGTCCCCCATGATCAACGTTCTAGCTCGGACCAAAACACGCGAGCGCTCCCGACCTCTCGCCAGCAGGGGGCGCAGGGCAGCCGGCCGGGATTAAGCGGCACGTGGATCCACCACCCCCACACCCCCCCATGTTGCTTTCACTGCCAAACCCTCGACACACATTTTTTTCGCGGATCGCCGCGCAGTTAAACATCTGGTGAAGAAAAACGAATAAAACGAACAGGCGTTTACCCCGTTCTAGCAAGAAAACAGGAGGCGTTGTGATCAAACACCAACTAGAAACATATTGCAAGGCATCAAGCCTGCATTAATCACACGTACTTGTGGCAAAAAAAAAACATGCAAACAGAAAAACGTGCTCTGAAAATGTTTGCGTTGTCTTTGAAACCGATTGGCCTTGTCCCACCAGTGTTAGACGAGAGAACGCCAAAAGGCGAACAGCACAAAGACAATGCACGTACCAAAGCATTTATGCATTGGGTCGAGCAGTTATACCTATGGGACCTTTCCTGCAAGCATCAAAAATAATGAAAAATAAGAATAGGTTTAAATTTGAATGTTTTATATTTTTATTATTTTATTGCTTCCCTTCTACGTGACTTTACCGAAAGAGCCAAGAATATGAATAGGAGTTAAATGTTCAAACACCAAATAGATAACTTTTGCAAGGCATCGAAGTCTGCATGAACCACACACAGTACTTGTGGTGAACATGCAAACAAACACGCTCTGATAATATTTGCATTGTCTTTGAAACCGATTGGCCTACACCAGAGACAACTTTCTTTTGAACTCACGCCAGCCCACAAAGAATGCCGTTTTTATTGCCAGAGAGGATTCAACCTCTTATTCATTCTTTGTTTAATCACTTTGACCGTGGCACAAAAAAGGTCCAATAGTTTAAACATTTTCCGTGTTTTGTGACAGCGGTGCATCAATTCTGCGGCACACTTCCCACGGGGGGGGGGTGGGGGGGACCTTGCGGGACAGCGGTGGACCGCGCGTCCCACGGAGTGCGCGGGGCGGGGAGCAGTAAAGCGTCCACCGTAGGACCGACATCCCAACACAACCCGCACCCATTGAATATACCGCGCATTATTACTACACACCAATAATGGAATTCATACGAATTATTGCTGTTTGTTCCTACCTCCTATGAAGAAGGGACACTTCCCGAAATTTCGCCTTTGATATTTTTTTTGTAATTTTGCGGCAGTGTTTTTGACCAATGTGTTGAGGTTTTTAAAAAAATTTTTTGATGTACTGTACTCCTAATGGAGTCAAAATTACGCAATGGCTAGCACATAATTTAATTATTAAGCAATGTTCACTCCTTACAAGTATTACGTAATGGTTCTAAAACTTATGCCTAATGAGTTGTAACATTTTGTATTGACGTAATGATTTATAATCATTTAGAACCATTTCCCAATTTACAGCAAATTTGATGAAGGCCTTCCCTTGCCACGTCGGTAGTGGGGGATTGTTCGACCATACTTCGCCCCAGCTGTCTTGCACCGATTTAGATATCGCTTGCTATTGACGCTGGCCGTGGCGGGGAATCGAACTTATTCGTGGGTTAAAATATGGTGCAAATGCAATGGGTTTTTTCCCCGTTAGCGACGCTTCCTGATGAGGCAACACCGCCAAGGGAACTTCAATTGCATTCACCGCTCAGCCTCTCGAGACCACCGGGCGCAGTGCTTTACAGTCGGAAGCGAATTCCCACGATGATCGCACTTACGCGTTGCACAATTCAATTAAATCACCGGCCACGGGAAGAGGAATTGCAGGACCCGCAGGACAAAGGATCGGCTCGTTGTACAAAATCAATGCGTAGCTGAGACAAAGGCCTTTAATGGAGGTGAGATGGATGTGTTTTGGACCGTGGGGTGCTCAGCAAGGGCGACGCGAAGACCGAACATCAAATTCGATCGAGGGAGAAACGGGGTCCATAGGTGCAGCTAAGAGGTGGAGATAGGGTCAGGGGTCAGTTGTTGTTGGGGGTCTGGCAGGTCAGTGTGCTCAGTCCCCTAACAACGTGCCCTCTAGCCCTTTCCTGCCAACCGAGCCGTTTCACTTGGGATTCGATTTTCACCGACTGTGACCGTGACGCCGCTGTGTACCTTTTGCCCGTCAGCGCCATCGTCTCCACGCTGCCCAGGCAACCCGTTGAGGCCGGGAGTTCCCAGTTCTCCCTGCCACGTCGCAACGGAAACATCATCTCAACGTGGCATCAAAAGGGGGGCACACCCCCCCCCCCCCACTCCCCAATCCGACTCTCCCACGCCGATCCTGGCTTTGGTCTCCTGGCCCTGGGTTTATTCGATTGAATGAATGCTAAAGGAATGCTATACGACAACACAATTCTTGATTTTTACAGCATCTAAAATAAGAGCGCGTATGAAGAGGCGCCTCTGTAGAAGCCGTGCGTGGGAATGTTTATTTTCTAGCGAGGCAGTCAATAGGCAGAGGAGATAAGGAATGATTTTTAGCCTGGACTGAAGTTGGGACAGCACGGACGGTGCGGACGATTGAGGTGAAGGGAATTCCAGACCGCGAGGGGCAGTGGAGGTGAATGAGCGACCCTCCCTCTGGCCTCAGATAAAATGTTGCAATCTCGACGTTACCCGTGAGGCGCGGTGTTGTGTTGACGCAGAGCACACAGCCGACAGAAAGCGAGTGAAAGAGAGACGGACGATGAACGATCTCCTCGTCATTTATTTACCGGTCTCCTCCCGATAGGGCGATGCGTGATGATGCAGAGTTTTTCCACGGCATAATTTACGAGGTCGGGGCTCGCCTTCTGCTGGGCACAAACTTTGGCTGCAGCTGCGACTGCGAGCTCAAGTCACCTGCGCCTGCAGCGCCATCCAGTGGCGATAGCTGCACGGGCCCCTGATGTCAGGATTTAATGTCGGGGTCCCCTTGCCGCCCTCTCTTTATAGCCCGGCGCCTTGGGTCTCACCCGGCCCCGCAAGCCCCGGCGCAGTTGCCCCGCCTGCACACTCGACAGCTACTCCTCTGGGGCGACTGCACAGTGCGTTGATGACGGGGACCGTGTGCCCAGGTGAATGGAAACTTGGGAGAAAACCGGTGCCAGGTATTGGGAGTCTAGAGTCCCCCGGTTAATTGGGGGTCTCGGCTTTTAGAGCCCCAGAAGCCGCCACGTTATAATATGTTACATCCCGTACGTATAGAGATTCCCAGCCTGTGAACGACCAAATCAACCGGATCTCGCGAGCGAAACAGAGTTGAGCCTGGACGGTGACCGGATTGGCAAAAACCGCATCGCGGCTGAAATGCAAGTTCCGGCATTGCCGCTGGCTCCAATCGGGAGTGTAGCGAAGCCCGCTGCTCAACAGCCAGACAGAGAGGGTGAGAAACAGGAGGTGGCATGGTGCGGGGGAGAAGTGACGCGAGGCAGGTGCCGCTCACCTTGGGGCCCGGCGGGCCCTCCAGGCCGATGCCGGAGGGTCCCAGGTCTCCCCGCAGGCCTTGGATCCCCTGCGGGGGCAACATCGCCGGGGCAAACCCTTCCACGCGCCGCTCACTTTCGCCAGAAAGCACAACCATCCCACAGCGCCCTTCCCTTAATGTCCCAACTATATCATTGGACTATCACAGAGTTGAAGGTACAAGGTGAAGGCGCAGCCCTGCAATGTCTGGCTCACTGCTACTGCTGCTGGAAGGACTTTCACAAGACAGAGCTACAGAGGGTCCATCCTGAGGGTATTTTTAGCCTCACCCTTCCACACTGGCCAAACGTCTTGAAGAGGTGGGAGTACAGTACCACCTTTTACCCCACGGTGGCGAGATGTTAACTACCTCGCCTGGTATACAGGAGGTCATCGGTTTGATCCTGACCCCTGATGCCTGTACATTTGCAGTTGCATGTTTCTCTCATCATGGTCGCGTTGATTTTTCTCCGGGTCCTCGGGTTTTTACCTCCACATTTACAAACATGTGCTTAGAGTATTTGACTACTATAAATGTTCACATGATACGCCACTTCATTGAGCTATCATTTGTGGATGCTGCTGAAAAAGAGCTATATATGAGTGGGCCTTACCTGGTAAAATAACAAGAGTTTAGTTTTAGTATGTTGAACTTCTTTCGCACCATACGTAGCCAGCCGCGCTAATCGGAGGCGCGGTGTTGTCATGCTAGTAGAGTGATCGTCCTTTGCAGTGAAATTATTGATACCTTGGGTCCAGGAATGCCTTCACCAGGAGGACCTCTTGGGCCCGGCAAGCCCCTGGGGCCTTGATCTCCCTTGCAAGAGACAAAATAGTACAGGTTGCACCAGACTGAAGAATGCAAGTCAAAAACAGACGCCGACATTAACAAATGCAGACCACCGCTGTTATTTATCTCCATAAAGAGATGTCAACGCTCGGCAATGTTTGACAGTGCCCTCAAAGGGAGGCGAACGCTACCTTGTCCCCTGGAAGACCTTTTCCTGACAGCCCCGTGGACCCTGCAGGTCCTGGGAACCCCAGCTCCCCCTGGGTGACAGGACAGCATCGATCAACACGCAGCACATCGACGGGAAAACTTAGGCGCGCTCGCACGTACGCTCGTGCCGACAAAACGACACAGTCAGACCGAATCGCAGCCGTGTCGCTCGAGTCGTCCGACCAGGGCTTGCTTGCAGCCCGACGTTTTTCACAGTGGCATTGGAGGACCCTCTCCGGTGTGTGTTTTGGGTTAATGCGCAGTATGTTTAACTTTTATTTTTATTTTACCAGGTAAGGTCCACTGAGCTATATGTAGCTCTTTTTTCAGAAGCGACCTGGTCACAATTGAGAGCTCAACCAAGAGGCTTATCATGTGGACATTTGTTTCAGCCAAATACTCTAAACGCGTGATGTTGATTCTAAATGTGGAAGAAAAAACCGGAGGACCCTAATAAAAATCCACGCGACCACGGGGAGAACACGCAAACTCCAAATACACCGGCGTCAGGCTCGGGATCAAACCCCCGACCTCCTGTATACCAGGCGAGGTAGTTAACATCTAAGACCAGACAGACATCAGAGAAAATAAAGAAATATTATAAACAATGAGTGGGAGTGAAGGAGGAACGACGGGATGGAGGAATGCCGTGTTCCCCGGCGAGTGATGGCGGAGGAATCGAGAAACGGAATTCACCTTGTCACCCTTCTGTCCGGAACCCGCTGGCCCCAAGGGGCCCCTTGGGCCATCGTTCCCTCGGTCACCCTACACAATCAGCACACAATTCATTTCACATTAACCGAACCAATCCGGTACTTTGTTCGCTTAAAAAAATAAATAGCTCATCCGTATACTGGACAACTTTGGCCTTACACCACGCCGGTTCAGTGCGTGTTGCTTGAGGCAGAAAGTACATATATATTTGGGGGCACAGAAATATGATACATTAAATGTTGCTGCACTGCCCTCTGCTGGCCACAACAGAGCGCCACATCCTATAACATCTGCTATGCATGGCGACCACCCATCCAAAGCGGCACCCAGGATCAAGCCCAAAGCTCAGCTCAGCTTCTGAGATCCTATGAAATCGGCCACAAAATTCCGGTTAGTTTGGTCATGGGCGCAACACCTGGAATGCCGAGGAAATTCCCGTTTCCAAGTAATAACCAGGCTCTCCCTTGCTTAGCTTCCGAGATCCGACAAGTTCAGACGAAATTAAGTGGGATTTGGTCGTCTAATGAAATATTTGTGCCGACAAGCCCCAGCAGAGAGTCAAGTCCTGCTGGCAAAGAGCCAACGACTCTCTACGTTTGGACTGTCACAGTAATGATGGCTCATATTACCTGTGGGTCAAACGTGGACAAGCAACAAACAGGAGATGGCAATAATAGTAATATTTGGGCACGTTTGGTATTCACGCCGTCCTTATAGTGCAGGGCTATAGTGCGAGCGCCGTGAATCACATACATAAGTCTGGAGTAATTTTGCAATCAGGGGCCAATTCGCACCATTTATAATCCCAATTCAATAATTTGCATTTTTTTTTTCAATTTGCCGAAGTTGGACCTTGAATGGAGGCACAAAAGGGACCGCTCGCCTCGAATGATGTCGGGGCACCTTTTATCATCCACTGTGAAACAAGTGGCGTGTAGTATTTGTGTAAAAATACCCCCAGCAATAACCAGGGTGGCCTGCCGGATTCGAACTGCGATAACTCTGCAACAAGCGGCAAACGAGCTACCGCTGGGCTTGCGTCATCGCCGATTTTCAGTAATTGAGATTTTTTGTTGTTTGGTAATTGTCATTAGCATTTGGATTCTGATGTTAAAAATGAGATAAACTATGCATTTATTAAATTGACTCAATGCCATCAGTTTAAGAGTTGGTAAACATCACAAAGCCAATGGATGCTCACACAACGCGCACCGTTTATTGTACGAAGGCGCCGTATGTTTATGGCAGAAATTACGTCCGTCTTCGAAAGTGAGTGTTGGTTGAGATTGATCAGCCCATGAAACGTAACATGGCAGCACGTGAGCCCAGGCTAATTAGCAGGGAGATTCCTGCAGGAAATTAATAAATTGGTGGAGCAGGTGTAAAACCACCACCCAAAGCATAGGGATACACGGGACTCAAGCCCCTGAAACCGCAGCGTCCAAAATCCCTCGGCTCCGTCCTGCGAAACGAGGAGGCAAATGAAATATGCAATCGCGTTGTCACTTTGGGAACACGTTTCGATCTAAATTCTGCTTTATTATCTTGCCCCGTCTTGTCTCCCACTCTCTGTTTCTCGCCGTAAACTTTGTGTCTCTCTCTCTCTCTGCTATTGTATCGTATTTGTGAGATTAAAAAAAAAACTTATTTCGTGTGACTGCTGTAGATGCAAAGCAATCACTACAATCTCACATTCAGTCGGTCACGCCAGAAAACCGTGTCAGGAGCAGCAGTAGTGTAGCGCTGGGATGGTCTCCTTCGTATTTGACGAGCGACCATCATATCGTTATGTGTAGTACGGTCTGTTCTGTATGACCACAGTCGCACACTGGAGGGTTTTTCATTTTCCATTTGTGCACAAGTATATATGTTCAACTTCTTTCGAACCGTACGTAGCCAACCGTGCCAATCGGAGGTGTGTGGGAAGGACAACAAACTAAACACACAAAAGCAATTCGAAAGAAATGAGTTTTCAATCTAGATTTAAAAGTGCATAGCTCCAGTGGCTTCCTAATATCGGAAGGAAGAGCGTTCCAGAGACGGCCGCAGAAGCGCACCTGACAGCGCGCGATGCGGTGACCATTATTTGTTCGACGGCCAGCCAAAAGCCGCTGCTGCTGCGAGGATGACCGGGGTTCACGTGAGGAGAACGAGATAGAGGTTGTTGAGAGGGTTATCGCGTGCATGTGTGTGATGGAGCGGTGGTGTAGCGGTTAGAGTGCTGCACAACCAACCCGGCGATCTGGGTTCGATTCCCGCTCGCGACCATCAACACCAGTGACGATTAATTATCTGCACCGGTCCTGGGCCTTCCCTCGGTCGGCTCATCCTCAAATTAGTACCTGGTGCGGTGTGTTAGAACATCGCCACTGGTGAGACAAAGGCGGCCGGGCGTGGTGCTGGCCACCCACCCCCTGGTGTGCCGTGCCGGCCTTCGGTGCTCGCTAACAGCACTTGCCCCAACAGTCTGTTGAGGCTACACGGGGGATCTTTGTCTTTGTTGCGTGTGTGACGCGGCGCATCGTGCGACCCGAACCTTGGCGCCCTGCAAACCTTCCCCTGCGAGGCCTCTCTCGCCCGGCTGTCCCTGCGGTCCTGGTGCACCCTGAGCAGCACAGACGGGCAACGCAGGCGCACGTTCATACAAATAGCATACATGTAAAAGAACCCCCCGTGTTGCCTGTTCAAGGATGTCAGGGCTGGTATGAAGTTCGGTGCACACGAGGGGATGGTGGGACTCGACGAACCACGCTCAGCCGCCTTTGTCTCCGCACAGCTGATGCTTGGACACTGCACCACATATTAATTTACGGTCGAGTTGAGAACAGGTTGGTGTATCGCTGGCTACTGATGTCACTCATGGCCAGAAACCAAACCCATGTTGCGTGGGATCAAGGCACAGTTGCAGTGACCACAGCGCCACCACTGCCTTCACATCATCAACAACAACATCGACAACCGCCGTTCGCCACTAAGTGGCGGCGACATCCCCACAGTGCTTGTGCCAGGCTACTCAATGCAAACACACACACACACAAAGACAAGACACACGCGCGTGTAATGTTAGTCAAAATAAGTTTGGAGATACGACTTCTTGACCTGTCACTCCGACGATTGCACTTTCACGTGCTCCACGTTGTTATCCATTTACGACCGGGCCGTTGTCGGTCTTCCCGAGCGACACGTGCGAATAAAGACGGCTGTGCCGGAGTGCGTGAGTGCGTGAGTGTTGAGGAGGAGGAGGCCTCTCGCCGTGTCTGCGCTGCCTCACCGGTAGCCCAGGTTCCCCGATCCCAGCGGGGCCGGCGGGTCCGGCTCTGCCTGGGAAACCAAAGTCGCCCTAGGAAATTCGCACAAGACGCCCACACACACACAGAGACGAGGATTGGCCTGGCGTGCACGCACCCCCTAAGGGGTGCGTGATGCCCTTTCTGGGGTTGCGAAACATGGGCAGATTTTTTTTAAAGGTAAATAATCGAAACACAAATTAAGCACGGGCACGTGAGTACAACAACTTTGTTTCATCAAGCCCTGTGTATTTACAGTGAAGGAAAAAAAGTATTTGATCCCCTGCTGATTTTGTACGTTTGCCCACTGACAAAGAAATGATCAGTCTATGATTTTAATGGTAGGTTTATTTGAACAGTGAGAAACAGAATAACAACAACAAAACCCAGAAAAAAACGCATGTCAAAAATGTTATAAATTGATTTGCATTTTAATGAGGGAAATAAGTATTTGACCCCCTCTCAATCAGAAAGATTTCTGGCTCCCAGGTGTCTTTTATACAGGTAACGAGCTGAGATTAGGAGCACACTCTTAAAGGGAGTGCTCCTAATCTCAGCTTGTTACGTGTATAAAAGACACCTGTCCACAGAAGCAATCAATCAATCAGATTCCATACTCTCCACCATGGCCAGGACCAAAGAGCTCTCCAAGGATGTCAGGGACAAGATTGTAGACCTACACAAGGCTGGATTGGCTACACGACCATTGCCAAGCAGCTTGGTGAGAAGGTGACAACAGTTGGTGCGATTATTCGCAAATGGAAGAAACACAAAATAACTGTCAATCTCCCTCGGCCTGGGGCTCCATGCAAGATCTCACATCGTGGAGTTGCAATGATCATGAGAACGGTGAGGAATCAGCCCAGAACTACACGGGAGGATCTTGTCAATGATCTCAAGGCAGCTGGGACCATAGTCACCAAGAAAACAATTGGTAACACACTACGCCGTGAAGGACTGAAATCCTGCAGCCCCCGCAAGGTCCCCCTGCTCATGAAAGCAGATATACATGCCCGTCTGAAGTTTGCCAATAGAACATCTGAATGTCTTCTGGGTTCTTTCGGTAAAGTCACGTAGAATCGAGATAAAATAATAAAAAATAATAATAACAGAATAAAATTCTCACGACGTTTCGGCCACAACACAAGTAGCCTTCCTCAGGTGAAGAAACAGGACTGTCCGGAAGACAGCGCTTGAGTGAACCCTGCCAAGCTTGACAGCGTCTTTTTAAGCTGTGTGGGGGGAACAGAGCGCCTTGACAAAGGAGCTTACATTTAAATGAGCATGTAACTGGGGGATTAGCATGATGTTGGTGTGAGGGATGAGCACCACGGAGAGCGATGAGCTCGGACCGGAGGAGGGGGGAGAGGAGTTTACATATAAATTAGCATGTAACTGGGGGATTATCATGATGTTAGTATGAGGGATTAACACCACGGAGAGCGACGAGCTTTGTTCAGACGGACGAGTCCATCTATGTTCGGAACGGAGGAGGGGGGGGAAGAGGAGGAAATGGCCACGGTGCGCCGCTCTGTCCTGTGTTGCGTTATAACTATGCTATAAACTAGACTACTATACATTACAATATTATACCTTCCAATCTAAACTACATTGTATAATTTCGTATCCATAGACAAACCCCACCCTTGAATTATACAATGCGTTACTATACACTACCCCATACTTTAGACTTTAAAATATTAGACTTGTAGTATTACACTATGTATTATTCTACTAACCCTACTGTATACCACACTGCTGTATATTCACTATACAATTACAGTACTATATATTGCCTAATGAATTATGTTAAACATTACACTGTTATACTATTTGTTATTATACAAATGCTATAAACTATACTATTGACCGTCGTGTGATAGGTACTAATAGGCAGTGCCAGCGAATGGAATGCAGTCTGAAAGTCACCGTAAAATACAATCAATCAAGAACCGAAATGGTTTATAACGTCTTTCCAATGGTTGCTAAGCCAGAATCCATCTTCTCGGTTGAAATTGTCTCTGTGTTTGTATATGTGGATAGCCTCATGAACGAATCTGTCATGGTAGCCAGATGGCTTTCAGAGAACCTCCGTCTTGGAGAAGTCAATGTCATGTGAGCCCATTGAATTATAACAGTGATCTGCCACGGCTGAGGTGTTCATCCTACCGTGTTTCAAGTCTGCTTTATGTTCACGGGTGCGGTCCGAGATATGTCGTTTTGTTTCTCCAATGTAGCTGCTACCACAGAGGCAACTTAGTTTGTGGACGCCCGGGTACTGAATGTCTGGAACCACATCTTTTACAGACGGAACCAGATCACGGATTTTATGTGCTGTGTTGAATCGGACCTGGATCTTGTGTTTATTCAGGATTTTGGAGATCGTTTTTGTGACCCCCGCAATGTAGGGTTACGTTAATCCATAGGGCTAATTGCATTTCTGACAAACACCACCTGACCAGTGCATTAAAACATGTACATTTGGCCCTCAAGATGAATGGTTACTCTGACCGTACCATTCGCCAAGCTGTTTCTCCCACCATATAGAAACAACCACTTGACACTCCGATCAAAATCATCACGTTACCATACATAGCAGGCATTACTAAAAAGATTTCCAAAATTCTAAACAAACACAAGATCCAGGTCCGGTTTAACACAGTGCACAAAATCCGTGATCTGATCCCGCCTAAAAAGGATGTTATTCCTGACTTCCAGTACCCCGGTGTTTACAAATTGAGTTGTACCTGCGGGGACTGCTATATCGGGGAGACAAAGCGACATGTCTCTGACTGAATTCGCGAGCACAAATCAGATTTGAAACATGGCAGAACGAATTCTTCTGCCGTGGCTGATCATTGTTACAACGCTGTGGGTGATCATGATATTGTTTTCTCCGATACCAAGGTGCTCTACAAACCTACCGGTTATTATCAGAGATGTGTCCAAGAGGCCATCCAGATTTACAAACACAGACACAACTTCAACTGAGAGGATGGTTTCAAATTGAGCAATCACTGGAAAGATGTTTTAAATCAAGTCAAACGTTAGCTGCCTCTTTTCTCAGTGGTTGTATATCAAACTTCAGCTACCTTATAATTGAACAGCCGTTTGCACCCACTTTCAAAATCTCCCCGACCCCCCACGCAGCATCAGCCATTTGCACCCGCTTTCAAAATCTCCCCGATCCAACACGCACCATAACAAAAGGTGGGTTTTTTACCCACTCCCGTGCAGTGCGAAGTGGTTGTTACCCGCAGCAGCCTATCAAAAGGCTGCTTAACCCAGCCCTCCCACCCACCCACGCCCCCTTACTGACTCCTCCTCCCTCCCTTAACCTGTATATAATCCCTGTTGTCTCTGAACTGTGCACCTGACACAGATATTCCGCGTTGACTTTTCCACCTGAAGACGGAAGCTTGTGTTGCCTCCAAAACGTCGTGATTTAATAATTTTCTTTAATTTTGTTTTATTTTATCTACGTGACTTTACCGAATAAAACCAAAGAGTATAGATGGACTCGTTCGTCTGAACAAAGCTCGTCGCTCTCCGTGCTGTTAATCCCTCATACTAACATCATGCTAATCCCCCAGTTAGATGCTAATTTACTGTTGATATGTAAACTCCTCTCCCCCCTCCTCCTTTCCGTACATAGATGGACTCGTCCATCTGAACAAAGCTCGTTGCTCTCCGTGGTGCTAATCCCTCATACCAACATCATGCTAATCCCACAGTTACATGCTAACTTATATATAAACTCCTTTGTCAAGGCGCTCTGTTCCTCCCATACAGTTTAAAAAGACGCTGTCAAGCTTGGCAGGGTTCACTCAAGCGCTATCTTCCGGACAGTCCTGTTTCTTCACCTGAGGAAGGCTACTTGTGTTGTGGCCAAAACGTCGTGAGAATTTTATTCTGTTATTATTATTTTTATTATTTTATCTCCATTCTACGTGACCTTACCGAAAGAACCCATACGATGAATCCCTGCAGTCACGAAAGCTTTAAATGGAAACATTTGAATGATTCAGAGGACAACTGGGTGAAAGTGTTGTGGTCAGATGAGACCAAAATGGAGCTCTTTGGCATTAACTCAACTCGCCGTGTTTGGAGGAGGAGGAATGCTGCCTATGACCCCAAGAACACCATCCCCATCGTCAAACATGGAGGTGGAAACATTATGCTTTGGGGGTGTTTTTCTGCTAAGGGGACAGGACAACGTCACCGCATCAAGGGGACGATGGACGGGGCCATGTACCGTCAAATCTTGGGTGAGAACCTCCTTCCCTCAGCCAGGGCATTGAAAATGGGTCGTTGATGGGTATTCCAGTATGACAATTACCCAAAACACACGGCCAAGTCAACAAAGGAGTGGCTCAAGAAGAAGCACATTAAGGTCCTGGAGTGGCCTAGCCAGTCTTCAGACCTTAATCCCATAGAAAATCTGTGGAGGGAGCTGAAGGTTCGAGTTGCCAAACGTCAGCCTCGAAACTTTAATGACTTGGAGAAGATCTGCAAAGAGGAGTGGGACAAAATCCCTCCTGAGATGTGTGCAAACCTGGCGGCCAACTACAATAAACGTCTGACCTCTGTGATTGCCAACAAGGGTTTTGCCATCATGTTTTGCAGAGGGGTCAAATACTTATTTCCCTCATTAAAATGCAAATCAATTTATAACATTTTTGACATGCGTTTTTCTGGATTTTTTTGTTGGTATCCTGTCTCTCACTGTTCAAATAAACCTACCATTAAAATTATGAACTGATCATTTCTTTGTCAGTGGGCAAACGTACAAAATCAGCAGGGGATCAAATACTTTTTTTCTCTCACTGTATTCACATGCATTTTCTTTTTACGATTGAGAAGCAAAAGGGGTGTAAGGCCGCAGTAAACGTGAAGAACCACTGCCCTCGAGCGTCTGTTGGGCCCGCTGCGTCGGGCCACGTGGATGCGCCAAAGGAGCTTTCTTTGTTTCCATTGAACCAAAAACCCAGCGGTTCCTAGAGAAGGTTCTTCCATCACGCGGAGCGAAACGTCGGACATCGTGCCTAACCACACACGGAACAATCTAGAAAACGCATTGGAGAGCTTCAACAGACTCTCGATGCAAGGTTCTGTCAGCGGGCACCTATTAAGGCTGGCAAGACGCACGAGGGGACGGTGTGGCTAGCACCACGTCTGGCCGTCTTTGTCTTCCCAGCGCTGAACGTTCACACACTGCACCAGGTACTCAACAATGAGGCCGGTTCGAAATCGGCAAGGCTCAGGACCAGTTCAGATATTTGTTCACTGTGGTTGGCCATGACCGGGAATTGAACTCGGCTCGGTGCATTCACCACTACGCCACCACTTCTCGCACGCACGGACATACAAACATAGCCTTAACAGACTGTTGGGGAAAGTGCTGTTAACGAACAACTATGAAGGCCAACACGGCTCATGAGGGGGTGGCTAGCCAGCACTACGCCTGGCCGCCTTTGTCTCCCCAGTGGCGATGTTTACACATCGCACCAGGTACTCATGTGAGGCTGAGTCGACCTAGAGGAGGCCCATGCCCAGTTCAGATAATCGTCATTGGTGCTGGCCGTGAGCGGGATCGCCGGGTTCGTAGCGCAGCGCGCTCACCGCTACACTACAGCTCCCCGTACGCACTCACACACACACACGTAGGTACACGCGTGTTGCTCCTGACTCCCACTCGCAATGAATCCCGTGAATCTTGCACATTCTGTGACGGCCGGCACGAAGCCCGCACGCGGCCGAGGAAGGGCATTTTTGCTCGTGATTTATGAAAGCCAAACGGAGACCTCCCACCGGGATGGTTGCGGGCAACGAAGGCGTCACTGTTGACGGTTCTGAAGCGGTGCCGCGAATCTCGATGAACGGTAGCGCGAGAGTAGCCAGGAATCTCGTCTCTCAAATGATCCGAATGCGTGGCGAGTGATGATGCCGCTAGGCGCTGCGAAAAAACTCGGCTCTGAAATCTCCACTCGTGACCCGAGGCACGCCGCGGTTTTGCCCGCTGCGATCCGCTCTTTTGATCTCCGTTGCATTGGCATCTCTCGAAGTTGCAGCTGAGCAAAAGTAAACGTCTTAAAGTGACGTCAATAAAGTGTGGGGGGCGGGGGGGGTCAGACATTTGTGATGATGTGTGACGAGGGGGGGGGGGTTGAGAAATGTGACGTCACATTAAAATGCGCAACTTTAAATAAATAGACACGTTCTACTTAATTAAATAGACGTTTTGATGAATATTTTCTCCTGCAACATCAGAGTGCAAGCGGCACATTAAATACGCACTACAATGACAATAGTGTAAAGCGAATTGAAGCATGTGGTTTTTTTTTGGGGGGGGGCAGAGCTTTGTGACGTCATATTTGAGGGGAGGGTCTGACTTTTTGTGACGCCATCTGACGAGGGGGGGGTCAAAAATCGTCCAAAATCGCGTGACGTCATTTATTGACGGCCCCAAAGGCACAGATGGGCTCAGCAATGTCGGAAAGCACAATGCAGCAATAACAAAGTGTTAACACCGATGATTATTTTTTTTGCATTAAACAACGATATACACCGAGGCTTTAGCGATCAGAATTTGGCTGAAAAGGAAGAAGCACGCCCGTGCCTGTAAGGTGCCTTTTATTAAGCTCTGTCTCTCTTATCCAATAAACGCTTCTGGCCATCACTTTAAACATTTCTGCTGCTTCCTGGGCAAATGGGGGACGGTAAACAATTGTACGAAGTTAAAACATTTAAAGAACATTGAGAAACACTCGTAAACAAAGCGTTTTCTGCAAGAAGCGTCAAGAAGCGTACTTTCTCCACTAACAGCGATGGCTGCGTAGGAAACGTTTCAGACAGCGAGGCATTGCGTGTCTGCGCGTTGCTTTTGCGGGCGAAGTAGTGCCGGATTGAGCTAGTGCGGGGCCTGTAGCATATGTTATAAAGAGGCCCTAAATTAAAAACACGTACATATTTAAACACACATTTTAAACTTTCATAGAAAAGTATTTTTTTTCATTTGCTATACAGCCAGATAATACCACAAATCGCTAACCTTAAACACCCAGTCGTTCATAAAAGTTGAAGGCAGTATAGTACTGTAGTGATAGAGCAAGTGCAGAATCACTGAACCGGAATTGATGGCTTGAAAGCGTTTAGCGCGGGGCCCTTGAAAGTGCGGGGCCCGTAGCAGATGCTAGGTTTGCTCCTCGGGTAATCCGGCACTGGAGCGAAGACGTCGGCGCCGTCTGTCTGGGGCTGTGAGTAGCAGCAGGCAGGTCGCGCGGAGCTGCTCCGTGGCCTCTGCTGTCCCGCGGTGAAGGCCTGCTTACCTTAGGTCCTGGGTGTCCAACGCCCGCCTCCCCCTGCACACCTGGAGGGCCAGGCAAGCCCCTCTCTCCCTGTCCGGCACAGGCACATGCAAAGACAAAGATCCCCCACATATCCTTAACAGACTGTTGGGGCAAGCGTTGTTGGCGAGCACCTATTAAGGCTGGCACGGCGCACGAGGTTATGGGTCGACAACACCACGCCTGGCCGACTTTGTCTCCCCAGTGCTGATGTTTACACACCGCATCAAGTACTCATTTAAGGCTGAGTCGACCAAGGGGAGGCCCAGGATGGGTTAAAAATTGGACATTGTTATTGGTTGTGAGCGGGAATTGAACTCGGGTCGCTGGGTTCCTAGCGCAGTGCACTAATCACGGCGCCACCGCTCCCCATGCATACACACATGCGCACGCACACACGTGCAAAGTTACGCGCGCGCACACACGTGCAAAGTTATGACACTGCCAAGCTGCTCAAAAGCTGTGCAGTTATAGGAGCACATAGATGATTCAAGATAATGTAAGCCGAGCTCCAATCTGTCGCTACCTATAAATAAAAATATTTGTTTTAAGATATTTGATTTTCCCCATGATGCCCCATGGCAATGGACAAAGCGTTTTACCTAATACAATGTATTCACATTTAAAAAGTAATATTCCCGTTGTTTGTAAACCCTCCATTATTTGTTTTTTTCCACTGTTGCTGAACTCGGGCCCAAAGACCTAAAACGCCAAACAGTCAGCAACAAATAACGCAACTGAGAGTAAAAATAATGAGAGTCCGTACGTTTCTTCAATGAATCTAGGATACGAGCATTTGAGAAAAAGAGACGATGGGAGGGAACTCCAAAGGCGAGCGGTGCGAGCAAAGAAGCTGAAAGCGAAGTGAGTCACGATGTGGCGGTGGTTGAACACGGTCGTGGGTGAGACAAAGCGACCAGTCTGGTAGACCTTGGCCCTCAGCATGGATTGTGCAATTGGTGAGCGAAGTTCACAGGCAGAAGAGTCACCATGTTAGTCGCAACAGAAGGTAGATAATTTATCACGAGTTGTATGTTTTGTCTCCACACATAGCAAGCAGAGCTTGGGCAATGATTGGTGCCGGATAATGATGTGGCTCCCTCCCACTCGTCATCGGTTCCTCCTCGCGTCTCTGAGTTGTTTTCTCTCTCTTTTCTACGAGAGCGAGCGAGTACTGTGCGAGTTACAGGCTGAAATTATTCTTGATTCCCGCCTTTCAGACTGAAAAGCAGGAATCAACTGGTTAATTTGAAACAAAACATGGCAGCTTTTGCCGTCTGAATCAGTAGCCTGGGGCTACCACAGCCCTTTTCTGTGCGCGCACACAGCCCGCTCTGTACACCCCCCCCCCCCCCCACGGCTACCACCGCCCCTGCCCATAATCTCAGCGGCACTACACTGGGTCACCGTGAGAGTGTTCATCTCCTGCATACTTATTTGCCTGGCATGTGTCATGAATTCCACCCACGCACGGCACAACAAATCCCGTGAAAGGGAATTTTGTTAACCGCCACAATGCACCTTATGTTTTAATTTTAAAGGGCCGCTTTCAGCGCATTCAGAGCCGGCAGAGGCACGCTGGGATATTTACGCGCCAGGCCGTCGTGCTGCAGGTCAGGCAGCCCAGTGAGCTTTGCCATCTCGTGACCCATTTTCAGACGCGCCGAGTCGCAAACAAAAAAATCGCAGAAATCTGCTCTGCGTTCCTCACAGACACTCCAAACGGCGCGTTTCAATGCCGCTCGTTGTTACACACAGAGATAAGCTCTCAGAGCACTCAGTCATGCTCGCTGCAGGCTAACCATCGTTTCATTTGTACAAAATGTGATAGACTGTAAAAAAAAAACTTGCAATGCACCTCCCGTAATTTTATTGCATTCAGCTGTTCAAGTGGCAATAATTCATCGTGCCGCACCAGGGCGAGTACCCTGACCGACTCTGCCGCAAGTCAAGCCGAGTGACCCACGAGGCACCTAGATGTCCACCGGTCCAGGGTAATTGACAATAAACTCGTCTTTTCCCACAATACCGTTCCGCGTCCACATGTCCTCGAGTCAGGCAACGGACGAAATGGTTTACGCTGTGGCGTCAGAGACCGCAGACATTGGCCAGTGTGTTTCCAGAGCCGCGACATTCCCCTAGGGATTCTCAAGCCTGTGCCACCCTCACGCCGCAGGGACATATCACGTCTCGGGTCAGCGTCTCTGAGCTACAAATGAAACACAAACAGGACACATGATTTGGACAGAGAATATCTCCCAAATGACAAAACTGTCATTAAAAAAGTTAAAGTTTGACGAACCTGGGAACACAGGACAGGTGGGAAACCTACTTGCAACTGGCAATGGAGCATTTTCCTCGGCTCTGCTGTTCGAGGAGTATTCGTTTCGATGTCACTGACCACGCAGTGCCTTATGGGAGCTACTTTTTGGAAACATTTTCTGAAATCTGATGTGGATTTCAATGGCCACCAGGGTCCGGTGAAATTTCTTTGGAAGCCCAGTGCGAAATGCCCCCTCCGAGGCGTCCTTGGCCTTTACTGAGGGGGGGGGGGGAACTGTCAAACCCGCCCCCCTCCTCCCTGGCCCCACTTCATGTGGTTGCCACTGATGCTGCGTCGATCGTGAACACGGTTGTCCGGACAAAGTTAATCTGAAGGCACAACCTCTGCCGTCGCCGCGATAGCAGGATATGAATCTGGAATTCTGTCACGCGATACTAATGTATTTGTGTCTGCGAGTTGTGCAAATGTCAGACGTTCTTTGTCAGGTTAATTTGTGCATTATTTGTTTGCATCAACGATGAATAAAATAAAAATGTGACTTTCAGTGACGGCTTTGCGTGTACAAACTCTGGCAGCTCGTATCGTGTAGGTGACTTAACTCTGCAATATCGCGGTCGGAAATGACGTTCCAATTATCGTGGACAAAACATGCTTTCGAAACAACGATAGCCGATGCATCTTATCTTCAGATGTTGCCCGTACAGCGGAAGACGCTTGGCATGCAAACCAGAGTATCTGCGGGGTGGCATTGAAACTGAGCAGCTGGTACGGCGAGTACAAAGCCACCGACGCCAACGCTCTCACGACGCGTTTCCAGGACACGGTTTAAAAAAAAATGTAAAAGAGAATAAAAACTCCCCCGCTGCTGACAGTCCGAAGTCTTGACGCTGTCGTAAATAACGTTGCCAACTTAAATCATTCTCAAGCTTTTAGAATTGTTTTTGTTTTTTTTACGCCGACGCAGACACATGGGATGGCTCAGTCTGTGCCTCCATGCCAACGAAGGCACTAAAACGCGAACAAGAGTGTAAATCTCATAGCGCCCAGGCAGCCATTCTTTAGATTGGCAAACTTTTACGCATTGAAAAAACAAAAGCGATGAAAGTGAATGAAAGGTTATCCGTGAAGAAAAACGGAAGAAGTGGAAAAGTACACAGAGGATGACGTAATGATGAACGTTGGGAATTACATCGAGAAACCGAAAGATGGACGCGTAGTTCAGGGAACAATGCCAATCAGAGACATCGTATTGACTGTCAAACAACGTAAGTGACAGGCTTTGGCATGGCTAGAAGGGATGATGGCCAAAGGACAAGACAGGTGATGGAATGACAGATCACCAGAGAGATGGAGAGATAACATTAGCTCGCGTGCAGGAGTGAGATGGATCGTGGAATCTCAGTGCCGCGAGGGATGAGAACGACGTGGGGTGGCCTTCGTGCAGCAGCGGATTGACCCTGGCTGTTGATGGTGGAAATAAAAATACGTTTCTGAGCATCGAATGTGCACCTTGCTACAAACCAAAGTTAAACTTTAAAGTCAATCTTTGAATTGTAACAGAAAAAAAAACATTTGGTGAGCATGCGTTGGCAGTGGTGGTGCATGAGCACAAATAACAAACAAAAATGACCCAACACATTCGTCAATAACAGCCCTGCCTCCGCGTGAAACGACAACGACTGGCCCCATCGCAACACTAGGCATGAGCACGAAGCGTCAGTCCTTTTGTAAGAGAAAGGCAGCGAAATTTGCATCGTGCGCCCCATTTGCTTGACAACTCTTCGTTATCGCCGAGCCCACAGCAGAAACAAGACGTTGCGACATTCCGAATGCTGAAACCTAGAGAGAGAGAGAGACAACGAAAGCGAAAAACATCGTAGAGTAGTCCTGGCGTGAGCGATGCGATCGATGCGCATTTCTCGTCGGTGGTGCCTTCGTTAGGATCCCTTGCCCGCGTGTCGCCACGCTTGTATGTCATTGCCACATACGTCATCGGGGCAGCATCTCTCAGGGAGAAGTGAATGCCCGTCCATCTGTACGGCAATGCGCTGACACGAGGAATGCCTATATGTATGCCGTGTAAACAAACTAACAAAAAACAATCCTTCTATTTTTGAACAACCTAATCTGTAAATTCACGGGTAGCTATCGTTTTTTTAACGCACATACTGAGGCTGACAGAAATGTCCAGACAGCTATTCAGAAGAAACAGAAAAAAAAAACCTTTCACCAATTTGGTTTGTTTGACAGGTGAAATCCAACCCAAAGCACAGTAAAAACATCGCCGCAGTCACGGAGAGCGAGACAAGTCAGCCACAGCCCAGGGCCGTCTGCGGCGTAGACCGGTTAATAGGAGCGGCAGCACAGAGACTGCATTTGGCCCTTTTACTGTCACTGTGTTGCACATAAGCCTCCACCGTGCACAATCAAACACCCAACATCATTATCAGCGTCAACATCATTTTCAGAGGCTGTAGGAGCAGCAGCAGCAGATGCAGCATTGTGTTTATCACCAGCAGCAAAATAATAATGGTCGTCATCAGCAGCAGCAGAATTTACAGCAGCAGCAATCAGATGCAGCATTGTGTTTATCACCAGCAGCAATAGAAGAATGGTCATCAGCAACAGCAGAATTTTCTGCTGCAGCAGCAGCCACAGGAGTAGAATGGTTATCGACAAAAGCATAATATAGAAAAGTAACGGCTTGTCCATAGATCCCAATGCAGGCCTCTTGCTGCTGTACTACCACTGTAATGTATGTCAAGTGACACGTGGTTGAGTGCATCACAGGATTTTACAAACAAAGGTCACTAAATCTGTCCAAAGCGAAATTGGTATATATTTACAACATTGATCACCGCTGACAAAACATATTTACCGCAATCATTATTTGGAACACTTTCAATAATAACTCAGCCATCGATAATAATGCTGCTCGACAACCTCTTTGGAGAAATAATCCCCATCATAAACTATAACTATCCACTTTAAATAACTGTGCCACACAGACAGTTCTTGGAGTCCCAGGGCAGAGTGTCACGTGGAGCCCCCTTATTCATTAGCGACAGGCAACAACAAAAACCACACACGGCCCCGTTGTGGGTGCCCTCTGCCTCTCTTGTGTGAAGCCCTGGGTCAAAAATTGCCACTTTTGTGCTCCCACCAATGGGTGGCCCTACTGCGGGCATTAAAATTCCATCATACGCGTGTAAAAGTTGGATTTTTTTTTTGCTGAATGGAAAAGGCCCGGGCACGCGCGGCCACGCCTGCCCGATGCACAGCTGTCAACATCTGCAGCGTCGCACGCACGCGTCTGACCCACCGAGCCCGAGCTTCCAGCCGTCGTCTACCCGACCGCACCAAACCCGCCGTGGGAAGCAGCGATTCGAGGGAGGGGCCCTAAGCCGCTCATCAATTTAATAAACCGGGCACGGCCGTTTTCCGAGCATTCCAGACGTGCGTGCCAACCGGACACCTGTGTGCTAACCCACTGCTGCCGGTGGTTTGATGAGGAGCCAACATTCGTAAAGCTGTCAGATTTCCCCACCCGTTATCTGTCCGTGGCGCACGTGACCGTGACAGTAATGCCATAATTACGGTGCCGTTGCTTTAGAGTCAATGTTTACGGACGACGCTCCAAGAAGAGCCTTCGTGTGAAGTAAAGAAATGCGTAAAGTAAGTTGCATAGCTGATAAGCGCTTTGCCGAGGTCTTCCTTGTACCACGTATGTTTCTCGTACATTTTACACCACGGTGTGGTTTAATTCCAACCGGGTCTGTATGGGTTAGAGACGCAGAAAAAATGTCTGTACCCAGCACACCATATCCAGTGTACCTCGCGCTGCTATGGCTCCGACTACTGTTCACGCGGCACATACTAACTCCAGTCTACCAGCGACCCGGTCAATATTCTGGTAACATCAAATGTTGTCTCATCTGACATTTGTTCTCTCAGCACATCTCTGCATTCTGTCGGATTCTCACATTCTTTGCGGCTAACAACGGCGGCTCTATATTTCTAGTTTTGGAAGCAGAGCTGGCCAGCATGCTCATTATGTTGACCTTTTGCAGAGAATAAGAGGCCGCATTATGCAGCCAACTGAACAAATCCCGTTCGGAAAAAAATGTCATAACCCTGGCCGGGCAGTCGGTATGCAGCTTAACGATCACGGTTGCACGCTCTTGGCTTTATTTTATTTTAATTTAATTACCAGGTAAGGCCCACCGAGCTATGTAGGTCTTTTTCATAAGCGACCTGGCCACATATGATAGCTCAACGAAGCAGCTTATCACGTGGAACTTTATAGCAGCCAAATAGTCTTCAACGCGTTTTGAGTCTAAATATGGCGGGGAAAACAAGAGGAGCCGGTGAAAAATGCACGCCACCACGGGGAAAGAGACAACTCCAAATATACAGCAGGCGTCAGGGTTGGGATTGAACCCACGACCTCCTCGAAACCAGGCGAGGGAGATAACATCTGGCCACCGCGGCGGCAACGCTCAGTGGCCCGTGGACCATGGCCATTCGAGGAATTACACGCTTCGCTCCGAATATATCTCACCCGGGCAGATCGTGGAATGTTTCAATTAGACCCATCGCCGCCCCCCCACCCCTGCACCAAACCGTACCTTTGGTCCCTGGATGCCTTCGAGGCCTTGTTCACCTGTAGGTCCTGGAGGCCCCTGGAGGTCAGATGCTCACATTAGTCGAGGGCATCACAATTACGCCAAAGGGCTCGCAACACCCCCCACCCCCCTCCCTTCCCACGGACCGGGGCGAGCCGACAAACGGGAGGCCGTCAACCGCGGGTGCCGCCTTTGTGACGTCGCACGGCGCCGTTACCTTCGGGCCTTCGGGTCCCCTTGGGCCACTCGGCCCGTCTGGTCCCTGGCAGGCGTGAGGAACAAAACAAGATTTGTCTGTTAAGTGGGTTATTGGCATGCGGTGATCAATCATCGTCGAGCTGCCAAGGCGTGATCGCGCGCTCCGCTTTCGCTGATGTGGATTTGCAAAGTCTCGTGTGACGGTGACAGTTTACATGACTTGCATATGCTTGCATGTACGGGTCAAACTATACAATTAAACTAAACAAATTTGTTTATATTTTACCAGGTAAGGCTCACTGAGCTGTATAGCTCTCTTTCAGAAGCGACCTGGCCACAAATGGTGGCCCAATGAAGTAGCTTATCATGTGGACATTTCTAGCAGCCAAATAATCAAAAAGCACGTTACTAAATGTGGAGGGAAAAACTGGAGGACCCGGAGAAAAATCCACACGACCACGGGTAAAACACGCAAGCTCCAAATATACAGGCGTCAGCTTTTGCGATCGAACCCATAACCTCCTGTATATCAGGCAAGGTAGTTAACATCTCGCCACCGCGGCGTCAAATGTTGTATTATGTGACTATCGTACATCTGTGTGTACATGTTCTGTGTAAATACGTTCCCATTACAAATATGTGCAAGAGTTACACATGCGTGCATACCAGTTCGATGCGTGTGCATACGTGTGAGATTGTTGATCCATACGCCTGTGTAAATATGATTCCAGTACATTGATAAGCATAGTTACACAAATATATACTTGTCCCATATGTATTTTTTCACTTTTAATACAAAATGATTTTATATGGTAATACTTTAGTTTATTTAAAACTCTTTTTTCTGCGACTAATTAGTTGCTACGAGGTCACTATTCAAACACCTATTTAAAAACTGGTCATCAGGAAACTTTTTCACATTCAATTCCCATCAGGCCCCATGGTGTAAAGTGCAATCTACAACTCTTATAGTCCACTCTCTCTCTCTCTGGCCTTTGCTCATGTGCTATGAAGAAGGACCATCGCCTGAAACGTTGCAGGTTATATATATATTTTTTTTATGAAGGATGCAGTGTTCTTGACAAATGTGTTGAGTTGTTTTCATAAAAACCCCCCCTGCGACCCGAGTTCGATTCCTGCTCATGGCAATCACCAGTGACGATTATCTCAACCGGTCCTGGGTCTCCCCTAGGTCGAATCAGCCTCAAATGAGTACCTGGTGAGATGTGTAAACATCGCCACTCGGGAGACAAAGGCGGTCGGGCGTGGTGCTGGCCACCCAACCCCACGTGCGCCATGTCGGCCTTCATAGATGCTCGCTAACAGCACCTATCCCAACAGTCTGTTAAGGCTATACGGGGGGATCTTTATCTTTGTCTTTGTTGTACATCTGTATAGTTTGCACGTGGGAATGGTTGTACATGTGTATGTTTGTTGATACACGTGTATGTTGGTGTAAACACTCTTATCAGTGTAAACATCTCCCGTGTTAACCGCTCGGGTCTCACCCACCCTGTCTCCCTTCTCGCCGGGGGCTCCGCACTGACCCCTGTCACCCTGCACAGAGGGACGAGAGACAGTCAGGCAGGGCACCGCTTGCCGAGTCCTCGAGAGCGCTGTGACTTTGTGGCGATGTTGCGGTAAAAAAAAGCTAAAGACGGTTTCGAATGGACACGAACAACAAGCCCTCGATCAATCCACTGCTGGATGAGGCCCTCCCCGCGCCATGTGGACTGTGAGGCTTTGACGACTAACGGGGAGCATGAATGTAGAGGTATCTTGAGGTCATTTACTGCATTTTTCTCTGCTGTCAAGCATGGAGCCCGACAGCCTATAACACCTGGAATGCTTGGTGACGATGATTTGATGCTGATATAGTGCTCTGCTATTACGCTGCGGTATCGCAGAGCGATTTCCATCATAGCTCGTCCTAAACCGTTTGAAAGGGCACCACCAGTAGCAACTGTTCTTGTGAGCACAAAGGTGACTTCGCATCTGGCCTGCAAATGGCCATTATTCTGCCGGTATAATCACATTTGGGTAATTTGCAGGTAATTTTTCGAATTTGGCAAATTTTGACCCTGACGCCGGCACACAATGGTCAACTCTAGTCCGGGGAATCTTTAATGTCCACTGTGAAGCAGACGCAGCGTAGAAGTGTTATTATTACTACACGGCAGTATTAACCAGGGCGGTCAAATGGATTCGAACAGTGAACCTCTGCCACAAGCAGCAAACGCGCTACCGTTGGGCCGTGGTCGCCCATCCAAGCACTATTTGAGCTCAACACTGCTTAGCTTCTGAAATCTGACAGTATTTAGGTGGATTGCGGGTGATATGGTCAGAGGCGGTTGACACAATACAATGTGGTGTGGGAACACACTATTTAGTGCACTAGATGCGTAATGTGCATTAACAGCATCAGATTCCTCGTTTATCCTGGAGAAATCCGATGAGCTGTGAAGCCCTTTTTCACAGATGTCCAGTAGGGGCGGGTCAGAATGTTACAACAACAATACAAAACACAAAATATAGGACAGGCAAGGAAATAGCCAAAAAATACATACGTTAAAAAATTAAGATTTGACATGCAAAGATTGGTTGATTAAGCAATTAACATTCACAAATGTGCATATAATCGGGCACGTAATAATGTTATATTTACAATTGATGAAAACAAACTATGTTGCTGTTAAAATGTTTTCTATATATAGGCGATTACAGAAATGAGGCAGAAAAACCCCCCAAGGTGTACAGTACCGACAGTGCAAATAACAGGAAACATTTTATTTTTTATGTGATGCTCGAATCAAACTGTGACCACCGAACTAATTGAAATGAATCAATGTGTGGGACGAGTGAATCGTTAAGAACTCGACGATGACTTAGGAGGTGACTGCATCTTTATGCGAATACCGCAGATGCATCACTGATGGGTGGCGGTGAATGGGGGGGGGGGCAGGAGGAGAGTTTGAGGGGGGGGGGTGAGGGAGGGTGAGGGGGGTGAGGTTAAGTACAATGGAAGAGGAGGCCACACACAATGCCACTTTATCGTGATTACCTTCTCTCCTGAAAATCCTGGCCGGCCCTGCGATTTCCAGGGGGAAAAAAAAGTGGAGGAAAGAGAATCGCAAAACCACACGTTACCACGAGGGAACACAACAAAGGGAAGCGGAATATATCTGTTAAGAGAATCAACGGTAACAAAAAAAAAAACCCCACGCGGACGACAACAGCTAGGGGGCAAAGGGCGGAGGGGGGGTTGAAGGTCTGGGGTGTGCAGAAGAGCAGCTGAACACAAGAACACAGGCGCTCCTCTGGCGCACAGCCCCTCTGTAATTTCAGGGCTCCAAATTGGCTCTCGACACCTGGCAAGCTCGACCCACCGCGCACGCGGGGATGTCCTCTCGGCAACGACAACACGCAACAAAAAAAGTGCCGGCCTCATCAGAGCTAGGAGGGCACTTAGCTCGCTTTTTTTGGGGGGGGGGTCCTTTCTCGGTTTTGTAATAAGAAACTGCAAATTGCACGGGTGAAATGTTACTTTGAACATCGGTGAGGGAACAAAGGAATGAAGATTAGTTATGGACGCGACTGCTAGAATGTTTTCGGGGCGTACGGCAGCGTGTTTTGTGAAAATTACCCAACTGAACGCCTTTAATTATAGAAATATGAAAAAAAGATTCGGCTCGTAACGCGCACAGTGTCCACTCGCCCACACAGAGTGAGAACGACTCATTTAGAGGCGCGAGGAACCACAGAATCAGAAAGGGTTTAATTCGCCATGAAAGTTCACACAGACACGGAATTTACTTTGGCAGGATGGTGCATACATTCAACATATAGGAATCTAAAATCTTAAATAAGTGGTAAACAAGTCTTACTATAATAAGGGTTCAAAGTTTAACTAACACCAAGGGGCTAAAGTATATGAAATTGAATAAATATCGAATATAAAATAGCTACAAGGCAGCCACGCAATGAGCCGGTGCCAACAATTGCCCAAGCTCTGCAGTCCTCTACATAATAAAGTGGTATTGACCAATTAAATGAATGTTTACGTAATAAATAATAATTTCTTTACCACAGCTGTCAACAAGAACTTGCGCCATTCCTTCTGAAACCTTCACTCATCAGGATTTAACATAAAAAGGCCTGGGTCATTTCACCATCGCGAGAAGTGCTCAATCCACTGCAGGATGGAGGCTTCCCCAGAACCATCACGCTCCTTCGATGCAACGATCCACCGAGAAACTGCGCACCAGCTGCCTATGATAACCCGCCGGGTGTGGTGGTCACCCATCCACAGGCGCTATCCAGGCTCGATCCTTACTTAGCTTGCGAGTTTTGACAAAACCTGGTGCGTTTCTGGGTGATTTGGCCAGAGGCGTAGTTGAGATGAGCTGGTAAATAATGAGAATAATGACGTAGAAAAGAACAAGAGTCGACGTCCAATGGACCAGGGGGTGTTGCTGGGCTATTCTCACTCCGGTTAGCACGGTTGGCTACGTTCAACATACACACATACATACGTAGAGGGTGCATAGATTTATTGGCTGGAAAACTCAAGATGGAGTTCACTGCTGACGTGACTTGGAGCCACAGCCAGCAATCCCTGGGCAGGACTGGAAGACTTTCAATATTTTTTTCCTCCCAATGTCCCATGTACGGATTGCATTCCCAACACTCAAAGCACACCGCTTGTTCTCGGCGGGCTAACAAACTCGTTTTTATGTTTTTTACACATTACCGAATTTGTTACGGACAAATTAAGTTCACGATTAAAAATCAGAGAGAAGCTTGTGATCAAAGCCGCCACAACGAAAAATTATTTGCAGACAATCGCAGACGTTCATTTTTTTGTTCACCAGTCCCCCCCACCGCCTCCCCCCCCAGGGCACAAACGCAGGCTCACAGGAGCCCCCTCTTAGCCGTCCAACACAATGCGCATCAACTGTGTACCCTACGCTCGTAACGGCAACGCCTCAATATTGCCAGCAGCCATGTTCTAGCCACTGCCGGATGAAGCCCCCCCCCCCCTGCCCGCCCCATGTCATCATGAGCCGATTTCGTCACCACATCTCAAAGAAGTGGTCATCCTCACGGGAGCGTTGTTTTATTTTGAGCTGACGTAGCGTCGCTGGTGTTCTTCATCTGCGATAGTCACTTTACCCGAGCCGTGTCCTGCCCAAAGCCACTTTATTTTACAAACGATCAATACGATGCTTTAATTTGCACATGTTCCGTTGATCCATGTCCTCCTCGTTCCGTCCTTCAATATCATTACGAGCATGCACCTCTCCGTTTATCTGCGAGTACTATGACAGATTTTTGAGATGAGGGGGAGGAGGATGTTCCAGACGTTAAGAGGCAATCACGGCCCTTCACAGATAGAAAAAAATTGGAGAGCTTCCAGGCCAAAATGGAATAGTTGTGGATATCATCAAAAAAGTGGAACCAGCTGCTAAATCAAAATTAGTGGACCTCTTTCATTAATGTTTTCACGGAAATTAAATACCTCAATCATTCAAAAATTCCTCGATAAATTCTGCTATGTAAAAGAAAGGGGTTGGACAATACTGACTTGAATAGTTACAGACCCATCTGTCTCATCACACATGTATTACAACCTGTTCGCAAATGTAAACTCGTTTTAAAAAATATCAATAAAAGTTTTAGCGAAAAATTCTCAAGCCAGGGCTTCTCACCTCCGCGCCATCAGCTCCACGGGTTCCTGGCACCCCGGCGTCGCCCTGTGGGTTACAGGCGACACCCTTAAGGGAGACGAACTCCGAGCGAGGAGATGAACGGTCAGTGGCGTAGCTGTAGAGCGTGAAGCTGCGGTGCTGGCGATGGTGCTAGCGGTGTGGGGAGCGGTGGTGCAGTGGTTAGCGCGCTGCGCTACGAACCCAGCCATCCGAGTTCGATTCACCACCACCAGTCACTATTATCTTAACCGGTCCTCGGCCTCCCTTAGGTCGACTCAGCCTCAAATGGGTACCTGGTGTGGTGTGTAAACATCGCCACTTGGAAGACAAACGCGGTCGGGCGTGATGCTGGCCACCCACCCCATCGTGTGTCGTGCCGGCCTTCATAGGTGCTCGCTAACAGCACTTGGCCCAACAGTCTGTTAAGGCTGCACGGGGGATCGTTGTCTTTGGTGCTGGTGGTGCAGGCGGTGGTGATGATCTCGCTCACCTTTTGTCCTCTCTCACCATGGGCACCATCCCTTCCCGGTTTTCCTTTCCTACCCTGAAATAGAAAAAAAGATCATTCTCATCAAACCACGCGTGTGTACAGAGCTGTATGGAACAATACATAAAGACTCGCACCTTTGCGAGCAGACACTCACACAACTCCAACAGTGGGGGCTGATGAACGTTAAAGATGTGGCACCAGCTCCGTAGCATTGCGGGGGGGGGCATTCTGTTGGGGGGGGGGGGGCGAGCCCACTTCGTTTAATTCGCAAGATTCATTTGACATACATGTAACAAAAGAAAAATGCGTCTTGACTTAAAGCTTTCGTGACTGCAGGAATTCATATTCTTGGGTCTTTCGGTAAAGTCACGTAGATAGTTTCATCATTTATTCATTTCCTTTGAACCTATCTACGCGACTTTACCAAAAGACCCAAGAATATAAAAATGCGTCTGTCCACAACAACCAGCCGGACAAAATGAAAAACTCGAGTTACGGCTAAGAGATGGGCGTCGCGGCCGTTCGTCGTCGTCGTACGCACACGGTGCGGGGAGCTGGGGCAGAGAGAGGGCACTCACACGGTAGGCGCGAGCAGACCGCGGTGGCGCGCGGTCTGCTCGGCGCTTCGCGTTTGTCCCGAGGTCGCGGCAACGTTGACGGCGTCGTGCCACCGTCCTCCCGGGCCGGTAAGTTTCTGTTTTAATTCAAGCCGTTCTCAATCCGCCAACAGATGAAGGGTTCACCCACGGCAATGTCGACCCTAGGGGATGCCATCGCCGCACTTAAACACGCTGGCCGGTGCGGGCTGGTCGAGGTCGAGGGAGGGGGCAAGGACCGGTGCTGATGTCATTTGTCACCGATGTTAGCTGGAGCCGGGAATGAAACTCAGTTTACCGAGTATCACCGATCTAACGCCCTTTAATCGAGAAGTGATACAGGGCTGCTGTGCGCGTTAATGTATATCCACGGTGGCGAGATGTTAACTACCTTGCCTGGTATGCAGGAGGTTCATGAGTTTGTTCACGACCCTGACGCCTGCTGCATATTTGGAGTTTGCGCGTTCTCCCTACGGTCGCGTGGATTTCCCCTCCAGTTTTCCCCCCCTCCACATTTAGAATCAACGTGCGTTTAGTTTGGCTGCTATAAATGTGCCCGTGATAAGCGACTTCGTTGAGCAATCATGTTTGGCCCGGTCGCTTCTAAAAAAGAGTGATATAGCTCAGTCAGTGGGCCTTACCTGGTAACATAAAAACAAAAGTTAATAGTTTTAGTTGTTTTGTCTGCGCGCTACACGCCGCACGCTGCCCTGGAGTGAGCGCTGCCCTCAAACTGCACCACTCGGGGTGGAGAGAAAACCGACAATTATGGCTGTCTCCGGGAAGAAATACGACCGCACTCACGAGCCCACCTGGCTTCACTGCGAGACTTTCGACGCTGCAGGCCATCCCTACACTTTTTCCGTACCCTCGTGTATTAGTCGCCGTGTTTTTCACTTTCTGCCTGATGTGAATTCCCATCTCCTTAGCCCTGCCCCTCTTGAGTTACCACCGTGATGGGGTGGTGGTGGTGATGGTAGTGGCACTTTAGTCCGACCTCCATTTGGCAGAATGCGTCCATGTTGCAGCTAATGCCATTTGTTGTGTTTGTCAGCGTTTACGATCCGCTTGATTAACTGGTGAGCCTTGCGGAGAGAGGGGCTAATGCAGGATATCATGGATTTAAGTCCAAACTGTGGGCGTAGAGAGAAACTGAGAGAAAAAAATCCACATAAACCCTCGAGAGAGCAATGGCACATTTGTTACTTCGTTCAGGATATTATTCAAGGAGCTCCTTTACCAGTGGTGGAACACTGATCCGGGGACCCGAGTTCGATCCCTGGCTTACAACTAACCACGTGGCAAGTGGCGATATGGCCTGTCCTTCCCTCCCCAGCTTTCATCAACCTGCACTGACAAAGCACAGTGAAGTTGAGTCAAAGACTCCAGTGACAGGCGTGGCGTGGGAAGGCCCTAATATATTTTTTGTGGATTGAGAATGGTTAGAATTGACTTAATTTAATTATTTTTTTCTCCTAAATTCTTTACCACCAAGAGGCACTTTCTGTCCATGATAAATGGTTCTTCCAGTATTCATTTGGTAAATTCGGGTTCAAAATACCATGCCCCCATTATAGTATGCGTAACCCGAGGAGTGGGGAGGATGTGAAAGATTTAATAAAAATGGATTGCGGTGGAGCACGTGTGTACGGGGGCCGCGCTGTATTACTTCACCCCGAAGGGTTTCTTTTCCAGCGAAACTATTCGCAGGGCGCACCACTGCCGCAGCCTCACACCTGAGCATTCCCCCACACCTGACCCAGAGAAATAACGAGGGCACGGCACTAAACACCAAAAGTATTCTCCCGGGTCACTGACCACGCACGCGCGTGCGCACACGCACAGACCAAGTCAACTTTCGAATGCATGGAATGCAATTAAAATATTGGGGGGGAGGGGGGGGGGGTTCTGCCACCCGCCACCACCTCCTCCCCCGAAAGAACTCTTAACCCGTGCATAACCATGAGGGATCGGCTTTAGAAATGTCAATGGGAGGAATGTTTATCCTATTGGCGACTAAGTAGGCAGAACAGAAGCTGCATTGTGGTATCCGTAGGCGGACGGGGGGGGGGGAGGTGGAGAGCTGACAGCGCAGGCTTCCCTGCTTTCGCGTGACGCACACCGATGCTGGACGCTTCCAGTCACAGAAGGTAAGAGGCGCAGCCCCTGTAATTGCTCGCTCACGCCACTGCTGGCGGGCGGATGGGGCCCTCCACTCAGGGGAGCTCAAGCAGGGCTCGCGAGATCTCCGTCTAGAGGGCGTTTGGCCTGGTGAGGCGAGGACATAAACAAGGCTGCTGCTGTTTCTGGTGTAGGACAATCAGTTTCAAAGACAATGCCAAATATTACCAGAGCATATTTGTGTGCATGTTCACCACAAGTACCGTGTGTGGTTAATGCAGGAACTTGATGCCTTGCAAAAGGTTTATATTTGGTGTTTGAACATCTTAACACAACTGTTGTATTGCCAGAAAGGGTAAAACTTATTCTTAGTTTTCATATTTTGATATTGGCAAAATAAAAAAAGTCCCATGCTAAGAGGTGGGAGTATTCACACTTTACCCGAGCAAATCCGGTTTTCAGAGAATACATTCCCCCCTCTGTGCTTGTTCTCCCCAGGAATAAATATTCGTTCCGCCGTGGCAATTTATGTTTGAAATATTGGTTCCCCTTCTGAGAATGTGTACCCCGCAATTGTTTTGTCACGAACTACCCTTCCTCTGCAGATGACACGATACTGATTGCTGCTGGCCGCTCTCCGGATGACGTGATTGCTAAGCTCCAGGGTGATTTCAACAAACTACAACATCAGCTAGTTTCTCTTAAACTAGTCCTGAATACCTCCAAAACCAAGGTGCTATGCTTCTCACCGGGACTAAAGCAGGAAGTTATTTTTCCCCAATTACATTCCTTGAGTAATTATCAAATAGAGCAAGTCAAGATCTATAAGTATCTTGGGGTCATCCTGGATTGAAGATCACATTGATTATATTGGTAAAAAGACAAAAATAAAAATTGGTTTTCTGTATCGACACAAACACTGCTTCCCCCCAATGTTCCGTTTGGAATTGATAAAAGCTATCATACTGCCTCTACTTGACTACTGTGACATCGTGTATGAATCAGCCCCAAGTACTGTACTGAAGAAGCGTGATTCCATCTATCACTCGGCCTTAAGATTTGCATTGAACTGCCCATATAGGACTCACCACTGTGATCTCTACATTGGGTCAAACTTAACATCTCTTAATGTTCGACGGCTTGTGCACCAGATCTTATTTATTCACGATGTACTTACAAAAAAATCCGCAGACTACCTACTGGATCTCCTCTCTGTTGCAAAAAACAAATTTGACCTCAGGTCTTCGCTCATCTACCAGCTTCACATTCCCTATTGCCGTACAAAAACCGGAGGAAGGGCCTTTGCTATTGATGCCCCCAGGGTCTGGAATGATATTGCCAATAAACTGCAACTTGAATCACTACCTATGAGATCTTCACTCAAAACTGCTCTAGAGGAGTTGTACACCTCTAGCTGCCACTGCTATTCAGTGGCCTAAAAAATGGCTCTAGAGTTTGGTGTTATAATTTATTTATGTAGTTTATTGTTAAAAATTCGGTCACAGTCCCTATGGTCACTGTTACATTGCATTTATGGCTTTTATTTTGGTGATTTCTAAAACGTTTTTTTTGTTTTGGCTATGTTTTTGTTTATTGTAGTACGGAGTTAGACTGATGGCCTTAATCTTAGTTGTCTTGTGGTTGTTGTTATTGTTATTTGACTTGCATCCCACTGGGATTTTTGCACACAGCGTTGGTGTACGGTGCTATTTCAGGAATATTTTGATTGTTTTTTTCCTGGATTTTCTGTTTGCACAGTCACATAATCACTTTAAGATCTTTTCTTGTTCATGTTTTTTGTTTGTTGAGGTTGCACCCGATTCAAGAGCCGAATGGCTCACAGGGCTATACCAAATAAATAAACTATGAACTATGAACATTAGTCGACATCCATGTATTTACAATGAAATCCACTTTCACCTTTATAGCACTTTCCGACCTTGTTTTTCTTTCGTGTAAGAGTTTCTCAGTTTGCTCTCAGCATAGTTTAACATTTTTCACGTCACATGTTTGGTCATAACGCTGTGCTAAGCAATGTATGTTGGAACTTCTTTGGTACCGTACGTACCCAACCGTGCTAATCGGAGCTGCAGGGTAAACACAACAAACTAAACACAAACAGCAATTTTAAAGAAATTAGTTTTCGATTAAGATTTGAAACTGCTAAGCTCCAGCGGCTTTCTAATATCGGAAGGAAGAGCGTTCCAGACGGCCGCAAAAGCGCATCTGAAAGCACCACCTGATGCGGTGACCACCGTCTTCGTTTTATGGTCAGCCAAAAGCCGCTGCTGCGAGGGCGAGCGGAGTTTGCGTGATGATAGTTCATGCTCCTCAGCTACATGTAGACGCTATGTGTAACGCTAACCCAGGTAGAGGAATAAAAAGGTAGGGGGCAATGACTGTTTGTTTGATGGGAACAAATGTCCGTTCCCCAGGCCCGAGAAACAATGTTTAGGGAGACCAATATGCATTTACTGAACTAAACGTTTTATTTTACGAGGTAAGGCCCGCTGAGCTATCTAGATATCTTGCCGCGAATGGATAGCTCAACGAGGTGGCGTATCGTGTGTAAATGTCAGTTCGACACGTAGGCTTTCGCGACCAAATATTCTTCAAAATGAAGGTTTTTTTAGGTTGGATCGCGTAAGTATAAATGTGCCGTTAACCCGCCACCACCCGATACAGACAATTAGTAAGGTTTGTCACGTAAACACAACGTGCCCATTAGTCACTACTTAAGCTCACCGGTGTGTTAGAGAGTAAATCCACAACATTTGCAATTTGAGTAATGTGACGTTTCGCTGGTGATTACACCCAGCATCATCAGGCGCTTTTGACAGAATTCTGGAAAAAAAAACTTGATTATGAATGTGTAAATGTATAGCACCCAAATACTCTGAACGCACGTTTCTACATCACTCAACGAGTCCCCTGGATTCAGCTGGCAGCGTAGATGTTGTGGCCACAGGCACACTGTGCGACTTCTGGCCATGCAAGAGCCGTGGTCAGACCATTGAATATCAGGACGTCATCGCGGCCTGAAGGTCGTTGACACCGCCACACCAAGCAAGCGCTTTCCACCCTCCTCCAGGTTCCGCAGCTGCCGCTGCACGGTAGGGCACGTGATCTCCAAAATCGGGCCCAAGATCTACCCCACCATCTGCCCTGAGGTCTTCCAATTGATTGCCAGACTTGTGGAGACCACTCCAACGTTCGTCAGACCTTTGTGAGAATCACTCCCACTGCCGCCCACTCCTTTGCTGTCCCAAACCAAGAACTCTCGTGTCCATAATCGTCCAACGATTGAGCATTACATAGAGACGAGTGTCCCACCTGTACTCCCACCACCTTAGAAGCGCTACCGTTATGTAATTACCCGTGTCCAAACTTTTGAAACAAAATATCGTTCCATCGACAAAACACATTTTTATCATTTGCACCGCTCAAGGCCATCGATGGCATTGAGCGGTGGAATTGAAAAACGGGGGAAAAAAGTCCACGGCAAAAGAAAACGTGCCAACGGTGCCAGGAGCATGGTTGCACACCTGACTGATTTTATTTGAAACCAATTGGATTTTCAGGTCTGTCAACCATACAATGTAAACTATGTTGGCAACCAGAAAGAGAGAGAGAGAGAATCACGCTTTGTTCTACGAAAGCCCGACAGCCGTACACTCTGAACACACTTTACAAAAAAGAAAAATGTCTCCCTAATGCAGGCGTTAAGGGCTTCATTGATTGAATTCAACGCCACAAATCCCACTGCCGCCATCACGCGCAACTGCGTAGGAACCACAAACAAGGGCACGTGAGTCGTCGGGCATGGGAAAGTGTGACAGGGAGCGGTGGCCCACGACTTCTCACCGGGATTCCCGCAGCTCCACGCTCGCCTTTCTCGCACTGGCACGCCGGCTGCTTGGGACACTGCTCGGCACACGAGGAAATAAGATGCAATTTTAATTTGGGAACAAACTTTTTTTGCTTTCACCCACCCACCCACCCACCCCCAAAACACACACACACACACAATATTTCCTGTTATTTTTTGTTGTTGTGGTTCCGAATGAGTCAAGGTGCTCCGGAAGGTAAGACGGACGTCCAAACTCGTGCCCGGTGTTGCAAAGAAAGCCACAAATCACACACGCACACACGCTGGATTGCGAGACGCATTGCCCAACTTTTGCAGTAAATTGCAGGAGTGCGGGATTGGGGGGAATGCGTGGAGAATACCGTATATTCCTCCAATGTTATTGGTATCATAGCATGCTATGAGATGAGGAAATATCCACCTTTGAGCTCGTGTAGCAGAGCATTAAACCACCACGTGTTCGAGCACAGCTCCCCAGATGATGACATTACAGAACTACATCTGAATGGACTTCACAGTCTCTTTATATGCACCGTGGGCAGCACCTTTTACATGCCTTGCAAAATAATCTTCTTCGCCGTCAAACAAATGTTTCATTCTCCAGCAGCTTGAATAAGCTAAATGTAGTGAAAAATAATATTTATGGTACGGTAATCATTTTTCCGTTGTGCGGTGCATTGGTGAACAAGCTGAAATCATAAACTCATACTAATTGTCCTTGGGAATCCAGATTAATCATGAAAATTTAACAAATACATGTTTTTTATACTGCATTAGCAGTGGTGCACAGGCACAAATAACTAAAATAGTTTACAGATGCGTTCAGTTTAATCATGGGTATCTGCCTAAAGTTAACTCCGGGATCTCAGCAGTGTCGGTTCAACGTCTCTGACTCAATATTAACCGCCCCCTGAGACGTACAACCACCTCCAAAGTTTGGTGTTAAAACTCAGGCTCAGCATGCATCACTTAAGTCACGTGAACTGTGACAGGTCACGTGCTGAACAGACGGAGTTGAGCATGTCGCTTCACGCTCATTGGTTCTCATTTTAGAGAAGAAAAAAAACAGCGCTTTGCACATCTTACCTCTTCATCGGCAAGCGTGTTCTGCAGGAAAGATAATGCCAAAATATGCGAAAGATTAGATAATGCACAAATGAGGGTACAATACTGAGCGTTTCAATAAACTAAATGACACAGCATGACTATAGCTGTGATCTGTGCGTCAGAAATGTGGGCACGAAACGATGAAAATAGACCAGCAGTGGAAGAACGCTCAAATAATCACGGAGAGGGAGACGCTCGGAGCTACACATAACGAGGGACAACACAGAGCGGGGAAGCAAACACTGATCGCAGATATCTATCTGCCTTGGCCGTTCGGGAAGGTTGGTGGTCTGAGGCAGCACACGTCGCTCGGAGGGATGACGGATGAGAGACAAGACCGGTGATAGAATGGCAGCCAAATTGAGGAAATGCTCTTGAGGGGGACATCCGACCAACACGGAGATGGAGAGGAGAAATCGGTTCGTGTGTGGGAGGTGTACGGATTGTGGTATCGCAGGAAAGCAAAGGATGGTGGCAGCACGAGGAGTCTTCCATTCAGTAGTAGACAGAAAATGGATGATCGTGATGATGAATTAACAAAATAAAATGAAATATAAAATGATCGAGGTTATCGTTCAAGACTACTCTAAAATTACTGTAGCACTGTGCAATTTCGTTTGTCACGTAGGCTTTGGCGACCAATATTATTCATGAAAAATGTATAATTAATCCGCCAATTCTGGCAAAATCGCCCGATGATGCTGGATGTAATTACCAGAGAAATGTCGGAGTCAAATTTTACTCTCCAACACACCGGTGGGCTGAAGTAGTCACTAGTTGGCACGTTTTGTTTATGTGACAAATCTTACTAATTGGCTGTGTCGGGTTAACGACACATTTATGCTTACGTGATCTAACCCAAAAAAAACATTTATCATGACCTTCCAATTAACCTGTTTAAAATTAAGTGTCAAACCTTCCATTCGTCATTTACTCGTCACCATATAGCGTGTCAGAATTGTGTTTTAGGAAATGTCAGTTAATTCCGCAGACGCCTACATCAGAATTATTAACAAACAACAATGTCCCAAGAGCTGCAGTGAAAACTGCTCTGAGCGCGCATGAATTAGGTCACTTTCATGATTACAGAAAAGTATCATGATTGTTTGTTCATTATGATGCTTTCATTATTGTAAAGGGAACGCATAATTTGCGTATTATCTTGCATTTAGCGAATGTACCCTTAGTTTTAACTTTCAAAATAATGGGAATATTTTTTGGACGAATTTTCGATTTACGCACATGAACGCATCATTTTCATAGAAATCGGGGAACGCCCGCGTCCGGTTCCCAAGAGTTGAAACAACATTTTCACACCGCGTACACTTTTAACAATTGGCCTCCATCGAGCACAAACAGAAGCGGCCGCCCAGCAACGTTCTAACCCGCGTCGCCTCGACGGCTCCGGCGCTCGCTCGCCCCCGGCCTCACCAGCTCGGCGACGAGAGTGCCCAGCGTGGCCGGGTGGCGCAGGTCGTGCACGTATCGCGTGGCCGGCGCGCTCGCCATGAGCCGCAGGCGGGCCGCGTTGTCCGGCTGGCGCGCCACGTTGCTCAGGCCCAGCACGAAGAGCCGCGTGCCCTGCGCGCGCAGCGCCCCCGCCGCCTGCGCCGGGTCGGGGCCGCGCGGGTGGTCGACGCCGTCCGTCACGAGGACGGCGACTCGCACCGAGCCGGCCCGTGCCTGCTCGTCGTACAGCTCCGTGAGGTTGCCCAGCGCGTACGCCGTGTACGTGCCGTGTCCGATGTACGTCATCTGGCGCACCCGGGCGGAGAAATCGTCCGGTCCCTGCCAGTCCCGCAGCATCTGCTCCACGCGCACCTGCAGAGAGAGAGGGGGGAAGAGACACGCGTGGCCCGGTTGTGTGGACGTAGAATGCGCAGGAGGCGCAACCGTACCGGAGGCCCCGTGGGCAGGAGGGGCCCAGGCGACAGGTAAACGTTTTTTGTTTGTTTGTTGTGATTCAAAGGGGGGCGCTACATTTTATTTAATTTATTGGCATATTTCAACCACGTAAATCCATTGAGATGGAACATCTCGTTGAAAGGATGTCCAGGGTATCAATCGACGCGCACGTCTTAAACACGTCATGACAGTACACGTTTCAATCCTGGCACCAGGGCACATGGCAACCAGGCTATGCCACTATCGTGGATGGGCTTTGTTTCTGCGTCAGTGGCATTTGTGATCGCGACTTTCCAAAAATCTCATGCGATTTGTGTTCCAACGTGGTTCATGCACAATATGAGTTTCAAATCCTCCATATTTCATGCGAATCATACATCTTAAATCCGTGTTTACTTGAAATTCTGACAAAACTGTGATTTGTTTATTGTTATGACCGTAGCCATTTATCAACATAACTTGAAGAAGAAAATCTAACGAAAACAAAATGTAATCCTTGGAAACAAATCATTGGGCACGCTCACATTTTAATCATCATCATCATCGCGCACGATTCCTCTATCTCTGGAGCCCCAGCGCATTGATCTAACAACAACAAAACCACACCTTCGCCAAGTAGGAGGCACTAACCGTGCTGCTGTACTGGAGGAGTCCGATCCTCCAGCTGAGGATGCCAGCGAGGGCGGCCTCCCTCTGCAGCATCGCCGTGAAGTCCAGCACGAACTTCTGCTCGAAATTGTAGTTGCTGCCCTTGGCGCTCTCCGAGCTGTCGATGAGGAAGGCGATCTCCATGGCACAGGTCAAGTTCAGGTCTGGACCACATTTGCCAAAGGGAACGGCGGGGCGCACGAGCAGTGGCAGGCGATTGGTGCACGGGACGGACGAAGACAACACAGCTTTTGTGGTTACCGCCTTATTATTTATTATGTTTTATAGTTTAGATAGAGACTCGATGGGTGGCGACAATCGGGGGGGGGGTAGTTGCTTGTTAAGTGAAAACAGAAGCACGTTGAAAGCGTTTATGGCATTAGAAGACAGGACGTGTGTGAGTGCGTTTCTTCAGTCGCGCGCGCGCATGCACGCGTGCTGAGAGATGGAGACATGGGATATACCCCCCCCCCCCCCAGGGGCAGCCCAGGCAGAGTGATAAAAGCAGATTGTATCTGAGTGGATCCATATCCTACAGTTGTAATGCGTGTCCAATAAAAGGCCTCTGTGTTTCAGGGAAATTGATGACTTAAGAAATGGCCGGGATAAGCAACATTTCGCAAGTCACAACGGACCAAAATGTACTTTTATAGAATACTTTACCGATAATTTAAAAAGATCATATTAAAAAAAACTGATATTGCTGGCTGACAGTAGCTAACGAGTGAACAGACATAGGTCTCAAATGTTTGTGGTCCGTAGAGTATTTGATTTTACGCGGCAGTATCGGATTAAAATTAGCAAATTAGAAGTGCAATTCCAAACACAAATATTTATTTACAAAAAACCCCCCAAAATATTCAATCACGAAACGGACACAATTTCCAAGCAGGACTTTCTCCTTTAAAAAAGAGACAGCTTTACATTTTGTGAAGCTTAATGGGTGACTTAAAAACAACATTCTATACAAAGTGCAATAAACTGGCGCGACTATCTGGGTGATGTTGAGCAGCTGTCACAGTGGGGTTGACTTCTGTGTCCGCGGAGTGGCCGGGCTGACCCTCGACCCCCCCCCCCACCCCACAGTTCCACCTCCCCACGGTAGCCAGGTCTGTCCAGTGCTGGTGACCCGTAAAACATTTTTCCACCCAAAACACACCACATCTCGTACGTATGTATGTACGAGATGTAGCCAACGGCGCTAACCGGAGGTGCAGGGGAAGGACAACAAACTAAAACACAAAAAGCAATTATAAATAAATGAGTTTTAAATCTAGATTCAATCGGAAGGAAGAGCGTTCCAGATGGCCGGAGAAGCCTCTCGCTACTACCGTGGCTATTAATCACATATCTACTCCAGTCAAACAGTGTCCCACAAAATATACAGTCGAGAAACTAAGCCCCACTGCAGTTCGCATTTGACCGAGAAGCGTCCGTCAACTGAGAGGTGAGCTCGCCGCCAAACCTGGGACGTCGCTCCCGTACAACGAAGCGGGCATCGGGTTTGCCTGGGGCCTCTTGTGGCGCAACGATGCGGGGGCCCTCCTTGTCGAATCTCGCCGGCCGCCCGCCCGCTGGCAACTCGCCAGCTCCTCCATGCAGCACAGCAGCAGCACCAAGAGCGCCACCGTGGAGCCGCGAAGCTGCGCACCGCCGCCCGCGGCAGGCGTGGCCCTTAACGGGGACATGGACCTGCGACACCGCACAGACCAGCCGAGTTAGACAGTGAGGGTGCAGGCGGTGCAACTGCACCGCGGGGCCCATGGTGAAACGGGGTATGAAGTAGACGTACCCGCAACACGCGTTCGACAGACCGAGTGGGGTAGTTATCGAGTGTCCAAGCGGTGCAACTGCAATGGGGTCGAAAGGGCCCAGGCGCCGAGCCACGAAAAGAAGAAGGGTGGGGAGTGGGAGGGGGACAATTGTACAGAGGCCCGCGTTTAATGTCTTTCCCCAGGGCCCCATGCCCACCACGCCACACACCTGACACAGACCTTCACCTCTCTTGATGGATTCTGGGCGTCTCCCTGTAGGACAGCTCTCTTGATATATGGAGCTCATTGCCTGCACAGACACCCGGGTGGGCTTTAATTTGTACTGAGTTATGGCTGCTAACAGTGGGGCTAGCGTCAGGTGATATGCAGAGGGCTTCCATCTAAAACTCAAGATTCTAAAGTCACGTAGGTATAAAATAAAATAAATCACGACGTTTCGGGCGCAACGCAAGCGTCCGTCATCAGGTGGAACAACCACAGCAAGAAACAATTGCTGAAGTGGGCAAAAGGGGGGCTGCTTGTAGGTAAGAGGGGGGGGGGAGCCAGGGAGGAGAGATAGAGAGGGTGGGAATGTGGGGTAGGGGGAGTGGAGAAGTGCAAGCTCCAACACCGAGTGTGTTGCGCCCGAAACGTCGTGATTTAATTTATTTAATTTTATACCCACGCGACTTTACCGAAAGAACCAAAGAGTATGGATCCCTGCAGTCACGAAAACTTCAAATCTAGATTCAAGATTCTCACTTCATTGAAGAATAAAGTATTTAAGGGGTGGAGCGGCGATGCCACGGTTACCACACTACACCACAAAGCCCACCATATGGGTTCGATACCTGGCTACGGCTAACATTAGCGGCGGGTGATATCCGGCACTGGTCCCGGGTCCGCTCCCATCCTGCACCAATTCGCACCGACAAGCCTAGCGAAGTACGGCAACCCCCCTCACCCCCCGCAACTGGCGTGACGAGGGGTAAGCGGTCCAAATGCGGATTTGACAAAAAAAAGCGAGGGAGGCGCTGTGAATTACAAAACCACTTAAAACGTGCCAGGGTGTTCATCATCAACGCTTCAAGTTCACACACAAATGCTTTAAAGGTTATAATCACGGGGGGGGGGGGGAGGAGGGGGGTGGAGAGTTTATTGAGGTAAGACCTCTGATCTCTGCTATGAGGAGGAGTGGTGCCCGTAGGGGCCTCCTCCACCTCCTGGTGCGGTCATCGTCACCGGGGGGGGAGGGGGGGTCCCTTTGCTCGGTATCGTCCCGCCGCGCCTTGTACGAGGGACTCGCGCAGCAACAACCAAAAACCACGAAACCACGGCGAGCTTTTGGAATGCCACCGATTGTTCGGCTTGCGTGCGTGTGTCTGTGCGTGTGTGCGCGCTTGTGTGTGTCTGTGTGTGCGCGTGTGTGTGTGTAGTGGGGAGCGGTGGTGTAGCGGTCAGCGCGCTGCGCTACGAACCCGGCGGGCTGGGTTCGATTCCCGCTCACGGCCAACACCGCTGACGATTATCTGAACCGGTCATGGGCCTCCCCTAGGTCGACTCAGCCTCAAATGAGTACCTGATGCGATGTGTGAACATCGTCACTGGGGAGACAAAGGCGGCCGGGCGTGATGTTGGCCACCCACCCCCTCGTGTGCCGTGCCGGCCTTTATAGGTGCTCGCTAACAGCACTTGCCCCTACAGTCTGTTAATTATATACGAGGGATCTTTGTATGTGTGCACGTGTGTGCATGTTTTGAGTTTTATCGGAGTTCCAACTTATCATTAGCCATTTTAAGTTAACTGTCGCGCAAGTGAACCAGTGGACACGAGTGATGGTCACTTCTGGTGGTTGTTTTTTTTGTGAAAGGATGTTTATTAAAAAAAAGTTACGGAGTTGTTCCTTCTCTTCTCCGCGCTGCAATTATCTTGCCATATCCAGCGCCGCGAGGGGCTTCTGTGGGTTAACGTGAGCTTAACTCGCGATCGTTAGGACAGCGAGTTCAAATCCTGCCCCCTTACGCCCCTCGAGGGTGGAGAAAACGAGAGAGACTTTGCTGTGAAGGCGACAGCAGTTGTTCCCGCTGGGAGACTGGCTCCCGTCAGAGCAACGTGGAATTTCCACCTCTGGCAGAAGGAGTTATTGCCTCGGACCAAATGACGCGGAGTGTGCTTTTCCTTATCGGATATCAAAAGCTAAGCAGGATTGAGACTGCATAGTGCTTCTAAAGGGTAATTACCGTGCATAATAGGTGTTATAGGCTGCTGCTGCAGGGATGTGGTTGGGCAGTAGAAGTCAGTGCAGCAAAACACGTGTTGTTATTGTACCGTATTTATAAGCTCCCGCATTTATGCTTCCCACCGTCGGCGAACCTGCACTGACCAGCGTGGTGAAGTATAGTCAAACAGCCCCCGCAAGGAGCGGGGAGGCCTTCATCCAGCAGTGGATTTAACAGAGGGCTGGACATGTCCATGACACGGGGCTATTAACATCGACGGACAACGCCCCATCGCTCGTTCGAACAGGGAAACTCTTTGGCTTCGGCATTCGTGTGTCATGTCCTCAGCCCACACAATACATACTCACAGACGATAGCTAGGGTTCACGTTATCTCATGTTCAGCTTTAAATGGAACAAAAAAAAACCCGCACTGAATTCAGTGTTCAGAAAGTTTAGTGGGCAGCCTAGCAAGAGTGCCAAACTCCAACAGAGCAGGCAAAAATGTTCATTTGTAAACGGATAATAAATCAACGTTGAGATTCTCCCGTGATCGTTTACGACGGGAAAACGCCTTCGTTTGTTCCTTGTGCAATATCCCTTAAGGGCCGTGTGACGCGTTCTCTGGCAATATTGACATTGATGTATCTTGTTGTTGTTGTTGCTATTGCCTGCTGCTGTTATCACGCAGCACCACGGATCTCCCGTGTAACAAATCAAGTAAACTCATCACTCAAATAAAAATAACAACAGGTGTTAACCCTTTCTGGAAATATAACGGGAGGCGTTCAGATGTTTAAACACCAAACATCAACCTTTTGCAAGGAATCAAGTGCTGCATTAACCCCACACAGTACTCGTGGTGAACATGCGCACAAGGCACGCTCTGATAATATTCGGGCATTGTCTTTGAAACTTTAGGGCCTCGTCTCACCAGTGTCAGGCCAGAGAAGAACGAAGACAACCCCGAAACTCATCGCTCAAAATTTTGGAGCGCTGCAAAGCGATGGCCGCATAAGGATCGTGCACGCGTGAATGTTGAACTTCTTTCGCACCGTACATAGCCAATCGGAGGTGCATGTATATTCCAATGATATTTCACGAACTCATTCTGTCGCTCCACAGAGCCAGTGATTTCGCTTGGCGTGTATAATCAGCTTCACCAAGAGATCCCTCGCTTCTGTAATTACCAACCAGTTCCTCACTCTGTATTAGGGTTTCCACCTGAGGTGCTGGAAAAAAACCACCCCAACAGGAATATATCATGGGATTAGAACAGGAATACAATCTTAATTCGAAGCTTTCGTGACTGCAGGAATCCATACTCTTCGGTTCTTTCGGTAAAGTCACGTAGGTAGAAATCAAATAGGCCTGATGACGACCGCTTGTGTTGCGATCGAAACGTCGCGATTGATTTGTTTTCTAACTACGTGACTCTACCGAAAGAACCAAAGAGAATAAGAATACAGTATCTGACAACAGGGGAAGAGGGCAGAACTCCATGTGAATACGCGTCCTTGAGTGGTATCTTATTATCATTAAGCGCAGTAACGACATTGTCACAGCTCAGGGCATGCGGCAACCAGTCAGGTGGGGGCCCCTAATATTTGATTTTAATTCAGTTAAAATAACACGCGCAACATAAATTATGGCATTTTCATTCAAATAAAATGTAAACCGACCGCGTTTTTAATAAGTGTCGTTGTTCTTTTACACCGTTGTTGAGAAACATATCTCATGGTGCTCGTCAAGGGGGCCCCAACTCGTAACTTTGGCCACCAGGGAGGGCGGAGGGGGGGCCAGGCACTCCCTTCCCGCACGCTCGTTACGCGACTGGTTATTATCATCATCATGACGCCACTGACAAAAACCGGGACCTTTAATATTCCCGGCAGAGTTGCAGACGTCCCAGAATAACCACCTTAAAAAAGAGGAAAACCGGGACAGGTGGCAACGCGACTCGGCCATGGGAGCCCTCCCTCCTTAGTCGTAAAAAGTAAAACAAAAATCAATAATCTGCCGTTTCTTGACAGCGAGGGCCCACAACAGCTTGCAGACTGCGTCAGTCTTTGAACTGCTGCTCGTTTGTGTACGAAGAGCAGCAGCAGCAGCAGCGACAGCAAAACAAGAAAGGGAAAAGCGACGCAAGCAAAGAGATGCGATGCATGTTCAGATCGCCACCGCAAATAAATGACACCTCTGCGACAATCAGCACGTGGGACCAAGGGGCAGAAGTCATCGCCAGCGCGCACTCCACGGGTGACACGGGGTGAATTGAAGAAAGCACACGGTGGCCTGGAGCTCCGGTGAATATTGGCTCTCACTTTGTCGCCCCAGTTAATCCGCCCACTTGTTAATCAGTTCACCTGCCACTGTCGTAAGCTCGTGTGTAGCTTTGCGTCGTCTGGGGCTCACCTGTACAGCACTCTGAAGACCAAGCCTGGAGCTTGTCGCTCAGAAGGCTCGCCCGTCGCGATCTCACAAGCCGCCTATCGCGCCGGCCATTCGCTTCACCCGTGGTCAACGAGCTCACACCTGCAGTGCACGCTCGTGGTGAGACGCACCTGGAGTCTGCGTACGGCTCGCGCGTAGCTCCGCCGAAAGGTTTCCACCTGCAAAGTGAAGGGCATCACGGAGGCTCACCTACCTGCTGCTGTGGTGAGCAGCGATCACGAGACGGGAGATGCCGCGACCGCTGCTTTGTTCATCCAAAACCAGTGCCCTGGGTCTGCTTGTCTGCCCCCCCCCCCACCCCAAACAACTATCTCCTCCTACTTTCTCCTCTCTCGTCGCTCTTATTTCTCGTCCTCATTCCTCCCCTCCCTTCGTCCCCCTCCGTTCCGCCGTCCCTCCCTGCCCGCCTTTGTCGGCAGCAGCAGCAGCAGGAACGACGCCCAGCTGCGAGTGGCGCGGGGCGTCAGCTGTCGAGTGTGCAGGCGGTGCAACTGTGCTGGTCGGCGGCGGGGGGCTAACGGGCCGGAGAGGCCGAAGGGGAGCCCTGCTGACATCGGGTTACCGATGTCTTTACAAAGTGGACAGCCCCACCAACCCCACCAATTCATTCATTGCACCCGGGCAAATGCCACCAACCACGCCAAGCAGCCACACGCACCACGATATGACATCTCCCGTGTGAATTTTGGATTCTCAGAGTTGTCGTTGATGTTGAGTTTTTTTTCTCTCTCTCCCCCAGTGTTTGTTGTTTAGCTGTCTCCGTGCTGTGGTTGGGGATTTTTGTTGTTTTGTTTTGTTTTAGAAATGACCTGGGCTTAAAATTTTCAGGGATAATTTTCTCGGGGTTTGCTTGGTCGACCAATGTCGTGGCACGTGACTAATAACCAGCGGCAAATACCTGATGTGGTGTGCCGGGTGCGGGTATATTTTAAGGGCCACCGACCCCGAACAGACACGATTTTAATTAAAGCCCTGGCAGTTATCCATACAGCATCAACTATTGTTACCCTTGTAGTAGTGGTCGCTTTTGTAATGATTGAGTCTGTGTGCACCTCCTGTCATTTGCGTCTTGTGACGTAACTTACATCCATTGTCGATTCCACTTCTGGACGAAGCCAGGCCTCTTGCACACTGTGTCGGTCGAAGGGTTTGTACGTCCATACTTCACCACAATGGTCAGTGCGGGTTGGTGAGGAAGGGGAGGGGGGGTACCGAGTCTGTATAACTAACCACTGTGTTAGCCGTGACGGGGAATCAAACTGTGGCAATTGAGAGTGGCAGGACACGAGGAGCAGTGCCTCTGTTATTTTTAAAATGTCGTTTACTCCCACACAGGTGTTCAATTTTATCCAGCTCTGCCCGGGTCGGTGAACCGGCAAGCAAATATATGTCCGCACCCAGCACACCGCATCCAGTATACCTCTCGCAATATTGGCTGTGGCTACTACTAGTCACGTGCCACCTACTCCATCTGCCAGCGACGCGGTGTATGAATATTCACACGGGGAGAGAGAGATGTATAAGGCCCGTTGGGCTGTTCATACCAGGCATACGTCGACACAATCGAATGAATGGAGAGGCACACGTCAGTGGCGTAGTCACGACATGATCAGCTTAGGGGTTACGGCAATCGGTCAGATGGGGCCCCAATATTTGCATTTGTCTCTTATGGTGGTTGTCAAAGGGGGCCCAACTCGTAGCTTTGGCCACCAGGGGGCGGACAGGGCGGGGGGCAAGGCCCCCCTCCCCCTGCCACCACGCTTATCCTGCGACTGACACAACGCTCCTCCTGTCGGCTGCTTTGACAGCAATAGAAGGGTTCCCCCCCGTGGGCTGTCCGTGGTAGTGAGTCACCACGTTTGGCTGAATCCAGCTCAGTGGGTTGTTTCACTGACCCTTGGCCACAGCGTTGCTTGCCTTCGACCGCATCACCCGGAATGTGCCAGCTCTCGGCACGATCTCCGAAGCGCAGCAGGAGGTCTTGAGCCTGGATGGCGCTCGGATAGGCGACCAGCAATTTGCGTTCAACAGACGCAATCATTGCAGAGAGTTGCATGGGAGGGAGAGCCTCATCCAGCAGTGGATTTACAGTCGGGCCTGCCAGGTTGCTATCGGCTGCCGATGCTACGTGGGAGGAATCCATCGTTGTGATGCACTGCACGGCGTTCGTCTCTGCGATTTGTGACTTTCATCGTTCCCACACGATCCCTGCTGGGACTGGGGAAGAGGGCGGCGCTTACTCTCCTGAAGACCGAGAAGCGCCTGGCAATCAAGCAGGGTGGAGCAAACACTTCACGCTCTGATTGATTAGGGCACGGGGAGCAAGAGGTTTTGTCTGGGGACGTCCAAAAATGGGAAGTCGAGTGACCATACCGTGCCCCTACCTTAATACAGACCAAATCCAGACCTTATTGGCCACCCCGTGCCGTTATAAATCTCAACGTTCGTCTTACAAAGTCCCATCACAAGGGAGAAACACAAATAGGCAACAACAACAAAAAACCCCAATACTGCCCATATCCCTGTACAAGAACACGGGGTTATAAACCGTGTGAGTTGGCAGCTGTGGGCGAGTGACAGAAGGGGGGAGGGAGAGAGGAAAGGGGTTGAGGATTGGCAGAATCATGAAGAGGTTAAAAGAGAGAGTGGGAGGCGGAGCTCGGGGCGTAGCGGGAGAGAGAGCGAGTTAAAAAAACTTTGTGATCCTGTACAGAGGAAATAAAGACTTACCTCGTGGACAAAGAGAGGCCCAGAGTCTTCTTTAACATATATCGATAAGTTCCATTTAAATGTGCTATTTTATTGAGGGACTGTGTGTTTTTGTCTCGGTGTGGTATGGAAATGTTTTTCTGCCTTGCCCAAGCTTAGGATAATCGGTGCACTTATGCAACCTGAACTTATACAGATACTTTATTTTATGGATATAGTTTTAGTGATTTGCTCACCTTTCCTATACTTTTCACTCGTATCGTGTTTTGTATTGTTTGTTGTAACTTTATGAACCGCCCCTTACTGGACATCTGTGAAAGAGAGCTTCGTAGCACATCGGGATTCCTTGCTTCCCATCGTCACCAACCGGCACTGAACCATCGTCGACTCGAAACTCCGCCACCACGCATGGCATGGCGCGTGGGAGCCCATAACCATCATCAGCAGTGACCATAACGCGTGGTGATGATGCTGCTGCTGCTGCTGCGTCTGGTGCGCACGTTTCAATTAACAACACAACACCGCGACACACTCGTCAACAACACCGTGGCCGAAACAAGAACATATACAGGTTTACCTCGCTTTAACGGGCTCCGTTTGTGCCATTTAGTACGCATGCGGGCTTACCTATTTCTCCCCAAAATTCGCTATACGATGCGGTTTGAATTAACTCTACATGCGGCTATGCGGTCGAACGTGGGGCAACATTGTTAGTGATACTGTGTGCGTGTGTACTCTGTGTGTGTACGGTGTGTGTACTCTACGCACTCTGTGTGTGTACGGTGTGTGTGTACTCTACGCACTCTGTGTGTGTACGGTGTGTGTACTCTACGCACTACTCGGCAGGCAGCCGTCTTGGGCTTCGACGGTCCGTCTTCACAGTGCACGTGCTCTGTTGATGGGCCATTGTGCTAGCACGTGTGCTGCGAACAGAGCCCTCCAGAGAGTACAGCGAATAGGGGTGACCGCCCCGGGCCCCGCGTTTTGGGGGCCCCTTCCCCGGCGCTTCGATGTCACGGTGTCAGATGTAATGCTTCCGGTTTAGTGTGAAGGCGTGGGGGGGTCTCACACGGTGTGGTTTGTCCTGGGCCCTGGCTATGAAGAAGCACCATTGCCGAAAATGTCACGGAATATACAAAAACATATTTTGAGGCAGTGTTGTTGACTTGTATCTTGAGTTTTTTGTAAGTCAGTAGTGGATCAACACTACTCACTGTGTTAATCTAATTAACATAGCCCCCGTGCTATGTTAATTTGATTATTTTAGTGCTGGAAATGTCCAAATGATGGGCCATTTTGTTGAAGTATCATTTGTGGCCAGGTCGCTTCTGGAAAATAGGTTAATGCCACAGTAGGCTTTGCCTGGTAGGATGGGGATGGTTTAGTTTTATTTGTGTTTGAGTGATTTGTTAACCTTTCTTGTACTTTGCACTACTATAATATTTTTGTACTGTTTGTTGTTGTAACGTTCTTACCCGCCCCTACTGGACATCTGTGAAAAAATAGCTTCATAGCTCATCGGATTTCTCCGGTATGAATAAATATTCTGAGTCTGAAGTGTGACTAACGTAATGCGGTTGTGGTACCATATCCCCCGTCCATGTCAGCTGTGGCAGAAGCGAAGATCAATCGTAGCCCATTAAAGATTGCAACTTATTACCCGTGCGTCGTCAGGCTTATGATTGCGTAACATTTGCGGCTGACTGCTCGGAGATATTAGATAGCGGACGCTCCTTTATCCCAACAGCTGACAATTCGTGACGTGGGGAACCGTCTGTGTGATTGCGTTGGGGCTGGGTCTGTCCAGCATAATTGTCATGCGGGCTCTATCACTGTGATCGGCGATAGCCTGCAGTGGTTATGAAGTTGTGACGTTGGTGGGTGTCACTACAATGACAAAAAAAAACACAGTCGTTTGCTCTTTTTCCTTGCACGGCGGCACGGCTGAATGCGACGGCACTTTTCGAATTGGTGCCTAGAGTCCAAAAGATTACACTTTTGCTTAAGTCCAGCATTGCTTTGGTGGGATATTTAAAATTGTCGACATTTTCCTTGCTTGTCAACATTCCGGTTTGCACAAAAAAAACAATTGACACGTTTGCCCACGTGACAACTTGAGTTGATTGGCTCTGTCGGGTGGTGGAGGGTTATAGTTAAAATTTTAAAGATGCACTGCACGATCCAACATAAAAGAAAAAGTAATAATGGATCATATTTGCGTACATTTCTCTTAAAACGTTTTCACAGAGCAGTAAGAAATTATAATTTATATCAAGTGTCTTAATGTGACTGCGGCTCAAGGCGCATGTTATTCGATGCTGGGTGAGAAATAATAATGGATTTTTTTTTGTTTGCTAAGGTTCAAATGGAAAAGATACTGAGAGGCGTAGCAGCATGGCAGGGAGCTATAATTTAACAGGTGACCTAAGACACGTGGATGGATAAAAAAAAGACTGGCTTTGACCTGTTGGGTCAC